GCGGCTCACATTCCAGGCATACTTTTTTTAGGAGGCGTTGGTCTTACACAATGCGTTCGAGCAAAACGGTGGATTTTTGCTACTCGTTGATGCCGTCTATATGTCTTCTCCGGAAAGCCCGGCGCAGGAGCCAGCACAGGTAACGCACGTGGCACTGCCAGAGCAAAAAGGAGACCCTAGGATTGCATTCTTACTTCAAGAAAATTCTAGCTTAAAAGCGCAGCTCTAGCAGATGAGGGTCGAGTTTGAAGCTCTCATACAGCCCAGGCCCCGGTGCGGTCTTCGTCAGTAGAGCCGCGGCCGGCTAAGAAAAAGATAGGTGCGGAAGGGGAGGTAGCGGCGGCTTCCGACTTGGACGTCTTGGGAGCAATCAAAGATTTACAAAAGGTGGTAGCACGGCAGGCGGAATGCTTTGACCTCGTAGCAAGTAAAGTTGCCATGATCGAAAGCAGACTCGCTCCAGGCGGGAACTGTTTTGTCCCGGTGACGCCTGTTTCACTTGTTCCCTCTGTGCGACCCGGTACGCCAATGGATCAGGCTCCCATCGATGTGGACGTGCCGTTAAGTCGGCAAACCAGTAGCAGCAGTCATGGCTCCCAACGCAACTCAGTTCATCATTTGGCAGTAGAACTGCACGGTGTTCAGGAAGTGTAAGGCCTTTCCCCAGCAGTACATTGCTCCATTGGCAGTTCAGCCGCATGTGATTGCTTTACAAGAAACCATTGACGCGGCGGTTGCCTTGCCCGGCTATCGATCTATATCGTTTAGGGAGGGGGGGGGGGGGAGCGTCAACGTGGTTTGGCTGTCTTGGTTTCGAACAAATGTGCGTTTTTAGAGCACACGCTTGCGCTCGGCAACTCTACTTTGGAGGCTCAGCTGGTTAAAATTATTCCGAATAATTAGCTTAAGTGCAGCATATTCGTACTGAATGTTTACAGCAGCCCTCGAAATCACAAGCAGGCGTTCTCCTCGGTGGTCGCAAAGGCGGCTACCCTTGCAGGCAAGTCACCGCTCGTAGCTATCGGTGACTTTAACGCACCTCACCCAGCCTGGGGTTATCCAAAGGCCACTGTTAAAGGGAAAAACCTTGTTAAAGCTATGACGGACTGTTCCTTGGAGCTGGTCACGAACCCTCAGTTCCCAACCCGGTTGGGCAATTCCGTTTCAAGAGACACCACTCCGGATCTGGCGTTCATTAGAAATGCGGGGAAATTTCAGTGAGTTAACTTACAGGAAAGCCTGGGAAGTGATCACTTCATCCTCACAGTCACGCAGGAAATCCCGGGCGGCTCCACCTAAAGAGTACATGGTGACGGACTGGGACGAGTTCAGGAAGCGCCGGAAAGCTGATGAGACCGAATATGTCACGTTAGAGGAACTCTTTTCTTGACTCGCGGAGGATGAGCTCCTCGCCACCAAGACTGTCCAAACCGACTTACAGGTGGATACGATGGACTCGCGTCTTGCGCATTTATTGGAGGCTAAAAAATCGCTGCTTGAGAGATGGTGCACACAAAAGCTAAATAGGAGGCTCCGCAAACGCATAGCTCTCCTCAATAAAGATATTGAAGAATATTGTCAGGAGCTTTCTAGGCAGCAGTGAAACGAGGTTTGCTCAAACGAAGATGGGCAGATGCGCACCGGAGGTAAATGGAACCTGTTGAAGGTACTATTCGATCAAACAAACTCCAAAAGTAATCAGATGTTGGCAATCGACTGCTTAGTTCAAGCACAGCGGAGCAATGGAGTCACTGACACCACTTTACTAAAGGATTTGGCAGAGCGATACCTTCCGCTTGGCCCCTCCGGGGACTGGGATTACCTGGTCTACCGGGAAAGGCCGCTCGAGGAAATCATCTCGCCCTTTACGAACCTTCAGATCGAAGAGGTGCTTCATGCGCTTAATAGCCGCTCAGCCCCTGGTCCAGATGGCGTTACAAACAGGTTGCTGCGCAATCTCGACGGAAAGTCAATCGCTAAGTTAACCGAGGAGGTCAATATCCTCTGGGCAGAAGGTCGCGTACCTGAGGCCTGGCGTACCGCCTCATTCCCAAGCCATTCATGCTCATTCCCAAGCCGGGCAAGGTATTCACCATGGAGAACCTCAGTCCAATTTCCCTCACATCTTGCGTGGGGAAGGTGATGGAGCATGCGGTACACAACAAAGTATATTGGTATATTGAGGATGAAGAGCTCTTCCCGTACAACATGGTAGGTTTCCGGCCAGGTCTCTCTACCCAGGATGTGATGCTGCTGATTAAGAGGCAAATTATTGATCGACACACCCGAGATGTTCGAGGAATATTGGCCCTTGATCTCGCCAAGGCCTTCGATACGATTTCACATCAGTTTATACTGGAGCAGGTAGAGCGCATGGGATTAGGTCCCGTGTTCGCGCCTTCCTCAGGGACCGCAGAGCCACCATAAAGATTGGCGAATTAAAATCGGAGGCCTTCATCCTGGGTACGAGGGGCACGGCGCAGGGAGTGGTAATTTCACCCCTTTTGTTCAACATAGCCATGAAAGACCTCTCGGAGCACCTCTCCACTGTAGCCAATACCAACCATGCCTTATATGCCAACGACATTACAGTCAGGTGCATGGGCGGTTCGGATGCTGAAGTGGAGCAGGCGCTCCAATCTACTTTGTCAATGACAGAACCTTTTCTGCAGGGTACAGGGCTCCAGCTATCCGCCTCTAAATTGGAGTTGCTACTATATTGACCAGTTCAACCCGGAAGAAGGAACGAGGCACCCCTTGATCAGGTGCAGATTATTATAACCACACGGGATGGGCAGTCGATTCCAAGAGTCAATTGTGTTCGGGTTCTAGGCTTCCGTCTTGAATCTAACGGCAGAAATTCGCAGGTTTTGGCTCGCATCACCTCCAAAACGGAGAACATGCTCAGACTAATATTGAGGGTTTCAAGCCGCAGGGGAGGGCTGAGGAAGAGCAATTTCCTTCGGCTCTTCCATTAATTCCTGATGAGCCACAATAATTACGTGGCATCCTCGCTAAATTGGTGTAAACGCGAGGAGGATAAACTCGACACTTTAATGCGTAAAAACATCAAAAGGGTACTAGGCCTACCTATGAGCACCGTCTCATGAGTCTGGGCATGCCCAACACCCTCACGGAGGTGACCGAGGCACAAACACTAGCTCCGGTCGCGCGACTCTCCTCCACGAAAGCTGGGAAGCGTCTCCTACAGTCGCTGGGATATCATCATACGGCAGGGGAAGAACAGAAGATCTCCTTATCACAAACAATGAAGGGCACGTACGAGGTGGCACCCTTCCCGCGTAACGTTCATCCACAGTACAATGTTAGCTGGCGAAAGGCACGGGCCAAGTCTCTCCTTGATTTCGTGACTAAGTCCACGGGCAGTGTAGCTTTCGTCGATGCGGCGCAGTGCGGCCGCTCCGATCGTTTTGCAGCTGTAGTCGTTGATCATCGCGGTCGCGTACTCAACTCGGCTTCCGTGAGGAAAGCGTCTGCCTCCGTAGCAGAGCAGGTAGCGATAGCCTTGGCGATGACGGACCCTTCACGTCCAGAGATATTTACTGACTCCAGGGCTGCCACCCGGGCCTTTGCCTCGGGGGTAATCTCTAGGAAGGCTGCCGTTATTATAAATTCCAGGGGTGTAGTAGGCCACCACACAATCACCTGGTTTCCGGCACACATGGGCGAAGAGGTGCATCCGACTGTTCCCAACGCCAACGGGCTTGCCCATAACCGTGCGCGAGAAATCACGTGCCGCGGTGGTCCGGGCGGGTACGGAGGTGGGTTCGCGGATAACTTTAAAGATCCACTTGACACCTTTAACGAAGTGACGTCCTATTATCAGTTGTCTAAGTGTAGGTACCCGCTTCCGCATTCCAAGCTTACTCGGTCACAGTCGTCGGTTCTTCGGATGCTACAGGCAGGTTCATTCCCATCTCGTAGCCCATTCAGCCACTTTGCTGATGCATAACTCCAGAATGCCCTAGTTGTGAGGCACATAACTTCTCCGGAAACAGTTCGGCGACGCTATTTACACAAAAACGTTGCGGTCTGAGCAACTCTTTAATCTCTGGAATCGACGTATCCTGCTTGTGAAGGGCAAATGTTATGTTTCGCGACTCTTCACGGGCCAAATTATAGTTTCATATCAAAAAAGCTAAAGCAATGAAGACAGGTTTAATATGCTTCGACTAAAATATGAGCATGTATGAACACAAATTAAAATTAAATATGTCCTGTTATGGCGCTTCTTTAATAATAATAATATTATTTTGTAGCGATAGATAATTCAGGATTTTTATCTTATTTTATGTTGTGTTTGACAATACAGAAGACGATAGGCGACATTATGACCGAGTCACCTGACTAGGCCTCTAGCACCACACCGTACATAGGGAAATACGCAGCTATTAGCTGCATATTTCAATTATTTGGGAAGTTAGAGGGGACGCTTGGTCGGTAATGTCCTCCTTGGGAGGAGCCCACTGCTGCTTTGAGAGTTCCAAAAAGCGGCATTCTGTAACTATTGTGGAGCATAGAGTTTCATGAAACTCTATATTTTGGGGGATTACGAAATCCAACCACATTTACCGACAAAACCGAAACCGAAACCTGGCATGCATAAACAAACTTTGATATTGCACAGGTCATTTCTAGAAAGGCTATAATAAAATTTGCTTTTTGATTAAAATTTTTTTATATATAATTCTAGGATATTTTCAGTGAACAATCAGCGCAACGGCGAAGCTTTTGAAAGCATTTTAAAACAAGTGATTTTAATGGTAGCAAAGTGCAGTACAGAATTAAAAGCTTTTGACTTAAACCACAATAACTTTTTATATGTAGTACCTCGGTGCATTTCTAGAATGCTGTACCAGAGTCCTTACTCTGGTTGAACGTTGCCTTGGAGTGAGTAATCTAAACCGAAACTTTTTGATGTTCGAGTTTTCATACTGCTCGTACATCGGTCTCGGGGGCCATTAACGAGCGAAGCATCAAGGGGCAGTGGGCGTTGGCGCTTTGCTGGTGCACGACGGCTCTCTGACGTGCGCGCTATTGTTATAATTTATTGCCGTCCCTATACGTTAATATTTACCCTAGCGCCGATTTATCCAGCGTTCCTCATCCTTTGTATGTATCCTAGCCGTTCGCTGGTTACTCCCATAAAACATGAGTAGTAATTTCTACACCGGCATGACCAGCAGTCATGCGGACATATACGCCGAATTTCGCCCCACACCTCCGCAAGCTCTCACTGATGAGATACTGAAGTACTTGAAGGTCAAGGTGGGCTGTGCAGGATATCTTCAGAGAACACCTACCGCTGATTTCGTGCCAGCTCGAAAACTATCTTCTGACGGTTACGCTGCTGTACTCTGCAGCTGCCGTTCACTCTTAGCACAAATATGCAATTGTCCTGCCTTCGTTTTGTTGTCAATGCCGTTCAAAGCAAGCATAAAGTCTATAGCTTATGTGTCTAGCATTATAAAAAGTTCGTTGACGTTGTCCAGATGTATCAGACATTCACGCCTTGTTTTAGGCTGGTGAATTCGACACGATTATTTGCAGAACAAGCGACACTTCTAAGCAGAAAGCAAACGAACATAAAAGATTCGTGGGGAGTGACCACGCGCACATTAACTTTGTTTGTTCAGTGGCTTTTATTCTTACACGAAAGCTAAAAAGAAACTAGTATTGTGCTGGTTGCGTGGTTTTGGATTGCTCAAGATATAAATTATAGTACAACAAAACGAATTGTCTCAGTTTTTAATGTCAATGGTCCGCATCTGCTTTAAATTAACCTCATCACCTATAACTGTCTGTGAATGCAATTATTCTGTTCAGAGAAAGACGCACTGCTTCATATGCAGGTGTCAGACCTGAACCTTGCTGTAGATGTTGGCTGTGGTCCTGGCACAAGTACAACAATGCTTGCCCCGCACTTCAAAGTGGTACACGGCTATGACATATCTGAAGCCCAAATCAATAAAGCAAGGACACTTAAACTCGGAAATGTTTCCTTCAGGTGAGACAATTAACTCAGCTGCATCATGCAATAATTGAACACAATATAATTACCATCTTAGCTGGAAGTGCACATCTGTAGCGCTGCAGAAGAAATGAAACATGTTGCCTTCACTTGCTTCAAAAACACAATTTAGCACATAGACCAACTGGTGCCCGAGAAGGTAACCGGGGAATTCTATAAATGTGTTGACTACTTCTGCACTGTTGTCCTAGAATATGCTTTGTACAAGTATAGTAAATATAAGTTGTCCCACTGCATTTGCTACAGCACTGCACTCCATGCTTATCTTCAATAACAATTCATTTTCAAGATTCTCAGCTTTCAGATATTTCTTCACTTTTTTTTTCTACAATTCAGCAGCCACACAAACTCACCAGATGTGCAAACTGCGAGAAATAGCAGTATTGTAATGAATACAAAGATTTTTCATACAAGACTGTGGTTACATTTCTGGTACGTAATACTCAAGTCATGGTACTTTAAAAGCGCAGCACTTTGCAATAGATGCAGTCCAAACAACCACTGAGAATGCGCATTCAGGACGGCCGACGAAAAAATGAAGTCGCAATCGCCATTGAGATGTAGTAACTGATTAAACTGGTTGTCCATCATCTGGAGGAGAAAAACAAAATGAGGATATCGCTTTGCCTGTTCAAGCATGCACAAAGGTGAGGCTGCTTGTAGAGCTGCTGTAGACATTCTGCTGTAGTTCTCGGTCGTCAAATTCTGGTGCCTCAAAATCTATCGTCTATAACATTCTCTCATCAATAAATTAACTCATCACATGTAAATGATTACACAAGGAAGCAACTGCATTTCTGAAGTTGCGCACAAGAAATCAATTGTAGTTATGCACGGATTAGCAGACCCTGCAACGTTGCTGCACATAAATATACTGAATAATAAAGGATTAGAGTGTGAAGTTGTTTTATACACATGGCTTTGCAAATATCTGCTCATCTAATTACTATGCACTCATTATTCAGGATGATTGATTCTACTGATAATGAGCACACTCGAGCTTGCTTTAAAATATTTTGCAGTTTTCTTGGGTGCTATTGAATTTGGTTAATGAAATAAATACTTTGCACCTGCTTCTGCATTCACGACTTTCCATAAATAAAATTTTTATCTGTAGTGGCTCACACATCAGGTACACAATATTGCAGTCATGATTACAAGTGCCGACTGCATTTCGATTATACATCAGTCATAGGCAAAGATAGATAAGGAAATTTATTTTAAGTCTGGCTATTTGTTTCGGTGCATGAAACCTGTCGTAAATTGTTTGAACCTCCCACGAAAATGGCAAATGCATCGAGGGACTTCGATAACAAAGAAGAAGCAGAGAACGTTGAGTGAAATCGAACACACTCGTTGACATAGATGCTCAGCTCTGCGTCGTTTTCATTTGGTGCTTCTAGACGCTGAAGCGCGGTTTTCTCACAGACCCTAAGCAGTGAATCAACAAATAAGTGAAGAATGCTTTTGGGGAATACATTTATATGGCAAGCTCAAACAAAGCATCTTTTTTTTTTTTTTTGCCTCACAGCGTCTCGTCGGCTGAGAAAATCAACGAAAAAGATGAATCGGTGCAGCTGGTAATGGTGATGCAGGCTGTTCACTACTTCGACCTCGATGCATTCTACAAGGAGGTGACAAGAGTGCTGGTGCCCAATGGGGTTTTGGCCCTCTGCAGTTACCTCATCCCCAAGCCTGTAAGCAAGAACCAGGAGAGAATGGACAGAGTAATACATGATGTAAGCGAACTCTCTAGCAGTGTTTGCTTGTGAACTTTGGGCAGGTGTGTTGTTACAAGGACTGAATCTCATTTTCCAGTCATACCTGTGACAATTGATAACTGATTCTTTTTTGGTTTCAAAGCTTTTATTTAATGGGAAGAGAGGCATGTCAAAACGAGCAAGATATGTAATTTACACAGAATGATTACTGATTTAATGCAATCCTTAAGTACACAGAATGAATGTAGGGACAGGCAAATCGTGATTTTTTTAAGCCAGACAGAATACAGATTGTTGCATAAAATCTGATGTTTTCTAATTACTGTTACTATATTGTTCTTTCTAAACACAGTGCCAAATGTTCACACATTTCCCTCTCATAATAGTTGGCCATCTTCTTATTCTTGTCTGCTGGAAATAATCTGCATCTGCCAAAGATTCAACCATTGTTCATACCCACATAGACCTGCGCATCTTTTAGTGCATGCTTGTGTAATAACACATTAACGATTCAATCACTCGCATTCACGGTAACATTATGTATGCATTATGGTCTGTGTTCTATGCATAACAGTGATATTAATAAAGCAGATGCCTTTAGTAATAAATACAATTCAAAAACGTAAAATAAAGGTGAGGAAGGGAAGATGGAAAGCTTGCGATGATAACTTCGTAAGCCGGGGTGCGTGCTGGAACCGATGTTTGGATAAATGGACTTGAAAAAGACAAGTCCACTTGTCGAAACATCAGCGCCAACACAGACCCCTTCACAGTGTCAGAAGCACCTCTTTACAAATTTCTCAAGATACATTGCTGTGTTTGCTCTCCCGTTGACCTCTGCAGTGTCTGATTGTCTGGTTAGACGAATTTCGAACTGTCATCAAAATTTTATTTTTGCTGTGTTAAACTGATATTTTTTTGTGCGCAAACACTTGAACACAAGGCATAGTCAAAATATGGCACACGTTTTATCTGGACTATTTGCAGGAAATCTACAGAGGTATACCAAAAGAATACTGGTCGCCCGTTATAGACATTGTCGACAACCTGTATCGAGACATTCGACCTGCTTTTGAGGATCATGTTCGGTAAGGTGGCCTGTCAAGTTGAAAGTAACACCATCCAAGATACGGAAAAACTGAGTTTCTCTTATTACTGTACACGAATAAGAAGTAACCAAGATTTGGAGTAAATCCAGATATAATCAAACATGGATATATCGAATCCGCTTTTACGTGAACTGCTGCAGCCTTTGGCTAGAATACATAGATATTTGTGTAAAACAAGGGCCAGAACAGTGAATACGTCCCTTTTTATCTTTTTTTTCTTGGTTATCATCCACAATTCACAACTTTCTGATCTCAATGATGATGTGCAGGAGGAGTGTTGCTCAGGCCAATGACAAAGCACAAAAACAAAAATAATTATTCTAGACTCACTGCATTACTCTGGCCATTACTATGTATTAGTATGTTGAGCATGCTTCGTTGTAACCTTTCCAGGATAGACTGCGTCGAGGACCGTAAGATGAGGACTGTTGCTGATTATGCCAACTACACGAAGACGTGGTCAGCGTACCAGCTTTTACTCAAGAAGAAACCATCAGAAGCCGAGGAGATTTCTCGAAAGTTGACGACCATGTGAGCCATCGCAAGCACTTTGTCATTGCATCACAAATGTGCCGTTCATCAATTATTACTACATACACATAAGTGTAGAAGTAAAGAATAAAAGTAGATTTGAGAAGCAATACATACTCACGGCATCGTCATGTGATAATGTGTAACTAATGTGCACAGAACGTTCATGTAAGGTGTTCTGCTTCCATTTTGACATAAACGTATTTAAACAGACACAACAATCACGAAGTTGGTTTTATACATTGTCTTTTCTGAGGAGCCCTGTGGTAAGATCATTTCAAAGCAAGATATAAGCTGACATATGCAGATACTTTACGTGATGAATAGTGATAGTTGCCTAAAAAAATGTCCACCCGTCAAGGCCTTGGCTTTAGCATTGTTCAAGTTTATCCTTCCCAAATATTTATATAGTATGTGATAGATGGTAACATTTCCAAGATGATGTCTTCAGCCCTGCTGTCAAGATATGCCATCTAGTACATTTCAGTGTGAACATTCCCACTATTGTAAAACTGTCGTTCAGAATGCAGGTGAATTAGTCAATAACTTAAAATGAGGCTTCAAGAATGCAGTATTTAGGAGACTGATAATACTTCTCATAGCAATGTTTTGGAATGTGAGTGCTTTGTCTTTAAATATGTGAGCACTAAATATTCAAGCTTTTATAACTAGCAAACAGTCTATCACACATTTCAAACATGAATCGTATACAATTCAATTGCTTACATTATTATTATTATTATTTGATTCTGGTTGTGCCCTAGCACGACTATCTTCTTTAGAATGTAATCGTTTTGTTAAACCCACTCCGAAATACTGAATCTGTCCACAGACTTCTCAGCTCCCATACAATTCCTTTAAAAGTACACAGCCTTGTAATTTCGCCTTCAGGGGAAGCCTTTTCCATATTTTCAGTTTCGCACATTGCTGCATGTACCGTACATTTGACATAAGTATTGAGCTTTGATGCATTTTTTTTTCAATAACAGACTGATGGAAGACGCTGGAAAGATTGGTGGAGATCCAGAGAAAACAAACCTCGAGGTGAAGACACAGTTCTTCATGATTCTGGCAAGAAAGCCTGGGTCTAAATAATTTTCAAGACTGTATATCAACCACCTTAAAGCACTTTTTATGATCGTGTGACTGCGGTATCAAACATATTGATGAAGTCTATTGTATATGGTGCAAATAAATATTTCTTAGATATATTGTGGCTTTCTTATATTTTTCGAACAATTTTCTTTTAAAATTCTGCAAAAGAGTGTTTAAAAATTTCAGCAGGTTCGACATGCCTTGTTTGAATCTACACAGTAAAGCTTCTGCGTGTCTTCACTCTACGTTCAGGGTTCCTTGACATACTTGCTTTAACATGGCACTATTTTCACGATGTCAACAGCTCATTTTTTACTGAACTTGCCTCAGCGTGCCAGTCCTTATCTAGGCTATAAACGAAAAGACCAGCGTAGAATGAAAGGAAGGTAAGTGAAGAACCTGCCACGCTGTCCCGAGGGTCACATAATAGACTCCTGGCCACTGTGGCCACATTTTCAATGGTGGCGAAAATGCCGAAGGCCCATGTACTTAGATTTAGGTGCACATTAAAGAATTCCAAGTGGACAAAATCTTCAGAGCCCTCCACTACAGCATCTCCCATAATGATATCAAGGTTCTGAGACATTAAACCCCAACCATTATCATCAGGTTCATTTAAGACTGGAAGTGGGAACAAGAAGTAAACTGAAGACCAGGTCTGCAAACCTAGAAGAAACTTGGCTGACTGGAATTTGCGTGGCAGGTGTTAAGTATGACGCGCCAAACCTATGGTTTGCAATGCTGGGCAGATGGCATTGCAACTTACTCGGCAAGACAGCAGCAGCGACCAGCAGTGGTAGCCATCATCACAAAAACCTGGACAGATCCACAAAGGCCTCATTTTTATAACTTTGGTACAGAACAATTATGTGCCCAAGTAGACATTATCCACTACTTCTGTAGAAACTTTCACTAATTCAAGAAATTTGGACATCTTGAATGCGAACTTCACAGCACATGCATATATTAATAGCAAAGCTGTTCTTAGTTGAGGCTTTCTCATCCATTAGTGTAGTGACAGTCATGGGGTTTTGAGCGCGACAGGACTGGGACTCTAGGAGGAGAGTGGCTGCACCGCACTTAAATGAATAAGGGCAAAGCTCTGTAGAGAGAGTCGACCAATGAGGGGTGAGGGTAAGCCTGGTTAAGAGCGGCATTAGCTTCATTGTTTCGACAGTGTTCACGAAGTGGAGCTAGCCACACTTTTTTTTTCGCAAAGCTGAAGGGTTATTGCCATAGAAGTTTAGTTCTGGATCTTTACATTTCAACAATGTGGTGACATAAGACCAACACAACTGGTACTGAATTATTTAGTCACTGCTTGAATACGTATGCATGGGGCACTGCAACCCCTTTTGTGATGTGTACTGCCTCGGCTAGACTTCTTCGTGCCCTCATATAGGACAGCCCAAATTGTTGCTTTGCACAATTCCCAACTGTACAGCAAAGCAACAGTTACAAAGAGACTGGTTTTTGGCCAATCCACAAACAAGCACGTACGTTCACAGGTAGACAAACCTCCTTCCAATGTCAGAGACCTCAGCTGCCCTAATGACTAATGAACTTTGCATAAACCTCCGAAATTCGATCACTACATTAGTGAACTTAGCTTGTGTGCTTCCCTTAATGCAGTTTGTGCTAGCACTTTACAGTGAACTTTTGTTCAAGAAATACCTCAGGCTTGGCAAAAAGTCACACTTCTGTTTTCTGATTATATTTGTGCTACTTTTCTCTTCCTGTCACTCCTCTTTACTTTCTTCATTTTCGGTGATCTCTGATGCTTTACCCTACTTACATTTAAAAGGATATGCATTCAACCACATTAATTGCTGATCATAATTTCTTTCTTAAAACAGTAGAGCTGCTTAATCAGAGAAGATAGTTGCAAAACAAAAGTTATCATGAACAGGCATGCGCTCTCTTCACCCTCTTTGTATACTACTTTGCTCCCAAAATATGTGCACCGTGGGATGCTATAACTCCGATGAGAGAGAACGAGTTCAGAGAACGAGATTGGAAGTTCCTGGTGCAAAAAATTTCTTTCAAGAGGCCGGATTCAAACCCACATACCCACGATTCGGAAGCGAGAGTTATAACTCATCTATCCAGGCACGCTAGGAAAGTATAACATAACCTTGTATGCTACTACAGAATAAAAAGGGGGTGGAAATTAAGGGAAGTGAGCAGGAGAGGCAAGAGTAAACCATAGCATAAATTCGTACAGTATAGTATAGCAGAGGATAGGAAAGGGAAGTGCCAATGATGATGAAAGAAGTAAAGCACAGCATAGCCCTGTATAGTGTAGTACAGCAACTTGATGGGAAAGGGCTGGTGATGATAAGAAAAATGAGAAGAGAATCACCACCAGCCCTACTGTTTCTGCTGACCTCGAGCCTGGACGATTTTCTGTGATGCCAAACCCGCTTCGCAAACCATTAATTGCATCATGAAGCAAGGTCTGTATTACAGCTTGGCAATAGAAATCACAGAACTTATTCAGGTTGCTTCAACAAATGGCCACCTTATCACTTTCCAGTGGATTCCCGCTCGAATGCGGCGTGATGGGAAATGAAGAGGCAGACGCTGAAGCTAAAAATGCTTTAAGCAGTGCCCCTGAAGTACGCATTGCGTTTTCTCGAGCTGACACGAACGCCCTGCTTCGCTGCGTGATGCGCAGCTACACACTTCAGCACTGGACCAAACCGGAACAGCGACACCAGCGACTTCACAAATGGGACCCGGAAATGAGGTTCCGCATGCCCCCTAAATTGAAACGGCAACTCACAAGTATAATCCACCGCATTCGTCTTGGTGTAGCGTACACCAGACGTTACGCACATATCATCGGTCGCAGTGACACCGGTCCTAATTGTGAACACTGTGATGTGCCAGAAACACTTGAGCACATATTTTGTGTCTGCCCAGCATACGCACGTGAACGACAAACGCTGATTTTTTCTACTGAACTATATCAGCAGTAGGTCATTTACTGATGAGACCGTGTTGGGCCCTTGGCCAGACACCAACAGTGCAACTGCGGTCACAAGAGCAGTTATAACCTTTTTGGAAACAACTGGACTCTATGCGCGGCTATAAAATGTGTCTCAGCTAGAAAGAACACTACATACTCACCTCTCTATCTCACCATCGTCATTCATTAATCTTTCTTTTCCCCTTTCCCTTCCCCCAGTGTAGAGTAGCAGGCTAGAGCAAGCTATGGCTCAGGCTGACCTCTCTGCTTTTCTGTAAATAAACTTATCTCTCTCTCTCTGTCCTAATAACACTAGTGCGTGGCTGCCCTAACATTTTTGTTGTGGTGTTGCAGGGAATGTATGCATGAAGAACAAGACCAGTTTTAGGTTTACTAAATTTAATATTCAAAGTATATGAAAAGACATATGACATAAAAGACTTTATTGCACCATATCTAATTTTATTGCAAAAATGTGTATATATATATATATATATATATATTGACACACCTCGATGGGCGCATGAAGGTGACGACGAAGTTCCTCACGTACAATGAGGCGAATCGTTGACGAAAGGTCGGTAGGCACGGAGTCTTGGCACACATCGACAGTGGCGACGGTCGTAACATTGGCAAGGCGTCCGAACTTCGTAGTGATGCGGCGAGTCTTCAGGGCCTCAAACGTTCGGCAGTGCCCAATCACATCGGCCACAGACTCAAGACTCTCCTTGCCGATAAGGAAGTGGTAGACGTCTTCCGCAATTCCTTTGAGAATGTGGCCCACCTTGTCCTCTTCCGTCATGTTGGTGTCCACACATTTGCACAGTTTCAGTACCTCCTCAATGTAGGTTCTGCATGTCTCACCACAAGCTTGAGCTCTCTGCGACAACATTTGCTCTGCACGTTTCTTCTTCGTCGCAGGGTCGCCAAAGCACTTCTTGATCTCCTCCATAAACTGGTCCCATGTTGTCAAGGTGTCTTCGTGATTCTCGAACCACACTAAAGCACTGCCATCGAGAAATAGACCCACGTGGGACAACTGGCTGGCCGCATTCCAGCCATTGGCTCGGCTCACCCGTTGATAGTGGCTGAGCCATTCTTCAACGTCATCGCCAGGTTTTCCTGTAAATGTGCGTGGCTCTCGGTAGTGGAAAGACGGCGCCCTCGCGACCGGCTGCTGGATGTCTCCGTCCAAGTTCATATCTTGAGGTAGTGGTGGCAAGCCCGCTAGTCGACGGCTGCGGCGAAGCTCGTGCTCTTGCGGTTCCGTCGTTAGTAGACGGCTGCTCTCCGGTCTCGCTTGACAGTAGCTGGCTTACCCAGCACCTTCCACCACAACTGTGACGAAGGAACGCGTTTATTTACAGGAAATGGTTGAGATCGGTACAGCTCAGAGCCAGAAAACCGGCGACCGAGCTGCTCGTCAGCCAGACCGCTTCCACCTCTTCCTCTTCATGCGCCCATCGAGGTGTGACGTCGTTGAAGAGATCCTACGCCTGTCTGCCAGCCAATTCCGCCACGCAACCCCGTATCACCCCCAGACGAATGGCCTCGTAGAGCGGACCAACAGGACGCTAACGAACATGTTGTCAATTTATGTTGATGCCAAGCACAAAAACTGGGACGAAGTACTGCCCTATATCACATACGCCTACAACACCGCGAAACACGAGACAACAGGGTACGCGCCCTTTTTCCTGCTCTACGCCCGCTCCCCCCGCAGTTGCCTCGACACCATTCTGCCTTTTACGTTAGATGTGGAAACATCGGTTGCCGAGTCACTATGCCGCGCTGAAGAAGCCCGTCGCGTCGCACGCCTTCGAACCATTGCATCTCAACAGCGCTCCAAGACCCGGTACGACGCCCACCATCACTCCGTTGCCTACACAAAGGGTGACCTGGTGTGGTTGTGGACACCTGTCCGCAAACGTGGTTTATGCCAAAAGTTTCTGGCCCACTACTCCGGACCATTTGTAGTCATTGACCGTCTCAGTGACGTCACATACGTCATCTCCGGCGTCACAAGCAATGGTCGGCGCTCTAGCAAGACACAGCTGACACACGTCGCGCGCCTCAAGCCATATCACCACCAACCTTCCTATTGACTCGCCCAGTGGGCATCGTCTGCGAACGGGGGAAATGACACACCTCGATGGGCGCATGAAGAGGAAGAGGTGGAAGCGGTCTGGCTGACGAGCAGCTCGGTCGCCGGTTTTCTGGCTCTGAGCTGTACCGATCTCAACCATTTCCTGTAAATAAACGCGTTCCTTCGTCACAATATATATATATATACCAGTACTTCACGCACAGACTTGACAATTAAGCTCGAATTACCGTTTAAGATCCTGGCTTCCTCGCCAAAACCGTAAAAAATTGAGTCCTAACTTCAAGGTTTGTCTTCGTGGGATCTTCTCCAACCTTACCAGCATCTTCCATCAATCTGTCAAAAAAAAAAATGTCGTTCTTAGTTCCCGAAGCGTGCACGGTATTGTGAACAAAATGAAGTGAAGAATTTCTAAGACAGCTAGCATTAAATATTTTGATTTTTACAAGAAGTTTGTCCATTCTGTCGGGCTAAAAAATCAGTCATGCAACAACGTGGACTCGCAAAGACTTACAAAAACTCAACGAGGCACATTCCTTGTGAAAAAGCAAGAGTCATAGGCTTGTATGCAGAGAACTTGAGTTGAAATCAGACAAATGTAATTATATGTCAGGTTAGCTATTTTTAGCCATAAGACGAGCAATGAAGGACATTGACGCAAACAAGGATGGGAACACAATGAAGGCATCTGAAGATGCACAAACATGGCATTACGCAGCCATATTATAATGCTGTGTGAATCTTGCGCCTTGCTCGTATACCAGTTGACATGCTCTGTAATGTCATTCATAGATGCAATACTAACATGTCCACACTGCAACACAGAGTACGCCAGATACTTTATATAATCTTACTATACTATTTCATTTTAATATACTACTTAATTCTATACTACTTCATCCTGATATACAACTACATACCTTTACTGCACATGCTACTACTCATAATTCTATACATTATCCCACTATACAGTATTCTAGCCAGCTTTCGAAGCATGCTGCAAGCCCGTACACTAACACATCATCAACAGTGATAAAGTGAAAGTAGGACTAACCCATGTGTGTTTTCAAGTTAATCTCTTCACGCTGCTTATACTACTTTAAGACGGGTCTGCCTACTCTTTTTGAGCTATTTGATAAATTGCACTTAGGCCCTAACTACACGAAGTAAGACATTTACAAATGTAGACCTACATGGACGTCAGCTTGCGAGACAGTGCTTCTGCTTCTACAGGTTGCTTTTTTAGGTAAAGCTGATATGCCGACCAAGTCTTCACGTAGTTCACGTAATCTGCAACTGTTCTGACCTTGCAGTCCTCGATATACTCTATCCTGAAAAAAAAAAGGGGGGGGGGGATTTTTCAGACACACACATTGGCACTAAGCACTTGCAGTCACCTTGAAGTTGGAGAAGCATTCTGGCCAAAGTAAGAACACATGACAGTTGTAAATATGCTCTGCATAATAACATAAGGCCAAAAAGACACAGACTATTTGGAGTATGTGAAGGAATGTGGCTTTACAAAGCTGTGCACGAAAATTGAACTTGTCTCAGCTGCAATGGTACACCAAGATTGAACAGTGTAACCGTTCCTAACCCAAAACTGTGTATAGGACAGCTCTCAGTCAAGGGAAATGTGAACCTCGTACTCTTCCTTCAATTGCTCACGAGACATGACATCACACACTGCTTAACATTTTTCGTTTATAAATGTATGCCCAAGGCATCATGTCAACCACATCTTTACAAGAAATGTAAAAGAACTAGCAGCAATGTGTTGGTTGTGATCCTATGCTATATTACAAATGCAAAGCTTATCTTTTTTGTAGCTTTTCCTAGACATATTCACATCCAAGATTTTGCTGCTATTATTGTTATTAGCTGATGGTGTAGTGAATTATCACACTTTCCATTTGCACCCTCTTAAAGCATTTAAAAACTAGAAGAGACTAAGTATTTTCAGTTGAGAACAGTTTACAAATTCGGTTAAAATCAAGTTACTTTCATGTGGTTTTGTTATTGTAACAAGGCTGCTAATAATTGTCTTGAGAGATGTGTGCAACTAGTTTTCATCCTGTGTGCCATAAGTTGAACGCCTTAGAAGAGACACGAATGTACAAGACATTTGAATATAGGAGACACCGCTGTGCCTATGTCAAAATAAGAGTTGATAAGAAAATACAAATATGGTACTCTGCTTATGAGAGACACATCATGCAAAAGACAGGAATAGCTCCTAAATGTGTCTTTTATAAAAGGAATCGACTGTAGGTGATCAATGTTATTACGTACAATGTGCTACGATACTGTCAAAATAGGACTTGATAAGAAAATGCAAATATGGTACTCTGCTTATGAGAGACACATCATACAAAAGACAGGAATAGCTCCTAAATGTGTCTTTTATAAAAGGAATCGACTGTAGGCGATCAATGTTATTACGTACAATGTGCTACGATACTTCCTTCATTGCTTTTCGAGCAGCAATGCTGGTTTTTCTGTACCAGCTGCCGATTTGACATCTTGTGCCAGAACACCATTGGCCAGTTTCTCTTAGTTCTCCCTAAATTGGCACATATCTTGCACTACAAGAACTCTCTCAGCCATTCTATGGCACAGGACAACAGAATTGTTGCAGGTGAATCATTTCTTGAATTTCCTAGACTGTTTACTGTCAAGAGATTATCGCATTATCCAAAGTTATAAGAATGATAGAGTCCTTCTCTTACATTTAGTTTTCCTGATGGGTTCCTCATAATTATGAATCAAAGTACAGCATCTACCTCTGTGTATTCTTTTGAAAATGTCTAATCTCTTTCTTTCTTTTTTGCATTCATGACACTGGCTGGCACAACGACTTCGGTCCAAGAAAGCAAATTGGATGCCCAATTTTATTCACCCCGCCCCCACAACTCCCTGAGCTGTGGAAGTGACACTCAGTAAGCTATTAGCTCACTTTGATCTTTCAAAATGTTCTGGGTGTGAAGTGAATTGTAATAAAGCTCTTCAGTAATTTAACTAAATGGAAACAACACTGAAACAATCAATAGGTTTAGATTGATAAGCTTTGCTTCAGACTATAATGACATGTACTTTCATCATCACAGGTTTAATAATAAAGGAGAAAATCAAGGTCAAAGCCCCATTTTAAAATTTTATGCCGAAAGATCAGTGTGTGACGTCACGGATTTTGAAGTGCGTTTTTCATGTTTTGCCAATGCTGGCTCTACAAAATTTTATTAACTTGGTACGTTCAGTCTCTGGCTCACTCAGAGGACAATGTGCTTCATTTTCACTGATATAAAATGATGCAGATCCTAGTAGATACTCTCAAAATCTATGATGTCGTGGCAATTGGTGCAGACACTTCAAGGAGGCATCACCACCCACATTTTCCTGCTTGCCAAGCATCTTCTTGGTGTAAGCATGGTGATTTTGATATTGCAAAAGAGTAACTTATTAATATAAAAGACAAATCGGTTTTTCTTTATTGACCTTTCAAACTATCAAAGGATAGTATTAAGTGTACAAGGCATTGTCAAAATATATGACAAGTCAAGTGGCCATTTCAGAGATGAGTAGCTCGTTGCTCCTCATCCAAATTAGGCATAGTATTAATACACTTAGAAGAGGGGGCAAAAATCTCAACCAATAATTATGCACCCTATTAACAGCCAAATTAATAACATAATACAAAACTTTACAGCAGTGAAGTTTACCGAACATGGTCTTCGAAAGCTGGAGGGATGTCTCTATAGAGGTTGTCGATGACTGCTCTAACTGGTTCCCAGTAGTTGTTCAATTCACCCATGTAAATTTCCTGTCAAAGTAAGATTGGTATTCTCATACTTAGTTACCTGTTTGCTGTAATATTTCACACCACATATCATACATAGCATCAGAATACTGCAGCATACAGGTGGCTATACAGACATTACGAGAAAACAAATTTTAAGCAGCTGGAAGAAAGTGACATGTACAGCATACTTAAAATAAAATATCAGACACAATAGCAACTTTTGGGATTTGGTGTGAAAAAATAATGATGATTGAATGAATGGCTACTCAACAATCGACCACATTCATACTATCAATCAGGTAATAGAGATATGCTCAGAATATAGCCAACCACTATACATAGCCTGCATAAATTACGAGAAGGCATTTCATTCAGTAGAAATATCAGCCGCCCTGCAGACACTGTGGAATCAGGGCGTCGATGAAGTATATATAAACATCCTGGAAGAAATCTACAGGGGATCAACCGCTACCATAGTGCTTCATAAAGAAAGCAACAAAATACCAATCAAGAAGGATATAAGGCAGGGGGATGCAATCTCCCCAATGCTATTCACCGCATGCTTACATGAGGTTTTCAGAAGCCTAGAATGGCAACAGTTAGGAATAAGAGTTAATGGAGAGTACCTTAGTAACCTGCGTTTCGCCGATGACATTGCATTGCTGAGTAACACAGGGGACGAATTGGAACTCATGATTACGGAGCTAAACAAGGAGAGCAGAAAGGTGGGTCTTAAAATTAATCTGCAGAAGCGAAAGTAATGTACAACAACCTCGGAAGAGAGCAGCGCTTCGAGATAGGTAATAGTGCACTTCAAGTTGTAAAAGACTATGTCTACTTAGAGCAGGTAATAACCGCAGAGCCTAACCACGAGATTGAAGTAACTAGAAGAATAAGAATGGGGTGGAGCACATTTGGCAAGCACTCTAATATCATGACGGGTAGATTGCCACTATCCCTCAAGAGGAAGGTATATAACAGCTGTATCTTGCCAGTACTTAGCTATGGAGCAGAAACGTAGAGACTTACAAAGAGGGTTCAGCTTGAATTGAGGACGATGCAGCGAGAAATGGAAAGAAAAATGGTAGGTGTAACCTTAAGAGACAAGAAGAGAACAGAGAGGATTAGGGAACTAACGGGGGTTAAGGCTATCATAGCTGAAATCAAGAAGAGGAAATGGACATAGGCCGGGCATGTAGCACGTAGACAGGATAACCGCTGGTCATTAAGGGTAACTAACTGGATTCCCAGAGAAGGCAAGCGTGTTAGGGAAAGACAGAAGGTTAGGTGGGCAGATGAGATTAAGAAGTTTGCGGGTATAAATTGGCAGCAGCAAGCATAGGACCGAGTTGACTGGTGGAACATGGGAGAGGCCTTTGTCCTGCAGTGGACGTAGTCAGGCTGATGATGATGATGATGATGAATGAACGAATGATTGTGACCTGTATTGAAAGTAAAGAAGGATTCTTGGCCGCTGTAGGAGATGAGGAGGGAACGGGGTGTGGAGATCAAAAGGAGATGAGCAACTTTACGTCACGCCTTCACAAGAGTCAGTAGATCCCTCTTACACCACTTGAAACAGGCCATATAATTGCTAGATCTTTCTGTGCTTCGTGGTCACACTTTATTAAATTCTACAAAGCTGTCATGTAAATGCACACAACATGTAGTATGTGCCGCCAGCCTTTTGAGGAAGCTGTACATGTCAAAATGATGTTCTAAATACACTGGGCACAGTGTCTGGCAGCGCGAGATGCCGTAGTGCAAGGCTCGGAAAATTTTGATTGTGCAATATTCTTCCATGTGCACCTTAATCTAGGTGCACTAGCCTGTTCCCAAGACCTTCAGGTAAGCAGTCGAGCATGGTAACCACTAGAACACTGAGGCAAGCATATCAAGAACGAATCAAGTTGTGCATGACAGCGTGATAATGATACTTGAAGCTATGCAAGACAGAGCTGTTAATCATTCGAAGTCCTCTTATACAAGCGCACAAAAATGTTCCGCAATAGATTGGAAGAGACACTCTTGCAGTAGACATATACGCTAAATTTACAATACGCAAACATGTCTCTTCCCATTTACGTTACAACTGCTACTAATAACACACCGCTCACTTTCTTTGGCATGACTGTCTAATGACTCTAATTAATATTGTTACGAGAAGGAGACCGACTCAAAGGGGTAGTCGCCGATGTATTTACAGCCGGTTAAGCGAGCAGGACCAGCCATACAGATTAGCTAGCGCCTGTCTATCTGCTTTGTCTTCTTCAACTACATGCACTGGCACGTAGCATGACCCCCAGCGGCGGAGGCACCGTCCTGGTGCTTTAAAGGTCGTTATCTGACGCATTCTTGTAGGGCTTGATCCGCGAGACGTGTACAATATCACTGGACCGCATAGTAGATGATGATGGATAGATGGGGCTGATCTCGTGGGTGACAGGTGTTACTTGACGCAATATACGGTAGGGTCCCGTGTAATGAGACAGAAGTTTTTCTGATAGACCCAGCCTATGATGAGGGGACCAGAGTAAAACAAGGGTATCAGGAACGAAATGTACGTCTCTATGTTCCGCATCGTACCGACGGCATTCGTTGGTTTGCGACGTCATCAGCCGAGCGCGAGCGAGCTGATGGGCATGATCGGCTCGCACAATCGCGTTTTGGGCATACTCCCTAGTGGACGAGGTGTGAGCTGAGATGACTGTGTCCAGTGGTAAAGTTGGCTCTCTTCCGTACAGTAAGTAGAACGGCGAAAAGCCCGCTGTGTCGTGACGGGATGAATTATATGCGAAAGTTGCGTAGGGTAAGGCAAGGTCCCAGTCTCGGTGGTCGGGCGACACGTACATAGCGAGCGTATTTGTTGATTGATTGATTTGTGGGGTTTAACGTCCCAAAACCACCATATGATTATGGAGCATATTTGTTGAAGTGCGGTTAAATCATTCCGTGAGGCCGTTTGTTTGAGGGTGGTAAGCGGTTGTCAGTGTGTGTTGCGTGGAACAAGAGCGCAGAATGTCGGCAATGACTTGGGATAGAAATGTATGGCCACGGTCTGTGAGAAGCTGTCTCGTAGCACCGTGAATCAATATAACGTCCCGTAACAAGAAGTCAGCGACGTCGGTTGCACAGCTGATCAGTAGAGCTCGCGTAATAGCGTAGCGTGAGTGTAGTCTGTAATAACGGCTATTCATTTGTTTCCTAATGTTGATGTGGGAAAGGGACCAAGCAGGTCTAACCCAACATGGTAAATTGGTACCGTGGGTATGTCAATTGGTTGAAGATGGCCAGCGGGTAGCAGCGACGGTGTCTTACGACGTTGGCATAGGTCACACGTGGCGACGTATCGGCGTACCAAGCGAGCAAGGCCTGGCCAGAATAAACGGCGCCGGACGTGCTCGTACGTGCGGAATACGCCAAGGTGCCCAGCCGTGGGAGCGTCGTGAAGTTCGGTGAGAACACAGCGGCGCAAATGCTTAGGCACAGCAATGAGAAGGTCGGACCCATCTGGTCGGAAATTGCGACGGTAGAGCACACCCTTTTGAATGACAAAGTAGCGGACAGAAGCATCATTTGGGGAGGATTCCATACGGCTCATGATGTCAAGCAGCACTGGATCACGCTTATGTTCTTCCCCAATATTGTTCTTCTCTTATTTTCTTCCCACTGACAAGATAGAGTTCCCCGTGGGCTCGTCAGTGTCGTCAGGATCGTCGACAGGATACCGGGAGAGGCAATCGGCATCAGGGTGTAAGCGGCCAGATTTGTAGACTACCAAATAGGAAAACTCTTGCAGGCGCAAAGCCCAGCGACCAAGGGGGCCTGATGGATCTTTCAGAGAGTTGAGCCAGCAGAGTCCGTGGTGGTCGGTAACTACCGAAAATGGGCGGCCGTATAGATAAGGTCGAATCGCCACCGCCCATACAAGAGCCAAGCACTCGCGCTCTGTGATCGAATAGTTACATTCAGAAGCGGATGGGAGGCAGCTGGCATATGCAATAACGCAATCACGGCCATGTTGTTTCTGAGCCAGCACTGCACCAATGCCATGTCCACTTGCATCTGTATGGATTTCTGTAGGGGCAGCAGGGTTAAAGTGTGCCAGAATCGGAGGAGTAGTGAGAAGAGCGACGAGAGTCGAGAACGCAGAAGCCTCTTTGGCGCCCCATGAAAACGAGACTTCTTTCTTGAGGAGCTGCGTAAGCGGCCTCGCTATGTGCGCAAAATATTTCACGAAGCGTCGGAAGTAGGAGCATAGTCCGATAAAGCTCCGTACATCCTTCGCAGATCGTGGTACAAGAAAGTTTTTGACGGCGCTGATTTTTGCCGGGTCTGGTTGTACACCGTTGGCGTCTACTAAATGGCCAAGTACTGTGATTTGATGGCGTCCAAAGTGACATTTGGACGAGTTGAGCTGCAGGCCAGCGCGACGGAAGATTCCTAAGATGGCTGAGAGGCGCTCTATATGAGTTTCAAACGTTGGTGAAAAGACGATGACGTCCAAGTAGCACAAACAGGTGGACCATTTGAATCCTCTGAGCAGGGAGTCCATCATTCGTTCAAAGGTGGCTGGAGCGTTACAAAGGCCGAAGGGCATGACCTTGAACTGATATAGGCCATCGGGGGTGATGAATGCCGTCTTTTCACGGTCCATTTCATCTACCTCAATCTGCCAGTAGCCGGAACGAAGGTCTATGAAAGAAAAATAGTGGGACCCATAGAGGCAATCAAGCGCATCATCTATTCGTGGCAGAGGGTAGGCGTCTTTTTTGGTAATTTTGTTGAGATGTCGATAATCAATGCAGAAACGCCATGCACCGTCTTTCTTGCGGACTGGCTCTACAGGAGAAGCCCAAGGACTGCAGGATGGCTCAATGACGGCCTTGGCGAGCATTTCATCCACCTCACTTTGGATAATGTGACGCTCGGCTGCCGACACCAGATATGGACGCCTATGAATAGGATGCTCATTACCAGTGCTTATGCGGTGGGTCATACCGGTAGCTTTCCCCAATGTACGGCCGCTGAGGTCAAAAACGTCGATGTAGGACAGCAGAACCCGGTGGAGCTCATCAGTCTGCTGCGACGATAAGTTGAAAGCGATCATCGACGTAATAGCGTTGTCGGAGCAAGTGGCAGATTGATGTTGAGCGTGGGGGTCAGAAGGAGTGGCCATGGCGAAAACATCTACCGCATTGTCTTCTAAGGTGCAGAGCAACGCCAAAGAGATCCCTTGTGGCAGAACTTGAGGTGTCAGGCTAAAGTTGACAACTGGGAGGCACGTAGAATTTTCTGCGACGGACAGAATGGTGTGCGGTAATGTAATGCCGCGATTTATGAGGACATCGGTGATAGGGGTCAGAACATAGTCACCGTCGGGAACTGGTGGTACTGAGACGAGCTCTATGTAGGTCAGTGTCTGTGGAGGGAGGCGCGCGTGTCTCGTTGTACAGAGGCGACTCGGCCGTTGTGCAAGAGGTTCTGTAGCGGGCAAGTGTACACGGATCGTACTGGTCGAACAGTCTATGAGGGCAGAATGAGCGAACAGGAAGTCGAGGACTAAGATTACGTCGTGGGGGCACTTATCAAGGACAGTGAAGAGAACAACTGTGTGTCAATTCGCAATGCTCACACGAGCGGAGCACATTCCAATGATAGATGCTATTCCACCATCCGCAACACGAACGAACTGAGTGGTCGCAGGTGTGAGAACCTTCTTGAGCTTGCGGCAAAAATCATCCGTCATCATGGAAAGTTGAGCGCCGGTGTCGACAAGAGTAGTGACATGTACGCCGTCTACTTGTACATCTATAAGGTTCCGTTTTGTCGGTATCGTCAAGAGAGGATTTTCGGTCCATCTGAGCGATGCAGCACCACCTCCGGGGGCTGCAACACTTAGTTTTCCATCGGGGAACCTCGTGGGAAGGTGGGGGAAGACGGTCGGCGGGGCTGTGGAGAACGAGACTGGCGACGTTGGGGGGATGGAGAGCGAAAGTAGCGGTGTTCAGAAGCAGGTTCCTGGGCAAAATGGTGATAGGCAGGACATGCATAGAAGGGACGAGAGGACGGTTGTGCAGGAGGACCGCAGCGACTTCTGCAATGGCGAGAAATGTGCCCGATTCTGTGACACGAGAAGCAGATCGGCTTGTCATCGTGTGTTCGCCATGCGAACAGATTACGGAACGTTGAGGGAGAGCCGGTCGGGAAGGGACGTGCAGGCATGTATTGGGGCTGGTAGTCGGTGCGGGGAGGCGGTGAGATAGAGTGAATTCCCAAGCTGGCGATTTCCTGCCGGACGACTGCTTGAATGAGAGGTAACGTGATTGGAGGAGAGGGGTCAGGGGACGTTTGTCCCACCTTAGCTGGAGCAGCCGCTTCAAGTTCCCGCCTGACGATTCGCGTCAAGTTGTCACAGGTGTCTGGTGGACGATATGTGTCGAGACACGAGGACGTCGCAGTGGTTTTCGGAAGGCACTGGAACTGATGGGAGATGCGTCTGCTTTTAGCTAGTTGGAACCAGCGGCATTCTTGAATGATTGCATCAACAGATGACACATTGTTGAATACCAACAAGTTGAACGCATCGTCGGCAATACCCTTTAGGATATGCGCAACTTTTTCAGGTTCGGACATGTTTTCGTCAGCTTGGCGGCATAGTGAGAGGACAGCCTGAATGCAACTGATGTAGGGCTCCGTGGAAGATTGTGCGCGAGTTGACAACTCATTTTATGCAGCTTCACGACGACCAGAGATGTTGCCAAAAAGCTCACAGATCTTTTCCTTGAAGCTACCCCAGCTTGTTATGTCATGCTCGTGGTTGACAAACCAAACACGAGGGGTTCCGTCGAGATAAAAGATGACGTTTGCGAGCATAAGAGTGGGATCCCACCTGTAAGTGGCGCTGATGCATTCGTAGAGGCGCAGCCACTGGTCGACGTCGAAACCCTCGCTGCCCGAGAACACGCCGTGGTCTTTGAGCGCGGGAAGCGTCACGAAAGTTGTTGCGGCCGCTGGGTTGACAGGCCGGGCAGAAGGGTGGGCGACCGGAGAAGATAAAACAAAGTCTTGAGTGGTCATGTTGTAAGCCGCGAGAGAGTGTCCGCTTCGGAGTTTTGTGGCGAGGACGGGGATCGCACAATTCCACCAAAACTCCACTGGCACGTAGCAATATTGCGTCTAACAAAGAAACATGTGCCCCTAAATTTGCACCTCTTTCCTTCAAACATGTCATCAGTGTTTTCTATCACTCCGAGTAATTCCTTCATTCATGAAGTTTTCGCCTAGCCTTCATACTTTTTTTGGGATACTGGTCTTGATAGCGTGCCTGTGTATTTTGTGTGTGTTATTTTAATAATGTTCATCATGTTGTCCACATCACCAAAGTAGCCTGGTAGGACTTAAATCATGACAAGCTTTCATAGTTTATGAATAAGTACACATACATTTCACATCTCTCTCTTTTTTTTACAATACCAGGTAGGTGGCAATGCCGTATAAGTAAGGTACGAGGTCACAACTTTTCAAACGTGCAACTGGTTGTTCCATGTTTTCAAACAAGTCACATTTAGCAGTTACTCACGTACAGTTCTGTATTATATTGTCCATCTTCTTCTGGTCCTTGCTGACAGGCTTCGGAATGAGGTAACTGCCCAGTGCCAACACACCATGCGGCATTAGGACTCTTCTTACTTCCTTGTAGAATGAATCCAAGTCAAACCAGTGAACAGCCTGCATTACTGTAATCAGCTGCACAGACTCATCTTTTTCAGGATTTTCTCAGCTGGTGACATACTGTGGAAGTATGGGAATTGTAAGAAAAGTAAAGAAAAAATTAAATAGACAAGGACAACTTAAAACCATTTACTTTTCAGTGTTCAACATAAGATTAACCACTTTTCTGGACACTAGGCCTGCCAGTCACACAAACTTGTATGATCAGAGCCCTGCACTTCCCTCGGTAAACACAGCCAACATTTACATAACAAACATGAATGCAGAAACTACCTGATGTTATAAAGTAAATCTACATTGTTATCTATATAATGTACCGGGTAATTAATGTGTGCTTATAAAATAATGCTTAATATATTAAAGGCACTTTCGTCTTAGATGCACCTTCACAAAAACAAGTTCAACTCTTTTAAAGAGATCCTCACCAGGCTTTATTCTTAATTTTCAGTGCTTACTTGAAGCCTTCTAGGAAAATAGTTTTTCCAACTGATGGAGGTCTACAGGCCACATAAGCACTTTTCCACACCATTTTGATCTTGGCCACATATTACGTAAATATTTATGCAGCTTCAGTATCTGAGTACAGAACTGGCTCTACTACTTACAGTCACCTTACCAAAAGTAAACATTGTTAAATGTGTTTAATGCTCTCGCTTCATTGATTTGTGCTTCGGATACGTCATATCCGTGCACTTCCTTGAAGTATGGAGCGAGAGGGCTTGTACTTATGCCAGGGCCACAGCCAACATCCACTGCAAGGTCGAAATTGAAGATCTGCAGAAACCAGGGGGTTTATTGTAAGAGAAAACCAGAGAAGTTGACCTGAACTAATATGTCCTGCCTTCCTGCTAAACACTGCAGTGTAGAGGGGTAGCGTATGGGGAGCAAAAGTGAAGGTAAGAAGCTAACACGTGTTGTAAGTTGTTGGTCGGTGTTCGTGAAGTCTTGACTTTTGTCCACGTTAAAGCACTTAGTAGCATAGTTGGATTGTATTTACTGCAGCCAGCTTGTCCACATGGTGCATGGCACACGTGAAGTTCATGCTTTGCTTAGGTCGTTCACAAGACAGTAGGCTTAATTATTTCATGAAGAATGAACCATGCACTGGAAAGGCTGCAAGAAAGGGTGCAGGGCACAGTGTGTCTTTTCTCGCTCTTTGCCACCATTTGCTGTTTTGTGCTGCATGAAGCCATGGATGAATGCCGTCCTACTCGCATGGTTTTCTCTCCTAATGTTGGTATCTGCAGATGGCAATGTGAACCTGATATGCGCACGTCCTCGACAAATTTTCCACAAGAGGTATTTCTTGGAGCTAAACACCCAAACAGGCAAGCCGAACAAGGCGCAATAAGTGGTGAAGTTAGCAGCAAATGAGACCCCCGCGACGTGGTAATTAGCCACATAAACAAAGTGGGATATAGAGAAGCTTATTGAAGTCTACAAAGAAAAGAGCAGCGTTAGAAGTGAACAAATGAGAGCAGAGCACGCATTGATGGAGGAATGCTGAACTACATAGACAAGTGAAGATGTTCCGGTTAACATAATAAAAGCTTCAGTTAAGCCAGCTTTTTACAAGTACATGGCATGCGATGGTTCCTTCTTGTTGCGACTGAGTGCTGCCGGCCAAACCAACGAAAAAAGGAAGGAGGGCTGCGATTTCTGCAGGCTCGTGATGCTCTGCAGGTGCATTACGAACTGCCATAATTACTCACTGACAAGTAAATTCGGCTTGAATGCCAAGGAAAAGTACGTCTTGTGTGGTGGTGAGAGAGGTTAATTATTACAGATTCATACAAAGTAATTATACCGCGACAGTTTATGCTGCTCTAGCAAATTCGTAGGCGAACTCGCGGGATTTGCGCTGGTGCTATGACTTACATGTACTTTAACAAATTTCATTATTTCATCGATGAAAGCCTGCGGTGCAGTGGGCCGAAATTTAGCGTATATATTAGCGTGGCTAACTGTTTTAAACAAATGACTCATGTTAGCTATGCTAGTTTGCCGAACAGACTATACTTTGCAGAGTAGAGATGGGAGAGCTTTTAGATCAAATGCATGACAGAAAGTTTTGATCACAGGTTTCATATTGAGAGACGTGTGAATAACAGTAACGACAAAGTGAAACTATTTTCACGTCGTACACAAGCGCAAACATTTTTGAAAAAAATGTTATACTCTTCAGCTCTAAGAACACTGCACTGTCTGTACTGAAACCAACTTTTTTCATTTATTATTTATCATTTAGTTGTTACACATGACTAGACCATATACGATGGTTTGCAGTTGTATTGTAGGTCAGCCAAGAATAGCCAACAGCGTTCCAACGTCATGCAACACCGACAGAGAACAGCAGGTAGTTGAAGTGCATTTGAAGTGGATGTAGTTGCTGCAAACGACCGAATATTAACAATATTTAGCAGCCACCGAACGTCCGGAGCATCGCCCGCTACCGTGCATTTTAGCAAAAATTTCTACGCTCTACTGACAGCCTTTGTTGAGCCAACGCTGAGCGCATGTTGGTGCTTAGATGAATCGTTACGCGAGCAAGGTACGCTCAGGAGCAGCTGTGAATAACGACATTCGACCAGCGAAACGACCCAGGTTGAATGAAGCTGACAGTTCAGATGACGATTTTCCAGACGCCGACCTCACGGTCGAAGAATTCGATCTGTGTCTAACACAGGCTACTGGAGCATCGAAGCCAACCAACACCACCACAGACACCGGCAATGTTAGCAACGGACTGCCCTGTGTAGCAATAAAAGACCTCAGCTACAGTTTGGACGGGCAGGTACAACTGCTACAGCGTAAGGTTGCGTCCCTCGGTAAGGAGTTGCATGACACACGCCTTGGCAAGCTAGACGAGCTGAAAGCGCAAGCAGACGCCTTTGCGAAGGAACGACACAACCTCAAAGCGCAGATTGAATTCAAGGATGGTGAGCTACGTAGCTGCGCCATACGACAGGCGACGTTGGAAGAAAAACTTCGCGAAAAAGGCATTGAAACCCGTCTCAAGCAAACAGTTGAGCAGGCAACGTCAACCGGCGACGCTCCGTTCTCTTCTACTTCAAAAAACGGTAGCGTTGCCACGAAAGCACCGGAACGCATCTTTACATTCAGCAAAGGTTCGAACCGGTCGGCTTGGTTGTCGTCGCAGTATGGTGTTCACGCGTTCCAGAGTACCGCAAGCGATCACAACGGACAAGCGCACCTCGACGTGTTACGGGACTACGCGAGCAAACGAACAAGCGGAGATGTGGCACAAGTTGTTCCAAATGCTGTTATTTTGTCATTGCGTGGGCTCAGTGGATGCATACACGAAACTTTAATCTGCGCCTCGTCGGCAGACAGCTCTGTTGCAGAGAGGGTCGCCCTAAGCGCGGAAAAGTATGACGAAGGATTCGTTTTCGATGTGTTGGCAGACTTGTGCATGGTTGAAGACTCGGCTCTGCTTGCTGCCGTGGTAGGCTTGCTGAATGCTTTTGCTCTTTCTTCGGAAGGGGCGTGCTCGGCAATACTGAAGCGGCCGGGCATGCTGACTCACCTTTTGCAGCGATTCGGCGAAGAAACGGTCACCATTCCAATTCTTAGGCTTCTCAGTTCCCTTGCGAACGTCGATGACTCGCTCGCACCTTTTTGTTGCTCCTCAGCGACAGTGTCGCGCTGCATGTGGAAGTGCCTGTGCAAACCGTTTGAACAACACGTCGCTGTGCCACTTCTCAATGAAGGACTTCATTTTGCACACCAAGCTTCCTGTACAGCACAGAGCTTGTGCCCGTGTTTTGCCTGGTTTGTCACAAAGATTTCTCAGAACATCAGAGCCTTGCAGTTGTCCTCGGCCAGCATGCGGAGTTCGAACGCCCTCTTGAGTCGCATCTGTGCCATAGCCCAAAGCCAGCCTCAGCACAGACAGCAGGCGTGCCGACTACTGACACCAGGCAAGCACAGCTCTAAGCTTGTCCAGGTGTGGCCATTTGTGGATGAGGACACTGCCAATCAATCACCGAGTTCTGACCAGGACTGAAACGAATTTGCAACATTGGGTTTCAACTTTGCTTTTGTGAAGGATGCAATGTCACAGTGTACAGCCACAAAAGAAAGACCGATATGCTGCTTTGCAGCAAAAGAACTTTTCCGGAGTATTTGATGTAAATAATTCTCTTTATTTGTACACCGTTGAGCACCATGCTCAATTTTTAGCTAAAAATATACATCTAGCCCGGTTTCCACTGCCCCTTGTTGAGTTTGTTGACTCTGTCCGAGTGCGCATGGTTTCTGTTGGCCAGGCCTCGTAGTTGTCGGTTCACATTCCTGAGTAAGCGGGACCACCGCCACTTTCCGGCGTGACCCAATTGATGTTTTGACTTGGATCTTTGATATCACACGTCTTGCAGTGTATGCAGTTCTGTGCATTAATTTGCAGTCGAACACCTTTGCCATCCTCTTTAGGCACATATTCATAGACACCTGCAAAAAGTGACATGAATTAATTGGGGTAACAAAAGTTGCTATCAGTAATGAAAATGCAATTAAAAATGGAGGCAATGAATGGTCACAAGTTATCTCCAAAATGCAGTCGCGTATGTCCCACACTGCCATTTCATGTTGACAAAAAAAAAAATGCTTTCGTGGACATAATTTTTAGACTAAAGTACCGAAATAACACTGCAGTATCACCTCGCCACACCAAAGAGCGATAAACTAGATTTTGAAATGGTTTGTTGCTTTAAATTTGACCCTGCTCTCATGTAAAATCTGCTATGGAGTAAATTAGAAAATGTCCACCCACTAATTTTGTTTGCCTTCAGTCAAGAAGTTCGGTACTATGATCAGAAACAACTTTTCTTGGCAGTACTGTGGATACTACAGAGCTGAAACGAATGCCTGTTTCCGTGCCATAAAATAGTACTTAAATCTACTGCTAATTTCCTCATTCGCCTTGCTGAAATAAATACTTCATTATCATCAGACTTGAATAGCTACGGGATTTGGGTGGTAAAAAACAGTTATTGTTCACTTTTCAAAAATACCTTTCTTTTCTGCATGCCCATTTTCTGAAGCATACATGGCGTCCATGACGCAGTGCCTCAGTGTGTGGCCGTCAGCGAGTTGTTTAATTCTCCGAGAAAAATGTACTCGTATGACACTAAAATGTACATTGAACAATTGAAATGTCTTACTGATCCAATTTTTCATGTACATGCTTTTCTGAACGCATTAACGATGCAAGCGAGCAAAACTGATATCAGTCACAAGCTGCCGTGCAACTCAAACATAAAGCCCAGCCTCCACAGCCTTTGGTCTACAGTCAAAATAAGTTGTCAATGAATATAGTGCACCAGGATGCTAAAATTTCACAGTGTTAAAAACAGTCTCAAAATGAACTTACACAATGGTAATTAACTATGTAGTAACAATCCTCTATGGCCACTCAGCCAAAACAAGAGCGTTACTAATGCACTGTGTCAGAGTTTCCTTATTCGAGCTTCTAGCCTATGCAATTAATTTAACGAAAGCAGACCTATACAACTTGACCAGTAAAGCAAGTAGTAGTAAAGACCAGTAAAGCCTGACCTATTTAAGGCAGACCAAGTTTGCACATTCAAGCTTGAGAAAGTAGTTCTCATGCTACATATTCCTGTCAACATTAAAGCATTGAAATTCTGCAATTAAGACGACCAACATAGCCAAACCTAGATTTATATCTAAGTCTTTAGTATGACAAACTTTTATTCAATGTTCGGTACCTGTATCACATGGGTCCTTTTGAAAGGTTATCAAGTCGATGTCAAAACGTCCCAACTGCATCAACGCGATAAAGTTGTTGTGTTGCTACATGACAATTTTGAAAGGACGTTGAGTGAATCAGACATTGCAAGCAAAAATTGTGTGGAGCTGCAGTTCTTCATTTTTCTTATTCATAAACCTAAAATTTGTTCAAGGTTACTTAAAAACTCAAATATATCTGTTGACATTGCTTCAATACTTCAATAAATTGGTTATTTGTAGTTATGAATGCATAGTTAGCTTTCAGGTTACTGAGAAGCTAAACTGTGGCAAGCGAAACACCACGATGAACACAAGCATGAGGCTGTTGTCGGAAGTACGCGCAGTTCACACATTGCGAACAAAGATACTATGCCAAGTGATTCACAACACTCGCATAGCCTGCTTTTAAAGCATACTGGTCAGATTCCTTTTTTTCTAATCGCGTGTACGAGCACACCCGGAAAGAGCGGGCACATTCATGCTGTTTCCGCTTTTGTCACTCAATGCCCATCAAAGCTTCAACAGAGTTGTGGGGTGCTTCATTGACTTCATAGACTATTGACTCAACGGCCTTCGAAACTACCTCTGGGGAGGCTCGTGCTTGACAGTTCAGTCAATAGACCATAGGTTCAATGGACTTCCTGATGCCCGCGTTTCACGGGCGAAATATTAGTTACAGTGAACACAATATTTTTAGGGGCGAAGCTCCGTGGGGTCTGGGTCATTTCCTCCTCCATTTGTATGCAGTATGTACTATGTAGCCATCTATAATTTATGAATTGCTCACTAGATGGCATTGTGTGTATATGTCCTTGAAAATATCACTAGATGGGGTTAGAGGCCTTCATATACTTCACGATTAAACAGGATAGATGGCGCTAGTGAATGATGATAAGTGGGGCTAGGCATCAGTCCGTCCAATGCGTGCTCTAGTGTCATAGGTGCGGGCGGACAGACAGACGGGCGGACAGTTTGCCCCAATCATCGTAATTCGCTCCATGGATGTGCTGTGAATTTTTTTGTTTTCTCACTATTCAGAAAAGTAGTTCTGTAGTGCAACTTTCATTTACAGAGACGGGTTCATCACAAATAGTTAGCCTGAATCGCTGCTTTCAGGCCAGTAGAGAGAGAGAGAATAAAATGAGGGAAAGGCGGGGAGGTTAACCAGAAATTAGAGCATCCGGTTTGCTACCACGCGCTAAGAGAATGGGGAATAAAGATGGGAAAGAAAGCAAAGAGCGAAATAGACGTGCAAAAAAAGAAAAGAAAGTGAGCTGGTGTGCTATAGCCTATTCAATAGGCCACTACCATGCAAAAAGTTCAATGAGGTCTTCAATGATTTTCTGTTCGAAGACAGATTATGTCACCTTTCAAGCACTGACTGATCTGACAAGGGTCTGTTTTCAAGGCGAGCTAATGCAGCAGCTAGCTGCCGTCTTTGCACGCTGTAACAAGGGCAGTGACAGAGAACGTGCTCTATCGTTTCATCACTGCCGCAATTATTGCAAGCAGCACTGTTGTCTTCCATGCCAGTAGATTCCACAAGAACAGTGAGAAAATTATCATGATGATAAGGAAAGAAAAGTAGATGGGAACATATAAAAACCACAGAAAAGACTCGATACACTTATTCAATTGCACACCACTGCCATTAACTGTCTTTTAGGAATAACCAAAATGACTTTCATGGGCAAATTTGAGACATATTTTATGTGCACCCCAAAGTACTTTTAAAAGTGGCTGGTTGACTTTACACAAAGGAACCAAAGATACACACATGTTATGTACTACACATAAACGTGGCCCAGCAGTACAGAAATAAACTAGGCTATCAATTATATGCAAACACGCCAGTTTTGATATGGCACTCGGCATGAATTTAGTAGTGCTGCCTTTCATAAAATGTAGGACAACGCTACATCACGTTCATGACTGACACATAACAAAGTCTGCTTGCCTGCAGGGCAAAACCTCTGCTCTGGTCCATCATAGATGGCATGATTTCGCTCGACAGGGATCTTATCATTCATAAGGGTCAGGTGGGGCGGCTGATTTCCTTCGTGGTTGGTGCCTGTCAGCGCGACGGAAGATGGGAGGTCAAACGACACCACATTGTCCGGTTTCGGATACTCGATCGGCTTGAAATTCTTGGCTGGTTCCAGCTTACTGCTGTCAGTTCCTGCAAGAAGCATAAATCGATAAAAAGTTTATTTCACCACAATATCCTGGATGGTCTTCAAGTTTAAAAGCAGCTCGACTGGCCCTCTCAAGAACCTCACGATGGCGGCATATTGCGTTCGCAGCATGAATGTGCATATCTGATAACAACGTTTACATACATTAGTATTATACTATACGAGCCTTGGAAGGAATAAAATCAAGCAATAAACATGGCATACAACGAGTTACAGCAGGATTCGTGTGAAATGTTCAATGCAACATAATAATGCTAGACAAAGTGGGATCTTTGTTCTTATCACACTGAAATTACGTCACTGCAGTTGGATGGAAAGATATTGACGACAGTCAGTGAAATGTAGAATGCAGCAGCATTTCTTGTTTAGCAATTCATGTACAGGTCTCAGTACTTTTCCCCAATTTTTACGGTGTTCCAATTGCTAAACCTCAATGAAATACAGAAAAGTGGCCCTATCGCAAACAGAGACAGAAAAACACATGGGGTTAAATCTGCTTACAGACCAAACTAAGATTGATATTCGAGAATAAACAACCACAAAAATGTGGGAACTTGACTGACACAGTTCTCTTCTGTAATTTGCTAAACATGCAGCTCTTTACTACTGGAATTTGACAACTGGAAAATTTCAATATACTGGGCACAGAAAAAACCTTCTTTGCTAAGTCTTTCTGAAGTGTCTCGAGGTAACGTTAGGCAAAAATCTGATTTACTTGTGCGTAGGTCGGGTGCCAACTTGACATGCTCGCACGAATACATTATTTAGCTCATTGTACAGTTAACATCAATACAACAGAATTTCATCTGACACAAAAATAACTGTTATACTCAAAACTCATTATACCAAAGTTGCATCTTACACGAAAATAGGTTGGTTTTATCCAAAAATTTGTTATACAGTCGAACCCCGCTACAACGAACGTCGCTTCAACAAACGCCACTTCAACGAAATTTCCGCGACTACAAAAATTTCACGGTTCTCCGTCAGCAGTTCATAGGAGTCAATGCATAACTTTGTCGCCACAATGAACACTTTTTTTTCTGCAGACCCGCTTCAACGAAAATAACGACGCAATTCCAGGTTCAGATACTTATTGCTATAGAGGAAACCCAATCTTTAAAATTTTGATGCCTTTTCAGAACATGAAAATACGTCGACGAAGTCTAAAACACGCGTTGGCACCACGAGAAACTGCCGCTGTTCAGCAAGCATGGGCGCCGCCATTGCTCGATAGCAATGGCATAGAGACTGCGCTGTCAGGCCCTGCTTTTGCCACCGGCTTGCTTTCGAGCCTAAGACGATCTGAGCTGAAGCTCAGTCGCTCAGTTCGTGGTTTTTTTCATGCAGCTGCCGCAGCTGCTGAGTGCAAACGCGGAGCGATGCCTTCTCCGATTCCAATGTTTATCATCTTATTCTCGCCTTGGCCAGTGTGGTACCTTGCATTACAAGCAAGGTACCACACTGGCCAGCCGCTCTTATTAGAGTGGCTGTTTCTCCGTATTATCAACCAAATCAGCTAGCCGCGAGTGATGAATGATAAGAATGGCATATAATAAGGCAAAAGTTACCGCTCCAAATACCCTGCCTCCATCTCCACTTTGTCGGATACACTTCAACGGCGGACAGCTGCTGGTGTAATGTGTTAGCGGACAGCTGCTGGTGTAATGTGTTAATGCAACTGTTTGGTACGTTCACGAAAGTGGTTGTAGGCGTTGTTTCAGCGTGGTTTTCACCATGGCCTCACTATGCATGACTGTGAATCGCATCGTGACGCTGCTGGAAAAAAATAGGAAGCAGCGGACACTTTTTTAATTTTATGAATAAACTTTCCTTTGTTTTGCTAGCTCAGATCAGCTATATTTTTTTTATTTCACTACAATGAAATTCTCGCTTAAACGCAATATTTTTTGCGCCCCATGAGTTTCATTGTAGCGAGGTTCGACTGTACAGGTAAATTTCTAACATTATAGCTATTGCAAGAGTATTGTTAAATTACAGATGTTTTGTTATATCCAGGTTCGTTATATCAAGGTATGAGTGTACATTTGATATTCATCATGTCTGTCACTGTTACATAGAGGTTCACATATAATTAAAGCTACGTCAACTTCAGATAACATAATGAAGCAAAAGCTAACTGACAAGAAAGGGGTACAATTTATTACTTAGTAAGATTACCTTTGTGGTGCAGGGTCCAGGGCTCCTTGCCTCGGCAAAGGAAATAAAAGATACCCGTGTATAAGACCGAGCCGTAAACGCCCAGAGCAGTGTTGAAGGAAGGCCGAATATTCCGCACTGAGTACAGCTCCTTCCACACTGGACTGTTGCGTATCTTCTGCTCGTAGCTGCTCGGTTCCAAACCTGGGCGCCAGAATGTACTTGTGAGACTATGCAAATGAACTCATCAAGTCTTTATAAAGAGATGACAAGGAATTTACATAGCTGCCGTATTTGCACAATTTTAAGTCGACCTATCGTACTTAAATTTTACACGCGAATTGCGAGGCAAACAAGAAATCAAGGACTCTGCAGTGAGGTTACAACATTAAGCTTGCTCAGTGATTCTACATATAGCACAGACTTACCCCAAACACTTGTTTTGAAGAGAAACAGAAACTTTCACATAAGAGAGACATGACATCGTTGGAGTGCCCAGTCTTGATGGAAGAGCCACTATTCCTATCAGCGACGGCAATCCTAAGAGACAACTTCGGCGATTTCATGACCATTAGAGGTCCGTTTTCAGATAAGTCCAAAAATTCTGAGAAACACTCGACGGTAAAAGTTTTCACAATTTGAATTTATCCAAAGAATTCTAGTTTCGACGACCAACATCACCCTGTTATGCCCTTTATTGGGCATGTTCTATGCAATCATTAATATATTGGGCGATATGGACAATCTAACCTTTACTTTACATTAGCAGTATCTTGTAGATAGCAAATATCGCATATTTAACATAGGGTTTGTAGTGCAAGGAGTGCGAGATGTCAATTTACGTAGCTACTAGGGAGTGCAAGACAACATCTTGATATAGCCCCCAGTGGCACTGGGACAAGCCAGACGACATTAAATTTACGGACCTCATAAAGTACGCTTGCATCTGTTGCAAAGAAGCTTAAGGGTGTAATACTCCCAAACGTAGGGGCTTTGTATTTAGGCATTCGAGTGTGTGTGCATTAGAGGTATTAAATTATGCTTCGTGTGTTCCAATATCTTCATGCTAAAGTATTAAACTATAAAAATAATGCAAAATTAAGCCCCTAACTTTAAAGAATTGGAAATATGCCAAAAGTAAGCTCCAATGAACACCAAATTTCTGCCAAGAACAAACGCCGAAGAACATCCTTTGAAATTCAAGAAAAATTAACTTTGAAAACACAGATCCCTACTCATGGGGTACCAGTAATTGATGGAAGAGCTCCTCTCTCTGGATTTCTCCCATGTTTCCTCGTTCGCTTTTTGACAGCTATGTTTGCCTCAAATTTCCGCCATGTCAGTGGTAGCAGTTACAGTAGACTCTCGGTATATAAAAATCTATTAAACAGAACTGCTGTTTAAATGGAACAAATGCCTCCCATAGGATTGGTTTCATACTAGTATTGTGCGTCCTTTTTTCATCTCCCAGTAAACATAACTCTTGTTAAATGGAACATACTTTTTCAGTCCCTTCAGGTTCCATTTAATGAGAGCCTACTGCACTGTACTTGAGGCAGTGGAAATGCCCGTCTGTTATTCAAATGCCACTAGCAACAAAACATTGTGCAGAAAGCTGATGCTCAGCAGAATTTTTGTATTTCCCGACACCTGCACTGCAGTGAGCTAGACTGACACTAGTCATCATTAACATGTTGACACATAGAACATTATAGCTTTTTGGCAACACGCCAAACATGTCTATCAGTGACACACGGGCATGCAGCCTACAAAAACAGTGCTGCTTTGCCACATAGCTGCGGTTGCTAGCCAGACAAGATGGTAAACATTTGTGCAACTCTGCTACCTAAAGGTCGCATGTACAGCAACTCTTGGTGCTGGTGGCTATTCACACCACAAAATAAGCACGTGAGAGCTGAAGGTCTGTTTCGCAACAGAACGCCAGAATGCCAGCTAATTTAATTTGCATGCATGTATAATAAAAAATTCATAAAGAAAACCTGCTCTTACTGAAGGAACTCAGCTGACACAACCATGAATGAGTAGGCAGGTGGTAAACAGAAGCCGTCAACGATATTATTAAGACAGGCAGCGACTAATGCTGGCGGTTGGCCAGCAGAGGCCCAGGACGTCTTTCGAGCCCAGTAGCCCAAAGCACTCTCTGCCGTGCATGAAATTCATGCAGCTTCCATGACTGTCTTCTTTAGCCAAGGCGGGCCAAGGTCAATTGCGAGTCTCTGGATTCTTGCGCAACAGCAAATCATGCTTGAAAGCATGAAAGCACTCGCCTTTGGTTGGGGAAGCATTCTCTCCTGTCAAAGTTTCAAACACGGCTTCAGCTGCAAGCATGGCACTGCGCATGGCATTGTGGGTGCCCTTCACCTTGGGCACATTCATGAAGCCAGGGCTGCAGCCAACCAGGCAACCACCAGGGAATGTTAATTTCGGGATGCTCTGCAATGTCGCATGTCATGCAATGTCAGAGCCAAAAGAAGCTAGTACACAAAGTATGTTTGCTTTACCAGAATGTTACTTTAAGGAGGCCCTGCGAGACCTTTTCAACAAGGTCAGAATACACTGGCGATTGCTAGCTGAGGCTCCTGAGAACCCGTCAGCCAGCAACTATAACACAGCACACTGCCTGAAATTCACAATTAATTGGCCAAAAATCACTTCCTCTTATTTCGCCAAATTATTCCATAAGCCCAAGATCCAGAGTCATTGGCTGATTTCGGAATCATGACCTGCATGGTTGCCGCGGCTGCTGCGGGAAGCCGCAACGTGCCCGCATGCGGGCTCTCGACCACACTGAAGGTAAGCCGCGCGTGCGAAGAAAAAAGGAACAAGAAAGTGCTTGAGATCATGACGCACACCGACTAACGGACATATCGTCTTGCCCTCTTTCATCCCTCCACTTCTCCTGTATAGCTTTGAGCACTCTCGCTGGTACGAAAGGAGAAATAAAGTGCCAGAAGTGTGCACCAAATATACTTGTAACTCCAGTCGTACTGGATAGATTGTAAACATTTTTTTAGCAGTAAATTCGTGAGGCAATAAGCTCCTTTAACGAAGCCATTTGATAATTATATGAAAAGGTATTGCAGGGCCCCTTCAAATATGGCAAGAGCACCACATATAAAATGCCACTGAAATCAAACTAATTTTTTCTTATGGCAACTAAAGAAGTTTTAAGGCGATGCACAGATACAACCAACATGCAAGAATAGTTTTCTGAACTCTTTGTAACTCTGTGCAGCAACTCTCTTAGGCTGCCTATTTACAGTCGGTTTACAGCCATCTCCCACACCACTCAGGCATCTTGGTGCTACTAGAGGCTCTATCTTTTGCACTGAGAAATGTTTTTGGCAAAAACATTAGACAAATTTACACAGTTTAGTGAGGTTGAGAAAAAATAAGACCTTAGAAACACTAGTGCCCATCAACAGCAGGGAAGTTTTATTGGGTGAAAAAACAAGAATGATTGGTATGTACAGGTATCATTGCTATTGGCACTAACCATAAAAGTCGGTTGAAATTAGTGTCACCATTGAAAAAAACATGCAAACAATATCGCATGATGTAACATGACTAAAGGGTCTGCAGTGATGTATCTAGTAAGAAGTGGCCTGGTCTGGCAAATATGTTTGAATCCCCTTGGGATTCACAAAAGTTCACAAAGTTACACACACTTCTAACATTCAGCCCCCACTGACAATAGGCAAAAATGAATGGCAATCAAGGTCGCAGCTTTGTGCTCCACAACAAAACACCACAGGCAATATACCAGTAGAGGAAGTCCTCGAGATTATAAAACATGCTCAGCCTTACATCTTGTGCCTCTAATTTTCATTTCGCACTCAAAGAAGCTAAGTTAGAGTACACACATCAACTATGTAGCTCATTTCTACACTGCCGTCAAATATTAGCCAAACTTGCAGCATTGGCAAAAGTACCTATGCTTAGCAGATACCTGGGTCCCAATTTCAGTAGCGACTGTGAATCGCATTGTACTGAAAATAAAGGCTGGTGTACAATGCCAATCCCGGCCAATGGTTATAACAACGCTGAAATTGCTATGAGTTTTACATTTCAAAACCACAGTATTGTTGAGAGGGGCGCCGCAGTGGAGGGCTTCGAAAATTTCGATCATCGGGTGTTCTTTAACGTGTCCCTAAATTAACTGCACAGGCCTGTAGCATTCTGCCTCAATCAAAATGCAGCTGCTGCTGCTGCTGAGATTTGATCTCGTGGCCTTCGGGTCAGCAGTCGAGTACCATGACCACTAGACCACCACTACGAGTACTTCATATTGCTATAATGCACATACCCAAGAAAATACACAAGACAATTAAAAATCACACAAAAACAACACTTATGCCTCCATGCGGCACGCAAGGCTCCAATATGAGTAAGAAGACGCACCTGCAGGCCCCCTTCATTGAGTGCTCTCGCCCCATAGCCAATGCGCTTGCCCCCTTCGAGTATGTTGCGTATGTGGGGGTGTGTCTTGTACCGCTGGAACTCTTGGTACGGGCTGAGGAATGGATTGTGATAATCCAAGCCGACCACGAAGCCTATGGACACCAGGGGTGCACCTTCGTCGAGGTGGTACATAAATGACCCTCCGTATATGTCCTTGTGCTGGAAGAAGGCAAAAGAACATTTTAATTGTAGAAGGGTGGTTGATGCAACAATTAGCATGTGCAAAAGTAACCTGTTTTATTTTCTTACAGTCCGACCTCGCTACAACGGCAGCCACAAAAATGAGTGCAATATTTTATTTCAAGAACATTCGTCTGGGTCTCGCTGCAAATTTGAGTTATGCACTGAGCGTTGTAATGCGCTTTCTAGAGAAAGTTCTACCGAACATTGATTGATATGTGGGGTTTAACGTCCCAAAACTACCATATGATTACGAGAGATGTCGTAGTGGAGGGCTCCGGAAGTTTTGACCACTTGGGGTTCTTTAATGTGCACACAAGTTTGAGCACACGGGCCCACAACATTTCCGCCTCCATCGAAAATGCAGCCGCCACAGCCGGGATTCGATCCCGTGACCTGCGGGTCAGCAGCCGAGTACGTAAGCCACTAGACCAGCAGGACAGGGCAGTTTTACCGAAAATTCTTCAAATTAGTTTGTTGCAGGAGTCGAACCATCCCATTACTGATCCTTCAGAACAGGAAAGCTTCACTGCCAAAGCAGACGCACTCCCCTCGTTGGTCAGCATCATCAAGCAGTGCATCTCCCCTGCACTCTTTAAAGTACCAAAAATGAGACAGCTTGTCATTTTCACTTCACGAGTCATGCCCCCCCTTGTTTTGCCTTTAAATGCTGCTTCGCAGTTAGTATTTCAAGTGGCAGCATTGTGTGCATGGCACGGAATGAAGATTCGTGGTCAGTGACGTTTAATGAGTGAATGTTATGGAGCACACACACGAGTCACTTTCAGTCTATGCGAATGCTACCGCAAAAAGAAGCATGTGAAGTAGGCATGTGCGAATATTCGAGCACTTCGATTATTCGAACGAATATTAAATTATTTGAACTTGCTTCAACACTAATTTAAAATATTCGAAATTTCATAGTATTTGAAATGATCAAATAAACATATACACTCGAACCTTATTACAACAAAGTCACAACTGCCATGAAGATACTTCAGTTCATCAAAAAATTCGTTACAAATATACTGTGGGCATTCGTTATGCACTTCTTCACATCTATACATTATCATCATCATCATCATCATCATTCATTTGGGTCTCTGTTCTAATCTGATCATCGGGTGTGTGCGCGCTATGCCACAGACTGCCCATTTGCTGCTGAGTCCTTCGGCTGAATAAATGCCATCTAAACCCAGACGTCATAATATATTTTCTGCACTGTATCTATATACTTTGTACTGACCAATAATTCATTATATCTGGGTTCCATATGTATTACACTCACGTGCACTCTTCATTTTTCAAGTTTAAACGTTTTTCATACTGGCTTATATGTTCTAAGTGTAGAAAACTACAAAACACAACGTATTTCACAGGTTATCCCTTCCACTCTGCCAAAAGTAAAATCCTGCTACTATTCATAGATGCTTCAACTTCTCTTTGAATCAAAAGAATGACGATTGCACAATCTTTGTTTCAATTTGAACATATATATATATTATGCAGATATTACAATATATTTGAAATTTGGCATATTTTTTTCTGGTTACGTGCGGTGCCTACTGAACCACTCGAAAAACAGTAAAGATTGGAAAATAATAAATATAAGGTTTAAGCAAGCTTGAAGAAAATATTGATTTGGTCTGATAGTATTGAATTGAATAGCTCCAGTAGTATAATATTGCACATTATAAATACAAAGAGAAATGAGCATTTTTATCATGACCTGAATAACTTGCTATGCATTTTTAAAAATTGTAGTTAGGCATGTGCTAGTGCCACTTTTAGGTTGGAAGTGAAGTGCAAGCAAGTTTGAATAGTATCAAAATTTGAATAGCAGTAGGGTGCAAGGTTAAAGTAAGTGGTAAGATCTCCTACATTGTAAAATTTACTACACTTAGCTTGTATAAGCCCGTATAGCACAGTTTCAAGCTTACAAAAAAATTATTGAGCTAGAGATACAGTCCCCGACTGATAAATCAGACACCGGTAATACGGACGTGCCCGGTAATTTGAACAGTCGTTCGGCACTGCCGATGGCCCCATAGAACTAATGTGTAAAGATGAACGATATTTCAGACAGCTGCCAGATCTGCATTTAATAATCTAGATCATGTCCGAAACTGGCACGCACACCAAATCAGCAGCCATTATCTCCTCTAGTACTCATAGCACATAAAGTATGGCTTCAGAGATGAAAAACGAAAGCAAACTGGTGATCAATAAGGCTTTACTTCAATTGCCCCACAGCTTTATAATAGGAAATGCCAATCTTGGAGGCACTCCTCAACTGTGAGAGGTCATATCGACATCGTGAACATCCTATGTTCCAGTTTCGGTATCCCTGCGCTGTTATGGCGCTGTACTGCTATCAGCGCTATTCTGTCGTGTCTGCTGTACAGCGTTCTGCTGTTCCAAGCACGTTTGGTTTGGTGTTGAGACCTACTTTACTTTGCACTCTGCTGTCCCAAAAGATCTGCGTTAAATGTCACCAACGGTGCCCTCACAGCCAGTGCCAAAGGCCGCGCCAACCACAAAACGCAACAGACATACACAATGCTAACCATGGCAAAGAAAGTTGCTGTCATTCTGCAAGTGCTCAGTTGTCCCCCACAAGTCGAAGCTGCCCGAGAATTCAATGTTTCGAGAGTTCAAGAACCCGACAATGCAACTGAAAAGCCAGACCTGCCGCACAGCACAACGAGCTCAGGTGCAGATGTTATTAACGACCTACGAGGCTGCGATGTGCCGATTCCTGATGCAGTTATGTTTGAAGACTTCCCAAGCATCGTCAGCGCTGTGTCGCCGTGTGCCGAAGTGAGTGACAATGACTTAACTGAGCAGATCCTGCAACTCCCAAAACAGAGATTCCAACTGTGAAGCTGAAGACACACCGTGTGCTCCGGAGCCATCACATGCGGACCTGTCTCGAAATTTCAAGCCCTCTCAATTCTTTCGTCGTCCCACCAGTGGTTCTACAGCAAGCATACCCCACTGGCGGAAGTACAGACGGACTTGGTTGCACATAAACGAAAGTGCGAGCAGCAATGCATTGTTAGCTTTTTCAGGCCACCAAGTCAGTGAAGCGTCAATAATGTATTTTTTGTCTGATGCATTCGTTTTTTCAGACATTCGATGATTCGGACTCACGTACGTTCCCCGTGAAGTTTGAATTATCAGTCAATGACTGTAATTAACACTTTTCCGCTGGATAAGTGGTTTCACACCATATTGCCCACAAGTTGCAGGAAGACTATCTGTTCACGTAGGTTACATGTGAAAGAACATGCTTCTATTAAGGGGGGAAGAGGGTTTTAAATTTTTTTTTTATATTTCTTGACCAAATTCAATGAAAATTGTAACCCAGACAGAGTTTTTCAAGCTGATTTCAAAAATATAATTGCTTTTGAAATTGGTTGGCCAGTTGCAGAGATAATTAAAATTAATCCTATATTGTTTATCAGAACAATGGAAAGGCAATTATTGGCCAGAATATTAATATTGACATATGGCTAGATACTATGAAGTGTAATTAACACAAATGTAGGATTACTTTTTTAATATTACAAGTATTACCAATTTTATAGCAATTTGAAGTTTAATCTCCAGATATCTCTATCAAGCGATTAAATTAGTACCAAGAATAAAAATTTAGAAAGACTAGATTGAAAAATCTGTTCCTACATTTGTGTAGGAGACATATGTAGCTACATGCCACCACAAGAATTGTGGCTCTATGTGACCTCAAGACCAAGATATCGCTTTGGCAAGTTTCAAAAACATCGAAAATGACATTCTGAGAAAACGTCAAAAAACAAAATAGGCTCATATTTAATACAGAAAATCACAAACTATTTACAATGTTCACAAATGGCCTAGCATCAGTACCCTCCAGGAACATAGTCTGTCTGTTTAGAGTCATTTCGGTGTTGTTTTCGTAGCACACGCTGCAAGTTTTCTGCAGAAGCATGCTTGCGTGCGCATGCTTCAGCACGGTGGCGATCTTTTTCACTCATGCGCTTGGTCAACTGTTGGCCAGGGTTTAGCTGAAGTTCTTGAAGTATGGCTGTAGAAGCTTTTTCATACCCAGAATTGAACTTCATTACAGCCTCTGCCACAGCAGCTTGCACAGCAAACAATGATGCATGTTTCTCCTTCGGCGCCAGTGCCCAAATAATTGAGTGGAGACACTCGTTGTTATTTTGGGTCTTCCCTCTTAGGCATCGCCGAAGAAGCGATTCATCAGACAAACGTCTGTAAACTGGAAGAAGCGCCTCACATACATGGGGTGGCAGATTGTGGCGGTGTTTTGGAGCAGGCTCACCTTTGGCCTTTGCTGCGTTTTGGCGGCACCATGAATCTGGGCCCTCTGGACAGAGAGTGTGGTTAGAAGTGACATCGTTTGAGGTGATGTGGTAGTATGTGGCCATGACTGCTTTATGCATGGCCTTGACATCACCTTTGTGCGATTTCAAGGCCCAGCCATAGTAGCTGCTGAGCTTGGTGATAAGCTCACCAGTCAGCTTTCCTTTCCCACCGAGACTCTCTGTACCAGAGGACTTCTGCTTGGAAACTAGATTTCGCAGTGCTGTGCCCATTCTCTTGTGAATGTGGTTAACACAATCTTCCTTGTCCACGGGTATGTATCCATAGACTTTCGCATCTTGAAGAGCAAGGTAAGCGCGGCTGTCACCATCCGACAACAAGGTCGTGTACCGCAGCTTATGCTTCTGCAGCGATCTTTGGAAGAGGATCAGTGCCGCTTCCACCTCCATCTCCCCAGCTTTTTTGTCCGTGTTTTTCTGGCATGCGTGTGCCTCCTTCCAAGCCTGGTAGGCAGGGTCAACTTCTTTTGGTGCCCGTGCGCACCCAGCACAGAAATTGCTGAGCACTACATAATCGAGCACAAATCCTGTGTAGAGCTCAATTACGGTGCCGACGCCGATATGAGACGAGTGGCCGCGCGTCATCCATGTGCCATCGAACGATATAGCGATGTTGTCCGGGCTGTTTATATTTAGGTCACGGTACAAATCGCGCACTAATTGTGCACATGTCCCCATCAACTTTTCTGCCCCATCGGTTGCCGCGGGGACGAGTTTCGTTTTCAAGTGTCCCTGCCATGTTTTATTGTGCATTCCTCTCTCCGAAATGTTCATCGCCGCAAAAATGTCGTTCATTGCGGTTTGCCCGTTTCCGGTGCTCTGCATTGCACGCTCCGCAAGGATGTTTATGACAAAAGGCCTGAGCTTTGCTTTGCCGCTCACGCGCGGCGAGCTCCATCCCTGCACATTATCGCCGCAGATCGCACATTCGGCAACAAACTTCACAGCAAGGCCAAAATCCCGCTCACCTTTTCGCACCGTGAGGTTACCACCACAAATTGTACACTTGCAACTGGTAGACGCCAGCAGCGCGTTCATCGAGTCGTAACTAGCGATGAAAAAACTTGTAGCGAGATCGTTGCTAGCTTGTGTGGCAGCGTCATCACGATCCAAAAAGTCAGATTTTCGGGCAGTAGCAGGAGTTGAAGCAAGTACATTAAGTTTTTCTTGAGCTTCACTCTCTATACGCCGCAAATCTTCTGGCTGCAACATTGCAGTGTCGTGCCGAAACGACGACGAAGACCCGCGGCGGTTGTCAAGAGCGCTTTGGGGGACTAGGCCTAACACGCCCGCATCGGCGCCGCTCGACTCGGGAAGCACGCCGTTCTCCGCATGGTCAGGAACTGGTGGTGGCACAGCAGCGCATTTCTGGAAGTTGTACGGAGTCTTCCTCTTCCTTTTTGTTCCGAATTTGTACTTCGTAGCGAACTTCGGCGACGGCGTCGACATCGTTGCTCACGTGCGAAAACCAGTTGACGCGTACGGTGTGCGCACAGTCGCCGCGGAGTGATGCAGACGATGCCTGTCAGGCCAATGGCGTGACCCGCTGCGGGTCACGTGCCGTAACTGGCCAATTACTGCGCGTGTTGGGACTTCTTTTTGAATCGGGATATCTTCACAGCCAACGCGCGCTCGGAGCCGAAAATGGCGCGAAAATCAAGACGAGAGGCTGCGCTTTCAAACGATATATGATTCGCGGCTGTCGGACAAATATGACGGCCGTCGCGTGTCACGGAAAAGGCGCTTTATTTACCAAATTCTTGGCTCATATTTAGCTGGCACTGGTGCTAAAATTGATATTACGGCTAAGATATCGTTTCAAACTGCATAAAACTTGGCGAAATGGTAGAATATTGGATGGAAATAGCAAAACTGCCATTTCCAAAAAATCAACTTTTTGACGATTTTTCGGCTTTTAAAACCCGTGTCCCCCCTTAATTCATTCAGAATAACTTAAATTCGTGCAGAAGTGGATTTGACAACTGAAATATTCATTGAAATATTTAAAGGGTTACATTATTTGACCATGCCTATCGAACAGTATTCCCCTGTTCTGACAAGTCCTGCTAAGGAACCATACTCACAAGCGGCCAGCCGATGCTATGCATGACGAGGCCCGGTTGGTGCTTGGCCGGGTCCACCTCCCACAGCTCTTTGAGCCCCAAACCGTACGTCTGCGGCTCGCAGTCCTCGCGCAAATTGAAGCGCTTGAACAGCTGCTTCGCCAAACTCCCGTGGCAGCCCTCGGCAAAGATGGTGCATTTGGCGTGCAGCTCCATGCCTCGCTCAAAATTTTCCTGTACGTCAACAGGGTAGGGAAGGGTGAAACGCTGTGCCAACATGCGGAAACTGCGGTTGAGGTGTGTCTACTTTGCAAGCAATCTTAGGAAAATGCTTTTACCATAGCTTTACAGTAATTTTCATTTATTCTTTGACACTGTTTTCTTTCTGTCTTTGTTGATATAGAGAAAAAGCGAACGTGAGCTCGCCAAAATGCCAGCTTGATTATATTCTTGATAAAGCTATGAATCTTACTTTGTACAAATGTCAAAGATTTTGCTATCACTGTCAACTCTTAAATGTTAGATTGGAACTGTGACTTATTAGTATTACTGCTATTACTATTCACTTCTCCTAAATAGTGAAGGGCCCTAGTAGTGAATAAATAGAATAAAGTCCCTGAATATATGCACTTTACAGCTCTTCAATAGCAACACTATTGGCAAAATATCACAGGCGGTTCTTGTTTCATAATCCAGAAAACAGCAATAGGTGAAAAGCATGGAGAATCTGCAGATTGTAGGCCCCCTGTCAACAAGGATACTACAAACTGTCATTTGCCAGGTACTGTGCAAACCTAAACGTTCAGCAATAACTTATCCTTAAAGAAGCTCAAATACAGACAGAATTTTCAACCAGCCGCTTTTTCAAATTAGAGATATACCAACTAGAGTATTTATTAGGCAATAATAACTAGCAGAGGCAGATGGAAGTGACATTTCATTTAATTGTAACAGGCAGCAAATTAAGGAGTTAAAAGAATTAGGTACTGACAAATTCTAAATATTTTCAGTTTGTTGCTGTAAATAATAACGCTGGCGTCGAGAACTCTAAGAAGAGTGCCACAGTGCTTGGGAATGCACTGAATATATTTTATTACTCCAAAATTTAAAACAGCAATTTCGGTTTCGATATCCAGGGAGTGGCTTTAAAGTGTAGTGTCAACACAAGTCTGACATTACAGGAAGGCTTGAACTCTCGACATACTACTAGCAACAGCTGTCAGTTCACTGTCAGTTGCACATGGTTCATGTAAACAATGATGGTGCAGACCCTCTGGCAGAGACTTCTGCGATTCAGGCAGCATGCAGAACACAGATTTCACAAACCCAGTAGACAGTATTGACTTGTCGTGATATGTCCACTGCGGCTTGCAGTTGCTGGACGACTAAAACTTCAACGTCAAACTAAAATCATTTATATGCATCATCTGCCTCCGGTTTGTGGAAAGCAATGATAACGTACACCAGTGGTTCTCTAATGGGGGTCCGCGAAGCCACTTCCGTGATTCGTGAAACCCTCAACCGCTTTTTTTTTTTTTACATTTTTTGGAGTTTAGTTCGTTCTTGACTCAAAGTAAACACCCAAACAAGTTGAACTTGCCTGCATATGCATATGCAACTCAGTTCAAGCTTGACTGTGCCACGTATTTATAAACTGGTCAAAATGAAGTGATGTGGCAAGTTTGTTTGATGTTTTTGGTATCAAGAAAAGGCACCTGTTTCACGCTCCAGTTGTGATAATTTACCTACGTATTGCTCCCCCTCCCTTCCCTTTGCTGCAAGGGGTCCCCCATCACTTGAACTAGTCCACGAGGGGTCCCCAACACATCCATGCCTGAGAACCACAGGTGTACACCATGGTAATGAAAGATGTCTTGTTTGAGGAGCCTCAAAATCGTTTTTAGCACTCTTTCAGGCCCTGACATGGTACTGAAAGTATGCCCATGAAGAGAAGTGGTGTTCTAGGACTAAAACTAGTGGACTCTTTTATCCTAACAGTGCTGTACTTCAGAGCGCACAGTATACATACCTTTGGCGAGCCATCCTTTGCTATGCCGACATCGTTTGTTGCAATACCTTTGACGCTGCCGTCGTCGTGGTACACCACCTGCGGACATAGGCTGAGTCGGCACTTCAGAAGTCTTTCAGCCAATCCATGAAAGACGTGATAAAGACAACATGACCAAAGCAGCGATTCTATTCAAGAGATTTTAACTTACAGAGAGTGTAATGTAACTGCATGTGATAGTAAAATCACTGCAACAAATAGTTACTGAAATGTTTATAACCAACATTTGTACTGTGCAAGATGCCAGTGAGAAGGAAGGATCGTCAACCACGTGTTTGTAATGTGAGGATACAAGAATATTTGCATGCATTTCATAGTAAGAACGGCTATTTGTTTAGGAAATACATATAAAAATTTGTCCTAGTCCAGAGTCCCTTCAAAAGTCATTATGAAAATCAGCACAACTGATTCGCTAAGAAAACAGAGCAGAAGGATTAAGTTTATTTTATCTACCCATGACTTTAATTCACATGGACCAAAATTGGCAAAACAAGCCAAAGCAGGTTACCTGCTTTTTTTAAAGTGTGCAAAATGCGCAACCACAACACTACGCAAGCTTTAATTGTACCACAGGGCAATCCTGTTTCTCAGGAGCTTGGAATCATAGGCATGTGCACAGGCAAAAAAGGGGAAAAAAAAAGAGGGGGAAGGCAGTCCCTAATCTCTTATCTTTACACTGTGTTCTTATCATAAGGCTTCAGAACGAGAGAGTTGGAAACATCTGGAGGGATGATTCAATTTATTAATTGATTTGTGGGGTTTAACGTCCCAAAATCACCATTTGGTTATGAGAGACGCCGTAGTGGAGGGCTCCGGAAATTTTGACCGCCTGGGATTCTTTGACGTGCACCCATATCTGAGTACACAGGCCTACAACATTTCCGCCTCCATCGGAAATGCAGCTACCACAGCCGGGATTTGATCCCGCGACATGCGGGTCAGCAGCTGAGTACCTTAGCCACTAGACCACCGTGGCAGGGCAGAAATGATTAAAAAAAACCCCTACCCTAATGGAGAACACAACGCATGCATATTCTTGGATTGTACGTGACAATAAAAGCAAAATATAAAAGTGAAAATGTTCAAATTGTTTTAAAGTGTACCACTCAACGCCAGAAAAAGAAATAGCAGAAAGCACCTCCTGGGCACCGTATCCGGGGTAGATTTCAACACCCATCGCCTCCGCTTGTTCACCAAGCCATGCCACCACGTTTCCAAGCCTTACAATGTAGTTTCCATGATTATACATTGGCAGACCTGTGTAGCACAACAGAAAACATAAAATGCAGGGAACTGTTGAGACAGGGACACTGTGAACCAAAGGCACAACGTTGGCTTTTACGAGCACAACAGTGACCCAAAAACACCCACAACATTTGGCACAGAAACAAAACTTAGTTTTTCAGTAAAAACATCAGCATCTCATGTTTCCTACAATTTTCATTCGTGTTGTTGAGAAAATCTGGTGCAAATACGGCACAGACATTTCTCCTGTGCGTGTTGCAAAGTCATACTGCCGATAGTGAGTGAAACAATATTTCCAAGAAATTGTTTGACTGAAATTAAGATGGAAATTTCTAACAACTCTGTAAGTAAGAATTTTCAATTGCATTTACAGCATGCAAGATTTGAAAGCAGGACGGCTGGACACATAGGCAACAGAACAGTACTTAAGGGTTGAACTGCAAAAGTTTAAGTTTGCACACAGTTTGGTTTTCTGCCTCTAGACTTCGTGTCGTAAAAGCGCAATATTTTTTCTCGAACACTTATATCAGAGCCAATCTTTAGCAGTTAGGTTCACGGTGTCACAACGTGATTATTATGAGTGAAAATTAGATTTAGCTCATAGCATTCATTATTAAAAAAAAGGCGAACCTTGCACTAAATCACACAAGGCTTCAAACAGTAAAACTGGACAGTTCTGAAGTCTTGAAATGCCTTAGACAAGTGATGCTAAGTTGCTTCCAGGTTGATTCTCAGCACAATAAGGTTCGAGTTATACCACAGAGAGTCATAGGCACGGCATAGATGTTCGAGCTCCAGAAACAGAAACTCACGCTTAAGCCGAGCATTTTCACCTCCCATAGATCTACCGGCATATTGCGGTTCACGTAAGGCTTCTATCACTTTGGCGTCTCCTCGCAGCTCCTGTTGCCCTTCCCATTCACTAATGTTCCTTCGCTGTGCATACCGATGAGGCATCGCACAGAGACACTTTCAGAAAACTGAAATAAGTGGCCACAGAGTATATCCTTGAGCTAGTCTTTAAACTTTGACTTATGTCTGCCACCCGTCTGTTGCCTTCTTTTCTAGAGCAGTAGTGAGATTTGCCCCTTTCTGTGGTGCATATTCGTCCATAATGACAATAGATTTGTCGTCGCGACAGACATTTTATGCCTATCTCAAAAGAGCTCCGCTGTTAAAAAATGATGGTGCACTTTATACTGTCAGTACTGTATATGGCTACACAGACCCTCTTTTTTTATATAATCTGCAAGTGTGCTTCCTTGCACTGCACATTCACTCGACTACGACACCTAAAATGCTTCAAGGGAAGAGGAAGTCCTAGTTGCACACGCTGAGGCTTGTCTATTATATGTTGAGAGAGCTGTGGCTACATTTTCCTATTCACAGCACAAGAAAACTGCGCCTGCACACGGTGTTTGCAAAACGGACTAGTCGCCACTACTTCGATTAACTGCATTGCACAAAAGCTAGCTTTACAGCCATGAAAAGGGTCAATCATGGTAAAAATAGCGATATATACATTAAACAGCTACTAGATATCTGCAGCCAAACCTGCATATATTGAACCCACACGTAACGAATGATTGTGCATATCGAACAGTTGTGAAACCCACTTATAAATATTTTAGATATATAAAATTTTTCATACATTGAATTACTTATACAGTGTAATCCCCTACGACTCACGGGGCGCAGAAAGTATTTTGTTCAAGTGAAAATTTCGTTGTAGTGGAATCGAAAAAGATATAGTTGAACTGAGCTAGTGAAATGAAGAAACATTTATTCTTAAAATTAAAAAAGTGTCTGCAGCTTACTATTCTTTCCCAGCAGAGTCACGATGCCACCCTCAGTCGTGCATAGCGAGGCCATGGTGAAAAGCACGCTGAAACAACGCCTAAAACCACTTTCGTGAACGTACCAAACAGTTGCATTAACACATTAACACCAGAAGCTGTCTGCCATCAAAGTGTATCCGACTACGCAGAGATGTAGGCAGGGTATCGTGGAGCGGTGACTTTTGCCTTATTTTATGCCATTCTTATCATCCATCACTGGCGGCTAGCTTATTTGGTTGATAATGCAGACGAACAGCCGCTCTGATTAGGTACCACCCTGGCAAGCGTGAACAAAATGATAAGGGTTGGAATCGAAAAAGGCATCGCTCCACGTTTGCACCCAGCAGCTGCATGAAAGAAACCATGAACTGAGCGACTGAGCTTGAGCTTTGGACCGTCTGCGGCTCGAAAGCAAGCCAGTGGCAAAAGCAGGGCCGTCTCGTTGCCATGGCTATCGTTCAATGGAGGCGCCCGTGCTTGCTGAATAGCAGCAGTTTCTAGTGGTGCCAACGCGTTTTAGGCTTCGTCATCTTATTTTCAGGTTCTAAAAATGCATCCAAATGTTAAATGTTGGGTTTACTGTATAGCAATAAATATCTGAGCTCGGAATTGCATCGTGAAATTTCATCGAAGCGGGACGGCAGAAGAAAAAGTGTTCACTATGGCGACAATAATTATGCATTGACTCTTATAGACTGCTAAAGGGGAAGCGTGAATTTTTCGTTGTAGCGGAAATCTCATTGAAGCGGCATTCGTTGTAGCGGAGTTCGGCTGTAAATCAAACTTTTACGTTATCCCCTTTAGATTCGATATATCAAAGTTGCATAATTATAGCTTCTTGTTCACCTGCAAAAGCAAGAGAAAAAGAAAGAGTAAATAAGCAATAAATTAATACACATACCTTTGAACACTGGGATTCTGTACTGTGACTTTTCGGTCAAGTAATAAAATTCATCTTTTTTCACTGGTGTATGCAACGGGGCCTATAGAAAAAAGAAGAACAAAAAGAGAACAAACTAATGACAAAAGTTACATTAAAACCACACAATGCAATAAGACTTGAACACCATAGGTCTATTAGTCTACAAAATAACCACCTGCTCAGTTGTTATATGACATAAACTGCAAGGATTGCATTTTCTTCAACAATCTTTAGTATATGCGTGTACATTTATGCTGCAAAATCGCTAAACTACAGTGTAAACCACATATAATGTAACCGCTTACGGTGCAAGACTGGTTAAAATATGGTGTTTTACAACTCTCATTTACCCTCCCATAGAATCCCAAGTATACGCATACCCCTTATTGTGCAGTCCCCCAAGATAAAAGACCAGTTATAATGCAGTTGCCAGAAAATTTTTGCGACAAAAGCAGTAGCGAGCGTGCATTTGAAAGGAGGCGCGCTGTGGGCGTCACTGGAAAGCGAGCAACGAGGTCATTATGGAGGAGGAGGGGACACAGAGTAAACGAATGAAGGGCGGAGAAAAACGAAAAGGAAAAAAGACCGCAGTATGCTGCACGAGCTCGCCGAGTGGAAGGAGGGCGGTTGCCCAGGCGACTCACAAGTCTTCGCAATGGCGCCGACGTGGCTATAGCGTACTAATGTCGCTAGCGTGGCTCTGGCCGCTTGCTGCCGGCCACGTGTGGCTCAACATGGCCTGTGCAATCCCCTCATTATCAACTGTGCTTAAGAGTTTCCTGTCGGGAAAAGCATCGTCGTTATCAAGCTTGCTACAGATATCACGTTTGCTACCCAATTCGTAAATTTAAAACCTTTTACGGCTTTATGACGCCAGCTTTCTACCCAATTCGTAAATTTAAAACCTTTTATGGCTTTACGACGCCAGCTTTCACCTTTGCTGCCAGTGCATGCTTACATATGCTTGGCGGATTTTCGTTGTAGTTGATCTCTCAGCCGCGAGTGAAAACTCTTCACCATGCACGCTGTTCTTGGTTCAGTGCTTGAGTGCTATTTTTTCGACATCATGTCTTGGCTGAACTTCTAGCAACAACGACGTACTGAACGCCATGCTAGGCCTAATGAGCGCTGGCTACATTTCGATAGTGGTCACATGCTATCTTAATTGCAGTTTGGTATGAAATCAACAAAACTTCTTGCAGTGGCTATCGTAAATGAAAATGAAGGTGGCACATGTAGCACTCGAATGGTTGTTTGCGATTAGATCGCGATGCCCTGAAATAGGGTGCGCACCCATAAAATTGAACGATATGGGTCTTTCACTGGGTGAAATTTTGGACACGATTCAACATGGTTTCTGTTCAATACGCACAATCAAGGTGGTTAGAGAAGTACGTAGTCAGAGAATTGTCACGGTGGTGCTTTGTTTTCAAAAACCACCCTGTTGTGTTGCTAACAAAATAAACATGGACTCTGAATTTCTCTACTATTTGTAAATATAAATAGTTATAAGCACCACGCATCGCATGCTTCAATTCTCGGACACGCGAGGCTGCATGCTCAACACATCTCACACAAGTGCGGCCCTTAAATAAGGCTGTTTTGGTTATACAGTTGAATGCCTTTATAGGAGACATGCTTTGGGCAGCAATTATTGTCTTTTATGCATAGCGCGGCATACTCACTCATGAGTACACTCACTCACACTCATTCATACTCATTTGAACATGGTGAGTGTGAGTATGAGTGAGTACTGATGAGTATAAGTAGGAGTGAGTAGAATGTGAGTGAGTACTTATGAGTATAAGTAAGAGTGAGTATGGACATGAATCAGTACTTTCAGTGTGAGTAGAAGTGAGTATGAACGTGAGTGGGTGCTCATGAGTGTGAGTAGGAGTGAGTATGAATGTGAGTGAGTACTCTGAGCGTGAGTAGAATTGAGTATGAACGTGAGTGAGTACTCATGAGTGTGAGTAGATGTGAATTTTAACGTGAGTGAGTACTCATCAGTATGAGTATCCGTGAGTATGAACGTGAGTGAGTATTCATCAGTGTGAGTAGGAATGAGTGAGAGCTTGTGAGTGTGAGTAGGAGTGAGTATGAACGTGAGTGAGTACTCTGAATGTGAGCATAAGTGAGTATGAATGTGAGTGAGTACTCTGAGCATGAGTAGAATTGAGTATGAACGTGAGTGAGTATTGTGAGTGTGAGTAAGAGTGAGTATGAACGTGAGTGACTACTTTGAGTGTGAGTATGAGTGAGTATGAGTAGATGTGAATTTTAACGTGAGTGAGTACTCATAAGTGTGAGTATCCATGAGTATGAACGTGAGTGAGTATTCATCAGTGTGAGTAGGAATGAGTGAGAGCTTGTGAGTGTGAGTAGGAGTGAGTATGAACGTGAGTGAGTACTCTGAGTGTGAGAAGGAGAGAGTGTGAGCGTGAGTGAGTACTCATGAGCGAGAGTAGAAGTTTAAACATGAGTGAGTACTGATGAGTGTGAGTATTCGTTAGTATGAACGTGAGTGAGTATTCATGAGTGTGATTAGGAGTGAATGAGAGCTCATGAATGTGAGTAGGAGTAAGTACGAATGTGGGTGAGTACTCATGAGTGTGAGTAGACTTGACTGCAAAGGTGAGTGAGTTGCTGTGAGTGTGATAGCAACGAGTAGGAACATGAGTGAGTTACTATGAGTGTGATAAATATTTGTAACCATCGCAACGGCGTCTTCAATACGTTTTAGTTTGGAAACTGGGGGAGCCATCCCACATCAGACGGGGGGGGGGGGGGTGATATGACCGTGCGAAACTCGAGTTGAGAGTAGCCGTCCATTTTATTGTAATTTGAACTTTCTAGGCTGAATAACTTTGAGCTGCCTGTCTTTATAGCTACCGTTCTTGCTGCACTTACCTCTTGCACCTTCAGTCTACGCAATGCGCTGATAATACATGTAAAACAACAAAATCTTGAGAAGCCCTTTAACGAAAATCGCCGCATAAGCCGGTTCAGAAAAAAGAAATGCACTGCGCAAGCTACAAAAAAAAAACAACAAAAAAACGCTGAAATGGCCCGCGAGAGAAAGCACATTGTGAGCGCTACGCACATTGTGAGCAGCGATTTTGCAGTTTCTATCTTTGCGTTGTCCCTCAAGTGAAGGTTGCCTTGAACAAAAACCTTAAGTGATCTCATGACCTCTCAAGTGCGAAGCTGTGTGCAAACTTCGCCTTCTCAGTGCCCCATTAAGAAAAAAAAGGGAAAGCTTGGAGGACGGTTGAGCTTCGCCGTCAATAGTATAGTATGCGATAGCGTAATCGGATCCTGTTCGCATCGCCGTTTCAATCTCTACCCTCGCTTCACTTTTCGGCGGCTTATTATGCCTTCAACAGTGCAGACACAATGTGCAATAAGTGCCCAATCACCCTTGATAATTTATTCTATCATTCACATAACGCGGGCTAGTACAAAAACACACATAACGCAATTCGTTAATTACCGTTTCATTCGGCTATCCGCGATAACCCTGCGTACGCACACTGCCAATGAACGTTAATCGCGTCCGCAGATCCATAAATAAGGCCCCCTGCAATCGTCAGTGCTGGCACGGAGCCAACGAAGTCTCCGCGTGAGCGTGACCCACAGAGGAAGGAAAACATCTCCGAAGATGCGCACAATTTCTCGAATGCAAAACTACCGTACGCAACGCATTCCATCTGAAGGCGGGGCAGAGAGGAAAGGCGCCGTCTCGACGGTCGCGCCGGGCCACACAACACCTACCAGTGGCCGGGTGGCCGGGGTGTCCGCGGCGCCGCGGCACCCGCCTGTCCCGCTAGTGCAGTCAGAAGGGGCTAGGGGCAGTGGAACGAACGAAGCGGCCAAGCCGGATGGCATGGCAACGTCTTTGGTTCTGGCGGGTAATCATAGCGGCGGCCGTGTAGTATACTGAAGCTGTCGAGAGCGTCTCTATTTCGCGCGCGTACGTCGTAGCCTACGAAAGCGTGTTTTTAGTGCTTGTAACACATTACTGAGATTCTAAACGATGTCTCAGCGTCTCCTACGCATCATGGCACACAAATGAATGTGCAGGTGCGTCGTAATTGCGCTGAGTAATTGCCTGTTTGTGGAGCCTATCGAGCCTAAAAGAAAGTGACAATTATTCAGCTCGATTGTTTCTTGAGTAAGCTGAGTACACGTAACGCAACCTCATTGTTAATACTGATCACTCATTGATCACTATTGATCACCTGACAAGGTCCACTGCAGGACAAAGGCCTCTCCCGTAATCCGCCACTCAACTCGGTCCTGTGCTTGCTGCTGCCATTATGTACCCACGAACTTCCTAATCTCATCTGCCCACCTAACCTGTCTCCCCCTGTAACCCGTTTGCTTTCTCTGGAAATCCGGTCAGTTATGCTTAATGACCAGCTGTTATCCTGCCTACGCGCTACATGCCCGACCCATATCCATTTCTTCTTTTTGATTTCAACTATGATATCCTTAACCCCGGTTTGTTCCCTAATCCACTCTGCTCTCTTCTTGACTCTTAAGGTTACAACTACTATTTTCCTTTTCATCGCTCTCTGCGTCGTCCTCAATTTAAGCTGAACCCTTTTTGTAAGCCTCCAGGTTTCTGCTCACTAGGTAAGTACCGGCAAGATGCAGCTGTTATATACCTTCGTCTTGAGGAGATAGTGACAACCTACCAGCCATGAGCTGAGAATGCTTTTGAATCTTCTCCACCCTACTCTTATTCTTCTAGTTACTTCAGTCTCGTGGCTCGGCTCCGCAGGTACTACCTGTCCTAAGCAGACGTATATACCTTTTCCAACTTCAAGTGCACTGCCACCTATCTCGAAGCGCTGTTTTCTTTCGAGGTTGTTGTTCATTACTTTCGTTTTCTGCCGGTTATTTTGTAGATTCCAAGAGAAGGAAAGCGGGAAAAGGGGAGACAAAGTTTGGTGGGCAGATGAGAATAGGAAGTTTGAGGGTATGAAGTGGCAACAGCAAGCAAAGGACCGAGTTGACTGGCGGAACAGGGGAGAGGCCTTTGTCCTGCTGTGATGATGATGAGTATGTAAATGTAAAAGTATGTGGGTGATTGCGCCTGAATATGGGTCGGCGTAAGTATGAAGGTGAATTCTTATGTGAGTGCGGAGGTGAGTGAGGGCTTATGATCTTGAGCAGGTGTGAGTATGAAGGTGAGTGAGTAACTATGAGTCTTAATTGAGGTGCACGAAAAATTGAAGTACAAAAAGGAGACATCTGGACACGGCGCGCTGTCTCGAGGTGTCTTCCTTTTGTACTTCAATTTTTCGCGCACCTCAGTTAATATGAATTACCAACTCGCCCAGCAGTCCATCTTTCTCTAAGAGTGCGAGTAGTCATGAGTATGAATGTGAGCCATGAACAATGAGTGTGAGTAAGCGTGAGTATGAACGTGAGTGACTGTGAGTAGGCGTCAGTATGAACATGAGTGAGTACTGATCAGTGTTAGTAGTCGTGAGTATGAACGTGAGTGAGGGCCTATGAGTGCTAGCTGGCGTGAGTGTGAACGTGAGTGAGCACTCACAAGTGTGAGTAGTCGTGAGTACGAAATGAGTGAGTACTCATCAGTGTGAGTAGTCGTGAGTATAAATGTGAGTGACGGCCTAGAGTGTGAGTTGGTGTAAGTTTGAACGTGAGTGAGTACTCATGAGTATGAGTAAGACTGAGTATGAACGTGAATGAGTACTTTCAGTGTGAGTAGAAGTGAGTTTGAACGTGAGTGAGTACTCATGAGTGTGAGTAAGAGTGAGTATGAACGTGAGTGAGTACTTTGAGTGTGAGAAGGAGTGAGTATGAATGCGAGTGAGTAGGAGTGAGTGTGAGTAGGCATGAGCATGAACGTGAGTGAGTACTTTGAGTGTGAAAAGGAGTGAGTATGAACGTGAGTGAGTACTGTGAGTGTGACAAGGAGGGAGTATGAACGTTAGTGAGTACTCATGAGTGCGAGTAGGCGTGAGTATGAACGTGAGTGAGGGCCTATGAGTGGGAGTAGACGTGAGTATGAACGTGAGTGAGGGTGAAGGCTGAAAAAATTGTGGTGAGTGAGTATGAGTGAGTAGTCTCTCAATGTGCCGACCTATGCTTTTATGTGAGATGTCTTTTATAAGCAGAATACTACATATGCATCCTCTTATCAACCAATATTTAACTGTAAGCACCCCAGTGTTTCTTATGCCCATTCGTCTCTTACATCAGTGTCTCTTATAAAGGGGTTCGACTGATGTGCAGTGAAAATGTAGGGAAATATAGCTAAAGGAAAGAAGGCATAGCAGTGAATGAATAGTAAATCCGTTACGCTATTTGCTATAGCACTGACTGGCCAGGTCGCCATACCTTAATAGAGGACAATCCCTCCTTATACTTGTATGAATGAGCGAGAGAATGACTTCTGCCAGTCTCCCAAAGTCACGACCCTACCAACTTTGATCTGTTGACTTCCAACGTCATTTATACGCTTAGAGTAGATGTGAGCATAACATGCACCATCAGGAAAGCTGGTTTTGCATTAACATGACCTATATGCGATTCCAAATAAGCCATAGTGAAAACACTATGCATTTTAATTTCTTGCGCTGCCCACGGTGACTAAATGAACCACAATGAACCACGAATGAACATTCTTTTAACACGAAAGTGTTTTGTGCTGGGGTCCACCATGGCTCAGATGACGTATTTACTAGGCTTGTGCAAATATTCGAATGTTATGAATATTCTAACGACAAGTAGGGTATTCGAATTGGCTTTGAATTTAAATTATTAATAATTTCGAAGTATTAGCAAGGAACAAATAAATGCATATTAATCTGAATGTACCGCCTGTAAAGGTGGTTTCACTGCAGCATAGAAGTGCTCAAGTGTGAAAACACCTATCAAAAAAAAAAATCCGCTTTGCCGCAAAGCCCCCCTTCAAATTTAAAGGGACCCGCTACACTTTTTGAGCATTGTCAGAAAACGCTGCCGATCGGTAGTCGAAGCTACCGAGGGACACACAAGCCGAATATTATAACGCCGCACGCCAGCGCGTGATTCACAATAAATTCTCAAGGTTGGCTAAAAATTGCTTTCTCTTCTCTTGGCAAATACTCCAAAAGCATGCGTGACGTATTATCTTTCCCCGTGACATTCCTCCATGCTTGGCTTCCAGCGCTTTCATTAGGACGAGAAGAGTCTGAGAGGATACACTTGCAGCGTGCGACAAAACTTTGCAACTCCGCTCATACTAGATGGATTATAAAACTTTTTGCGGTGGTGAATTCATGAGGCAATAAGCTTCTTTAGTGTATCTATTTCATGCCAACATAAAAAAGTGTCGCAGGGCCTCTTTGAATGAAATTATTACCCTCAAATCAATTCATTTTATTAATCTTAAGAGCTTGTTATGATGGCTCTTATTCTCTAAGTATAATCAATTTTAAATTTTCCATATTGTACGGGTTACGACATGAATCTTGCCGAAAGTCAAATCCTGCTATTACTCAAAATTGCTTGGACTTCCTTTGAATTAAAAAAAAATGGCACTTGCATAGAGGCCCTACTATGTGAATTTTGAAAAAATATTGTGCAGGTTAGTTAGGTCATGATAAATATGCCCATTTTTCTGTATATCTTATATATACAATACGAATTCGATTTGAAATTATTCTACCATTCTCACTATTCACTTCGAATTTGCTTCAAACCAAAAATTCACTATTCGCACAAGCCTAGTATTTTCGTCATGGATATGATGCTGTAAAATATATTTCAACATATTGCAAATAAAAAATGAGAAGTCAAGGTGCTATCGCGGGGCGTGATCCAGCGACTTCTTCATCCACAGTGCGCAGTGCTAACCAATACGCCACGGCATGTACGTCGCCAAGAATGCTAATGGCAAGCCATTCATACAGACCAAATTATAATTGGCAGTAATCAGAGCTTCATAACTTCAGCACATTTTGTGATCAGTCACGAGATGTTGCGAAGGTATTGCGTTGGGCGCACTGTCAAGGTCTACACCTTCTTGATATATAATTGCGTTTCGATCAGTGCCGCCTCCACGGAGCGTGCTCTCTTGTGCACACGCACTTAGCACACTCGTGATTTCAGAGAATGTGAAGGCTAACTTCCCTAACTGTCGCGGCCACGTCTACGAAAGCAGCATGCTGTTCACACACGAAGAAGTCAGAATTGCGAGTTTCTCGTGCCTGTCCTGTGTACACTTGGCCGCTCGTTTTGGGAGTCTTTCTTTCTGGTTGAATAGCACGCTTTAAGTGTTAAGCTGTGACAGTTGCTAGTCTGGGCACAACTTGTGTATGCTCATTTCGTGCGTGCTTGAGGTGTGCGCTGCAAGCTTCCAGCTGGTTGTCGTTCTTTGTGTCATTTTGCAATTTCTTGCTGTAGAATTAATTCCTTCACTCTTGAGGCGAAACAATGCACAGAAAACACCCAACTACCTCTGTAAAGGCATGTTTCACTTTCGTGTTATACCGATTCCTAGAAGTAAAATTAACCACACTTTTAAGTGTTAATGTTAGTGGAAGGTCCCCATTCAACTGTGCCTACCCATAGACCTTCACCTTATTGTATTGCACTTATCATTATAATGTGTGCGTTGATGCTGAAAGCAGAAATTCACGTTCTCCCATTTTCTTCTAAGCACCCCATGCAAAGCTTTAGCTTTATCCAAAACTGAAAGTATGCTTTCATGTTAATGAATATGTAAAAAAGGAATTCTCTTTTACGTTTAGAATTTCCCTACTGATGTGCCTAACCATGACAGAATTTAGAGATGAATTGCCAAATTAACATAAGCATATCAGCGTGAAACCTCACCCCTCTTTCTTTCCAATCAGGGAAGAGCTCCTCAATGGGGCCAGGTTCGATGCAGGCTCCGGAAAGAGTATGACCACCTGCAACAAGCAGCATTCAATTAAAACAGTTGCACACACATCCCCCATCGGCTTGAGAGGACATGCATATGCTCATTTGCACATGCCAGGAATAAATAACCTACAAACAAAAGAACCAACAAAATATAATAACAATAATTACAATATTAATAAGCAAATTGCCCTTTCAGTTTGCAGTCTGACAGCTTCCTCTGCTTCTTCAAATGTGAATTTCTGAAGTAGAACCAAACTTGAACCACGTGGGCTTTGAACTCCTACATCCTTTTCCAATTTCCATCAATGGAAAACAAGTGGATCACTTGTAGCAACAGGTTAGGCAACAAAATTTGTTACTACATGAGTGATTCCAAGCAGCCACTTCATCAATGTCGCTGCTTTCTTACTCGACAATCCTGCACCACAGTACCCCTTGCTAGTTACTTAGGAATCATGGCCACTACTTTATATACAATGTCGATGATATGCTCTGCTCTTCATGTTCTACAGAGCACAAGATTGCCATTGCGGACCACCCTATAATGAAACGCTACAGTGAACCCTGTACTGTACGTTTACCGAGATGCTTGCCACGTATGTTACGACGAATAGTGATGTAAAAGTAATTGAATAAATGTGCTGTTTGGTTGGTTTTGATTATGTCTGCTGTGTCCGTGTGTTCTGAGGGCATGCTAAATTAGAGACCCTTAACAGCCTGCCCAACGTAGAGCTCTTGGAGCATCGGAAAACAATTTTCGCAGTTCAGAACAACCTTCCTTGAGCTGGGGTAGAGCAGGCCTCGAGGGAACTCCTATCGCTGGCATCAGAGGCATGCTTTGTTGATAGCAAGATCGGTTGCTGTGGAGTGATTGAACTTGTCGGCACATTGAGAGTGTTCTTTTTGTTGCTCCCAACTGTTTTTTTTGTAGTTGTTTTTTTTTTTAAGAACACTGTTGAGTTGGTATGAGAGCCATGTGGTCCCCATCCTGGGGTGAGCAAAGCTTAGAGCACGTAGATAGTAGGTCAAGCCCAACACGAGTGAGTACGGAAGCCTCGTAGGTGGTCCGAGTTTCTGTAAATAGCTTCTTCTATCTCTTTGGCTCTGGGAGTCGGGCGTCATCTCTGTCTTGTCTTGCAACAACGACGGGGTGTTGTGACACCATCTGGGACAATTGGGTGCCGATCCCTAGGTAAGCTGCTGTGTGCAGTGAGTGACTAGAGCCACCTACAGAGTTGACATCGCGTTGCAGCTGCCTTTTCTACACTTATTCTGGGTGTAATGTAGTTGTTGTCGAGCAACTCATTAGACCTAGGCTATGCGCAGCCGCCTGTTGCATGCGGACACAACTAGTTGCATATGTGGCGTTGAGGTGTCGCACTCTGCTTCCCTCATTTTATCTTACGATGCACGAGTTGAGAAAAGTGACCTTTGTTTTATTTGAGCTAGGTGTCTCTAGCACCGCCGACTTATTTGCTAGCAGTACTGAACATCGTATCACACGGAGCATTGCACCAAAGCTGCTTCTCTTTGTCCTACTGCATTGTTCTGTCAAGTGTTTTGAGTGTACGCAGCGGCAGTAGGTGTAGCCCGTAGCTGGCTGTCTTCTGCACACCTGTCTACGCCACTAGCCAGGAATGCGGTCGAGACATCAGGACGACGAACATGCCTGGGACCTACACGTTGCTGTTGCAAGACCGGTACTGAGGTGAAGTTAAGCCGGACAGTGCAGTGGTGTCGACCAGAGGCAGTGTCTTTGATTGATTGATATGTGGGGTTTAACATCTCAAAACCACAATATGATTATGAGAGATGCTGTACTGGAGGGCTCCGGAAATTTTGACCACCTGAAGTTCTTTAACGAGCACCCAAATCTGAGCGCACGGGCCTACAGTATTTTCACCTCCATCAAAAATGCAGCCGCCGCAGCCGGTATTTGATCCCGCGACCTGCGAGTCAGCAGCCGAGTACCTTAGCCACTAGACCACAGCGGCGGGGCACCAGAGGCAGTATCGTGGTGCGCTGTCATTATTTAGGGACATGTGTTGTCAACTTTTGCTGGAGCTTGTGTAGTTTATTTCTTTCATGTTTTTTTTTGGGGGGGGGGGGGGGGGGGGGGGAGGGTATATAATTTGAATCAAGGTTGGGGGGATGTGGGGGTGCTATCAACTCCTGTAAAGTCACTTGCACCTCATTTCGTAGACGTTTTTCGCAACCATCGAGCGGTAAGTGATATTGTGCTCGTGAGCATTCATCATCATCATCATCATGGTTAGCACGATAGTGCCAGCAGAGACAGCTGGCGGCGAGGCTGGATGGTGGCACATGGAACATAAGCAGTTCTCTTTGGAACATGGTGGTTGTCTCCTGACGGAGTCTCGCAGGATGAGGCGACCGCGGGCCATCTCCCATGTGTCCCTAGCCTTGTGGCAAGCATCCGTGATGCCGCCTTCGCGTCACCTTGTCATTGTTGTTATTGTGATTGAGTGTATTGGAATGTTGTATGAGCTTGTGTTTTAACGTGTTGATCACTAGCGATGTATTTGATTCCGCTGATGGTATCATCGATGTAAAAGTCCTTAAATAAATGTCTTGTTCGGTTTGCGTCCGACAGCGTCTGCTGTATCTGTTTGGTCTGAGAGCATGTTGTCTCACTCAGAGACCCCACACCATACATTAAAGGAACACTGAAGGCAACTATTAAGTCGACGTTGATTGTTGTAGTAGCTGTCCAGAAACCTTGTAGTGTTACTTTTGTGCCAAGAAAGTGCTTATTTTGAAATAAAATTCACGTTTTAGTGGTCCACATCGAGTTAGCGCACTTCAAGTTACCCGCCTAAAGTGGAACATGTCACGTCACTGTTGCCGTGAACGTTGCCCGACTTTACTGCGCAGCCGACAAGCACTAGCACTTGAATAATTTCCTGCCATGGCCTGCGAGATGACAGTGTGCTTGGCTTCAAACGGGCCTCACTAGATGGAACGGACCTGTCCAGTTTAACCAGGCAAAAATTGAACTTTTCAACCACTCGCGAGATTCCACACGTAATGTGCGGCGGTTCTTTTTTCCATGAATAAAACACAAACAAACAAGCAGCATTTTATTACGTCTCTAGATGTACAGAGGGTTCTTTATTTAGTGCAGCTAGTTCAATTAAAAGTGATAGAATTTAGGTGGTACCTTTGATGTAATAGGAAATCATTTTGAGAATGTCCTACACACGGCGCATGTGTTTTCAAGCGTTTACCATAATATCTCTGTAAGTAGGGCACTGCTCTTGATAATATTGTCATTTAAGACATTGTCATGCATTTACTCTGACGTACATTGTTATTTGACTTCAGTGCCCCATTAATCTTGCCCATATTTCATTTGATCGTTACAGCATTCTACCTTTGATGCATCTTATTATATTACTCTGTGTTGCCCTTCAGTAACGTCCTACGTTCTGAACACCAATCCAAACTCCCCCCTCCCGCAGCCCCCGCCTGGCGACACCACTGACACTTAGTAAAAAATTAAAATGTATCACGAGTGTTTTCAAACTTTCACACTTTCTGAATGCCCCCTTTTAGCACATAGAGTGCATGCCAAGTTTTTAAGCTTCAAGAATATGTGTTAGCACTCCTCTGAAGCTTTGCACACAGTGATTGAAAACACCACCTGACAGTATCAAGCAATTTACACAGCGGCCAATTTACACAGAAACCTGCCACTGCTAGTAAGAAGAGAAAACCGTGTTTTGTCCTAACCAAAAAGGCTGTTCATGTTCACACTCTTGCATGGAAAATGATGGGTCAGCAGTTTGTCCAAATAAAAATAAGAAAACTCATGGAGTTCCCAATACATTTGCCAAAGACAACTTGTAGGAGACACCCATATTCTTCTTTATCTTTTTCTCATCTCAGTCAATGCACTGATCATTTCCCAATGAAAGCTTTCTGCACCTAACAGTGGCATTCCATTGCCTTTAGGATCGGAAGTACTGCAAGTTTTTTTTTTTTCTCACCACACCTGTGACATCCAATTATGTGACATATTATTATGTGCCATCATAATAATGTCACATATGTTAATGATCTGCAGCATCAAGATGACATTACATGGTGATGTCATCACGTGATGATCATTTTTTGCATCATTTGTGTTGGTGCTGCCACTGTCAAGAACTTTGACCAATTTACACATTTAACGAGGACATCCAATGCTTTTTGCCTTAATAAACAGGAGGAGAAGGCTGCGATAACTTACCAATCTGACCGGCCTTCTCCACGAGGCAGACTCGGAGTTCCTTACCCGCCTCGGCGGCTAACTGCCGCAGGCGTATGGCTGCTGACAACCCTGCTGGCCCTCCGCCAACGATGACAACGTCGCTTTCATCGGAGGCGCGGCTCATGTCAATTTCTGCAGCCAAGAAAAATGCACCTGGCCTGTCAGATACTTTTCTTTCATAGCCACGAGCTTCCAAAATAGATTGGAGTTGTTAAAAAAACTAATTGGCATTTATAATTGCAACACTTATTGAATTTACTAAAAATTTTCAGGCACCTGATTGAACAATAATGTATTCGAATGCGCTTCTATCCGAATTTAATTTATAGGCAATAGGTGTATATTGTCTGCATAGGTATATGTACATATGTGGACAATATACACCTATTACACAATATACACTAGTATACACCTTGTGGGGTCTCGGCGAGGCGAACGCGCGCACCGCCACGCCACGCTCTCGGAGTGAACGGACACAGTTGACACGATCGGTACCAAGCACACAACATACATACTTTTATTAACTAATTTAGACGACGATATCGTCCGCCGAATGATACACCAATTTCAACTAACACGCTACCATACAAACAACATAACGCCGGGACACACTAAACACACAATAACATGATAAACCCACACTAACACACCCAACACACTAGCACATACCCAAGGCGGCGTCGCCAACGCCTGACCTTACACGCGGGACCCCGGCGCGAAGCCCGCGGTGCCGAGCACCGGGGACCCGCGCTACAGACAACCGTTCGCGGCAGCCGCCACGCGCAGAAGAAGCTCGCTCAACGCTCGCCCACCGCCAAGGCCTGCCTTCCGCCAGGGGCCACTGCCGGCGCTACCGCTCTACCAACAGTGGTACTCAAAAAGCGAACACAACGCCATCTATCGCCCGGCGGTGGTCACCACCGAAACGAAGCCTTGGGGCGAGACACGTGCGCCACGCGGCGCAGACAACCCTACAGGGGGGGGGTGTCAGCACCCCCACATTCCCCCAACCTTAAATCAAACCATATCCCAAAATCGAAAATTAGCTACACAAGCTTTAACAAAAAAATGATATCGCACGACCATAATGTCCTTGCACCACGACACCGCCGCTGGTCGACACTGCTGCACTGTCCGGCTAGGCTTCACCTCAGTACCGGTCCCGCAACAGCAACGTTGCCGTCGGCGCGACGATCCGTCGCTAGCACCGACACGTCTTCCAGTTGCGACCAGCACTCGCGAGGGCGCCGGACTGCAGGCAGTTGCGCAGGTCCCAGGCATCTCCATCGCCCGACCTCACGACCGCATTCCTGGCCAGTGACGCTGACGATATGCAGGACAGCCGGCCGTGGATGACATCCCTCCCGCTGAATACATCAACAAAAAACAAACTCGAAAGAAACAAAGGAGCGCGGCCCAGGGGAGGGAGCTTCAGGCTTTTCGGCCACGTGGTACGTTGGTCAGTACTGCTAGCTAATACATCGGTGGCGGCCGAGACGCCCATCAAAAATAAAACGAAAATCACTTTTCCTAACCCTTGCCATCGCAAGATAAAAAAAAGTGAGGGAAGCAGAGCGCAACACCTCAACGCTACGATCCACCTAGTTGTGCCACGTGCGACAGGCGGCTGCGCAGAGCCTTAGGCCTAATGAGTCGCTCGGCAACAACCGGCATCCACCCAGCACCCAGCCTAGGCGCAGAAGAGGCAGCCGCGAGGAGACGTCCACTCTGTGAGGTGGCCCTATCGCTCGCCGCACACAGCAGCTTACCGAGCGATCGGCGTCCACCGCCCCGGGCGGTGTCACGACGCCCCGGCGTCGAGCCGCAATACAAGTCAGCAACGACGCCCGGCTCCCTGAGCCCAAAGATATAGAAGAAGCTATTTACAGAAAATGGGACCACCCACGAGGCTTCCGTACTCACTCGCTTCGGGCCTGGCCTACAAACCACGTGCTCTAGGCCTTGCTCACCCCAGGATGCGGACCGCATGGCTCTCGTCCTAATTCAACAACGTTTTGAAAACTAACAACAAAAAGATAAGAACACTTGCGAGCAAAAAAAAAAATAGAAAGCCAACCTGCCGACAAATTGAAACACGTTACAAAACCAATCCCCTCGCTTCTCAACAAAGCACACCACCGACGCTAGCAAAGTCCCCCCTAGGCCTACTCTACTCCGGCTCTAACAAAATCCCTGTACCGAACCACAAAAACTGTCGTCCGACACTCCAAGAGCCCCACGTTGGGCGCCAGTGTGGGGTCTCGGCGAGGCGAACGCGCGCACCGCCACGCCACGCTCTCGGAGTGAACGGACACAGTTGACACGATCGGTACCAAGCACACAACATACATACTTTTATTAACTAATTTAGACGACGATATCGTCCGCCGAATGATACACCAATTTCAACTAACACGCTACCATACAAACAACATAACGCCGGGACACACTAAACACACAATAACATGATAAACCCACACTAACACACCCAACACACTAGCACATACCCAAGGCGGCGTCGCCAACGCCTGACCTTACACGCGGGACCCCGGCGCGAAGCCCGCGGTGCCGAGCACCGGGGACCCGCGCTACAGACAACCGTTCGCGGCAGCCGCCACGCGCAGAAGAAGCTCGCTCAACGCTCGCCCACCGCCAAGGCCTGCCTTCCGCCAGGGGCCACTGCCGGCGCTACCGCTCTACCAACAGTGGTACTCAAAAAGCGAACACAACGCCATCTATCGCCCGGCGGTGGTCACCACCGAAACGAAGCCTTGGGGCGAGACACGTGCGCCACGCGGCGCAGACAACCCTACAGGGGGGGGGTGTCAGCACCCCCACAACCTAAACGAATAGGCATATATTGTCTGCATGCAAACCCCCCCCCCCCCCCCCATAAAAGTGGTTTCACTGCATTAAATAAGTTCTACACCGTGAATACATATTTACAAAAAAAAATCTGCAATACCGTAAAGCCCTACTTCAATGTTAATGAACAGATTATTCTGGCATCGATTCTTCCTTTTTAATGTTTAAAAGCTTTGTACGCTAGCTTATATGCTCCAAGTATGGTAAAATTTAAAATGCAACATAATTTATTTGCATTCTACCGAAAGTCGATTCCTGCTACTACTCAAAATTGCCTGTACTTTCTTTGAACGGCAAAGAATGACAGTTGCTGCTGCTAGTTCTAATTTATAAAAAAATTATGTGCAGGTTAGTTGTCCCATGACAAAGAAGCTCATATTTTTTGATAATATGTGCTACATGCTATTCGAATTCGATTCAAAACGATTCTAACCAAATCTTTATTTGCTTCGCATTCACTTCTAATTTAACATTTATCATTTGCACGAGCCTACTATGCAAATCTTTCCTCTGTGCGTATGGCCAAAGTTGGGAATAGGTTCTCTAATTTGAGAAAAACAATGCCAGGACAAAGAAAAACAAGATTATCCTTCTTGGAGAGGAACTCAATGCTAAAATTAAAAAGTTACAAAAACATATTCAACACAACTTTTTTAACCGATCATTATGTTGCACTTACTACACTTAAGTTACACTCACTACACTTACTCACAATCACTCAGTCCTCAAGGTTAACAGACTGCAAATATCTAGTTTATTTTTTTCACAATAGACATGAAGTTCAGTAAATATCATTGTGCGAAATGTCCTGCCCCTTTAAAAATCAATTATTGCTCTTGGTTCGACTGAGAGGGGCATGAAACTGCTGAACATATACCATGAGATGGCAACAACCAACAGATGTGGTATGTGAACTGAGAAGAAAGTTCAGGTTATACAAGCAGAATCCAGCAAGAACACTGCAAAACTGAAAATGCTAATGACTGAAATTTCACTGTTTTACTATCAGCGTCAAACGAAACACGAACAGCTGCAAGCCTTTGCAATAGTGTAGGGCATGCCCTCCAGTTATCACCATTGAGAGGCACGCGCATCCTGTTCGACGGCTTCGCGCATATATGCGTGCCTGTTGGTAGTGAAAAGAGTACGACGCGCACTATACCATCGTGAAGGCTTGTCCGCTGTTCGGGTTTCATTTGACGCTGATAGTACAAACCAATTCTGGCATTGCAGCAGCCAAGCCCTCTCCATTGTACTCTGTCATAGAAAAATTCCAGTTTGTGATTACATGAGGTTCTCTTCTTTCAAAAGTGTTTGCTAAGGGGCAGCTGGTTGTCTCGTGAAAAGCACGAGGAAAACAGGCATGTTGAAGAAGCTTTTAGTGTACACTTGAGCCATTCTCCACAGTGTGCCATCATTATCAGACTAAATGCAGTGAATGTAAATTGGAACATTGTTACCTTCTGTTGATGTTTGTTTTCCGTGTCAATCCCAAGGACAAATCAGCAGATTTTCTTTCAGAGACATCTCGAATCTATGCCTTCATTGCTACGGCATTTGAACAGCTGTCAACCTGCATTTAGTGCAGCATGGCCTAGGCTGGCAGGTGCTATAGTTGCAAAACTCTCTTCAGTCTACCTGGTTTGTATGCGTCACATCACACTATACGACAACCAAAACATAACGGTGAGAAGAATGAGACGAAATTCATGGCCTGCATATACAAACTTTATAACAAAAATGTATTAGAAGAGATAAGTGACTAACTGCATTGCACACAGATGCACAGGGATGTATGTGCTATGTCAGGGTGGCTTCATTCTTTTACATCTTTTTACTGCCTGAAGAAGTTCCCATACAGTACTCTGCCCATACTGCATTCTGTCTGGTATCGGACAACTCAATTAGCTGTTTGCGCTTCCCCAAGGATTACAGGCATAAGTGTCCAAGCTTTGGTCAGTGACAATGTAAGGACTCCAATGCTTCATCCAATTCCTTTTAGAGCGAAAGTTGTTATGAGATCACAACTGGGATCATGCCCCACCGTAGTCATCCGCCGTCGCCGCCGGTGTCCGTAACCAGATCACACGAAATTAGAAAAAAAAAACCTAGCGTCAATGACACAGTAGGGCTCAAACCCGGGTCCGCTGGATGCCAGCCAAGTATTCTACCGCTGAGCAACGCAGGTGCATGGGACTTGTAGGCAAACTTGCCTTAGGCAGGCTTGATGTCGGGAAAGCAATCATGTTAATAGGACTTATGAAGCGTTTTAGAGCAGCAAAAGAACAAGCAGTCATCGCACGATCCGAACTAGCGTAGCGAGTGGGTCGTCCAATGCTCCAATCCATTACAAAAGCTTGTTCTTGTTCGCCTATTAACTGTGGCATTAATACCCACTTCAGGCATAATTCCTTATTGTCGTCAACCACTGCATGAATAATTGCACAAAATTCCTTGCAAGTATTTAGCGAATACCACATTTCTCAGAAGAATGACGAAAAATAGCATAGTGAATGGCTGCCTACTACCAAAAATTTTTTATTAATACTGCTGTAGTGGGTATCAAGCAAGTGTGCTTGCAGTATTTAGTCAATGAGTGTTTAGAAAAGGCTCTAACAGGCCGCTCTTCTAGCTTTCACTGTGACTGTGCTGCGCCTTTCGCGTAGGACTGGCATTTTTTTTTGTCATCTGCCATTCATGGTTGGTGAACCCCATTTATGAAGAGGGCATAGCACTTCTTTGTCGATTACTACGAAAGTGCAAAAAAAAACAAGGAAATACACACATTACGATGTCCTGACACTCGACTGCTACAGCATTTTTTTTCCATGGAAATCTTTTGTGTTTCACTACTTGCTGAACACTTGTGCAAGCATTCTCTTTACATTATGAATAAGAACTTGCTACTGGGTTAGTTGGTGCATACATGGACATTTTCGTTTTAGCACTGGAACGACAAACACGTGAAAGTCCTGGCCTGTGGGCTTTGACGTATCTGTCCTTCTAGAGCTAAAATTAAGATCACCTTTACAGTTGTAAACCACTCCTACTTGGCGTGATGCTGCGCAATTGGTGGCTACACTCACACGTTTATAAGTTCTGAGTTGCCCCCTTATCAATGTGGATCAAAATACAGGTTTTTTTTTTTGTTCATGCATTTTCCCTCGTTGTTTGGGTAAAAGATATTTCACCTTTCCATCGATGATCTTTTTCCCTGGGCACAACTGAGTAATGGGTGGTGATCCTCGCAGGATCTTGGTGGCACCAGCGAAGGCCATGGTTTCGGATGCCTCCCCTCCCTGCACAACGTATATTTATACGCACATGCAGCTTACGACATAACCTGACACGCTACTGGAAGGTCGCGTCCGCACGACGCGAACAGTAAATACGCGGAAAACTACGGCTAATCGACACGAAAAAACGAGTTGCAGCGCGAGCAGAAAGGTTGATCGATTATCATTTGAGCGATAACACCTACATCCGTAACTCGAGATTGTGAGCAAGACCTTTACAGGGCTGCCGTTTCTCACGGTTAAAGCTACCAAACACACTAATTGTTAATCTTTTTCGTTGTGATACACACCGAAACCGTCACACACACAAGCATTTGTTCCCTTTAACCAGTGAAGTTATCCGTCCCAAGGAACCAGGCAGAAGGGTTACATTTTTTTGGCTAACACCTGTTACCTTGAACCCACCTATCTTGTCACTAATGTAAAGCTTTTATTGTTTATAGAAACAACTCTATTTGCAAAAGCGCACGTTTTCTTTTATGCGTCCGATGTTTGCAGCCAGAATAAATAACCAACTCAATGAGCGGTGATCAGCTGTTAATCTTGCGGTCAACCTTTGACACGGAAAAGTATGGTGCGTCAGCAAATCGTCGACAGCGCCAGCGCGCGTTGCAGCATGCGCATCGCGCTTCGCACGCATAAGAAGGGACATCGAAAACATCTTACGGAGGACAGCTGATCGCAATTTCGTACAAGTCGCCATGAACCATGCCTTGCTGCGAAACCAGCCGGGGTACAGTGTTCACAAACCTAAGTACGTTGTAATCATGCAGCCAAAAAAAGTAGTGCGAATAGTTTTTTCTAGATTTTTGCGCAATAAGATTGCAAACGTTCAAATCTACTCAAATACCATACAAACTGTACACGTGTTTTTCATATAAACAACTATGAACTAAAGACAAAGCGTTATGCGTGGTTAAATTGACGTTTTGAAAGTATGGTGAGCGGTAGACAAAAACCTTTGTTTAGACTAGCGGTGGGATTTATTCTAAAAAATAAATTGCAGTCAAGCTTCTTCAAGCCAAACAGAGCCAGAGCCGCCGTCGCTTCGGGGTTAGAAGGTGTGCGAGTCTGGCGTGTTTGAGCCTGCAACTGGTCATCGAATTTGCGGCTCCTTAAATAAAGCAAGGAACTGGTAAGCCAATGCTAACAGTGTTTTACTGTTGTAGTTTCCGTAGTGTTCGTTATGAGAGGTTTACGAGTAAGCTTCGCTTCGTTTGCGGTTTGCACCGCTGATGTGATCCGTGTGCGGGAAGACTTGTTCAGATGCAAACTCGGCGTTGCGTCGTACGTTGGCACTGGGCTCTAATCGCCAGATTTTATGTCGTAAACGGAGACATCTTTAGCCATTATTCGTAGCACCCTTCATATTTTACATAACCGCTTTCTGCAGGAACGTGAGATCGTAGTAGAACTGAAGCCAAGGTCATTGGGGGACGTACGCATGTGTGCGTCGGTTATGCTGCTCGTGGTTTCTTGGTGGTGTTGTATTGTCGCTGGCTCACGTTGTGACTGTGGCGATTAACAGAGTGTTAGCTGATACTAGAAAGAGTTCGTGGGTAGCACACCTTGTCAGGCCTACATTTCATTCAGAAATTCAGCGCAGCCCGTGTGTGCAATCATTTGTTGCGACATCTGTGCTTGCCACTCGTTGTGGCTTCGCACTTCATCAGTATTTTCGTTGCTCTCAGGTCAGTTACATCAACGATGGGTCTGCACTTCGGCAACCTGTACAAACTGCGAGGGATCGTCACGTACAAGTTGTCACCGTACGAGCAGCGGGCGTTCGCCGGCTTGTTCAAGCAGGGCATCCCGAACGTTATTCGCAGAACGAAGGACCAAGTATTATACGTTCTGCCGCGTGAGTCGCAATTTTTTTTAATACTTCCTTACTGCATCTGTGTGAGGTGTGGAAGGTATTACTGTCACCTCATTATTTTTATTCATTCATTCCTCCCTCCCCCTCTTATGCATCGCCGACTTGCGTATCAAATATTAGTAAAGTGAGAATATAAGGGTGCGAAAACAATTTATATTCAAATGGCTTTAACGTTCCAGGTGCACAAATGTAGCGGCAGAACTGGAAGCCAGTTTTCCTCATTGTAGCACCATTAAAAAGCAAAATGCAAGTTCAGACTACTACGTGGCGCAAACATGGCATGTAAATTATTGTGTGGCTTTAGCAGATGCTATCACATATAACTAAAGCATATTTAACCAATTAGTTTGCAACAACTTTGTTTGTTTTCATTGGCATTTGATATGTTGCCCTCTTGCTTTGTCTATGCAGCCTTTGTTCTGTCTTACCTTGCCTACGACTGGGCCGAGCGTGAGCACAAGAAGTCGATGCGCAAGAACCCCGCCGACTTTGCCAACGACAAGTAAACATGAGCTGAAGCTTTGTGCTTGAGCTAGAATGAATAAATGTAACATGTTCAGAGTTATTTAAGCATGTCTCCGATTTTATTTGCCTCGTTTTCAACGTAAAGGACCACCTCAAAGGACTGTTTATATCTACACATAGGAGAATGCTGATTTAACTATTGAAATTTTCCACGTGCCCACAGAATGAATTATGTTGAGCTGAACGATACCAGTGTACGCTTGCTTGTTCGGCTAGGGCAGGCAAGCTTTGAGTTGGTTGCATGTTGAGCTTGTCGACAAAAATGAGCTCGGCAATGGTTGAGCACAAGTTGAAGAAGCTACCCTGAATGCGGATTCAACTGTTCTTCCTATTTTGTGTCTGGTGGAGCCACAATTCAAGTGAAGTGGCTCTAACTTTGCTTTGTACAAGTTTTAGAACAACAAAAATCTTTTTATAGCTTATTGCAGTGCACTTATGCATATCTTAAGTGTAAAACTGACCAGCAGAGCTACTCTGCACCTATAAATAAAGCCTGGTGTATTAGTATGCAGTTTAAGGGGAGACGCTCCTCGAAAAAGTTTTTTTTTTATTTCTAGTAATAGAAACTTGAAAAGTTTGTTATTAGTATAGTTTTTCATGCAGATTTCAAATATGCAATCATTTTTTGTGTAGCTGCTATAATTATTGAGTTATGCCATAAACAATAGCAAGAAGTTACATTTTTTGCGGGCACTCTTTTATGTACTAAACTTTCAGTAAAAGCACTGTGTCTGATCTTATTTGACTCTTGGTAGATTGAAAAGTGCAAATATCTATATAGATACGTCACAGAAATATTGGAACCAAGAAAAAAAAATTGTATTGAATGACTTATTATTTTCAATCTCCCTTGAAACAATAAACTAATATTTTCACAACTAATGCTGGTAGGCATTGCAATTTAGAGTAGATATTTGCATTCTGCATGTGTTGAAGAATATGTGTGCCAAGTTTCGTTACTATACAATGAATATAAGTTTCTAAAAGGCTGCCCGGAAAACGTGAAACTGTCAGAAAAAATGAAAATGAGAAAAACAAGTTTGAAAGTTCGCAAAGTTGGCATTTATTAGGAAATCATTCTTTTTGCATCAAATTGGGGCACAATGAAAAGTACCTTGCCTTGAATGCACTGCAAGTGTCTAGAAGTCCCCTGCACCATAGCTTGGTCCTTCACGGCTCTTGCGGTCAGTGTCCTCAACACGAGCTCTCTTCGCTGTGTTGCGACGGTGTGCCCCCGCTTCTGCAGTTTGCTTCAGGTTCATCTTCCTGATGCGCATGACGTCACAGTGGTCACCATGTGTGGCCAGATCTTGTGAGGGGAGAATTCCAATGCCTTCGAGCACTTCTTCAAAGCTCCTGTGGCCTTTGTTGTACCAGAGTACAGCAAGAGCGGTGGCTGTCTCCACAGTTGTTCTGGAGGCGAACTTTGTTTTTGGACATAGCAGCCATGTCTTGCTGTTCAGCGATTCGGCTGCATTCTGTATCTTGCCATGAAGGCACCGAATAAGGAGTTTCTCCTCTGTAAGGCGCTTGTAGATAGGCATAATTGCCAATCCTTGAGCCTTCGTCAACAGTGGGGTGTGGCGTGGTGCAGGCTCCCCCAGTGCTTCCGCACGCTTGTGCTTGCACCACGAATTTGGTCCCGCGGGGCAAAAGTTGTGGCTACTGGCACCATCACTGGAGCAGCAATGAAAATACGATGCCCATATGGCAGTGTACATATTTCGGACACTGTCCTTGTTGCTCGTGATGGCGATCTTGTAATATGTTTGTAGTTTTATTATTGTCGCATCTTTCAGTTTTTCGCCTCGTGGCAGTGGCATTGCCAATTTCCGTAGGGCAGTTCCCAAGCGCTTTGCAACGTGGTTCGTGCACTCTTCTTTGTCAATGGGGGTGTCACAGTATACATTTGCCTCGCAGACTGCAGTGTAGGCCTTGCTGTCACCATCACTTAGGAAGCTGGTGAATCGCAGTGGAGTTTCATAAGACAAGGTCCTCTGCCATATATTGACAGCTGCCGCAGGTTCCATTGCATGGGATGAGCAGTCAGTGTTTTTTTGGCAAACTGGAAGATGAAAAGCTCGCCATATCTCTTCATCCTCCCCAAGGTCCCTGTGTATACTGCAAGCATGGCAGTAGTTCGAAAGAACTTCAAAATCGAGGCAAAGCCCCGTGTCCAGGGACACGACTGTGCCCACTCCATTGTGGCTTTTATGACCTCTTTTCTGCCAGGTGCCATCAAACATGACTGGCACATCTCTGCCGCCGACTGCATCCTTCGTGATGTTTCGTGCCTGGTGCAAGTTTTTGCTCACTGCCATCATCGCCTCACCATGGAGCTTCTTGCAAATGCCGTTGAATGTCTTGTGATGCATCGGGCTCGGAAGACCGAGAATCGCACAAAATCGTGAAAGTTGGTCGTGGCCTGCGCCTATAGCGCGTGCTGCCAGAACTGCCTTCACGTTTACAGCAAAGCTGTCACGCGAGCTGCCGCTGTCAAAACGAGCGCTCGTTCCTTGGTCCCCGGCCGAAGCAGTACGTCTCGACGTGTGCGTGAACGAAAGTGCAGATTCAGGGCAATCAGAATTTTGACAGCACAGTTCGAGGAATGCCGAAAGTCCTTTGCGCTTTCCAGCTGCCTCTCGCACGCCGAGCTTCCGTTCGCGGCAGGTTGGGCATTGCGCACCCGCCATAAGTGCCGTCAGCGCATCGATTTCGCAAAGCAGCATGTTCGCAGTAGCAGCATCTACCGGTCTACGTTCACTCTCGAAGAATCCAATCTTCCTTTGGGATGCACTGACGAATTCCACGGCCGCGGCTATTTCACAACCACTGTCGCAGGGTTCGGTGACGGTGTTAGGCCTATCCGAAGTCGGAGCGTCGGGGCGTTGGTCGGGGGCGACATCGTCGTTCGCTGTCGCTTTGCGAAGCGTCCGACGCCGTTTCCCTCGATACTTATGGCGAGTTCTGAACTTTCGATTATCTGAACTGCACTTCTTCGGGCTTGCCATGACGCAAAAATGCAGAGAAACGCAGAAAAACTCGATCGCGACGTCCGAGGCTTCGCTCTTTTGCCGGAGAGATAGGAGGGGGAGGAGCGTGGAGCGCACCGCCGTCCAATGGCGGCCTCGCGCTGTGTGCCGCGATATTCAAAACGCGTGACGTACGCGTTGTTTTTCTCGTTTTTTGTTTATTCTGCATGAAGGCACGAGACTGGCTACTAGTGGATTATGAAGGATACGGCCTTCGCAGCATGCGTGCACGATTGCAAATGGCGGCCGACGCGTCGTTTTCGCGACAGGACGACGCGAACTTCGCCGTTTTTCGCGCATTTCTCGCGTCACTGCTGCCCACTTGGAAGCATTTTTTGATAATTTCTCGTGCGAACTTCAGCTTGATATTTTCAGAAGTAATAGATTATAGTCCAAGGATGCCAATAAAGCCGGAAAAAAAAAAGCGAAAATTTTCCGGAAAACCGCGACTTTTCGACCCGCGTCTCCCCTTAAAAACCCACTTTAGTTGGCCTTTTACAACACCACATAAAAGACTAGCTCCTTCTAGATTTTCATGTGCAGCTTGGCTGCACAATTAAGGATAAGTCATAATGTTCAGGTCATTTATTGGGAACAAACTGTGACTAGCACAAGTATTAAATACAAAAAAAGGCATTGGTGATAAGTACAAATACATAGGCAATTGTAGACTTTTCACAACATGGCACTGGAGTGGAACCTATGACATGCTGTAGATGTGTGGCGATGCTAAATAGATGGCATTCTTGCATGTAAAAACATGTCTCCATCTACAGCTTTCATTCGAGAGGCAGAATTTTAAACTATAGCCACGGCATTCCTGAAATTTTCAGGAGAAAAAATGTGTGTCAACGTGTGGAAATTTTACAGTTCTGACACTATAAAGAAAACACTGGTGTCCAGTCACAAACATGGCCTCATCTCAAGAGATCATGCACACACTTGCAATTACTTTTTTTTTTTTTTTCAAAAGACTGTGGCCACACTGCAACTGTGTCCATGATAAATGTATGGTACGGTCTACTGCTAAAGGGAATGATACAACTGCCATCTTTTCATGTGAATGTGTTCATCGCTATCACAAGTTTACGTGAAGTGTCGTACCAACATTTTCCTGTGGTTAATGTGTTTAAATTATATTGTTCTGAACAGTAACCAGGTCTTCCCATCAAGAGTAGACTATGCTGAACAGAAAGTGCTATTGAAATCTGGCCTTGTGTAAAACACACATACACTACAAAAACAATGCAAATTAGGAATTGTGACATGGTTGCAAGAAAACTTGCAAGTGCATGTTACTAACCTTGAGATAAAAGAAAAAGGGAGAAATTTATCTGAACACCTTCGGCAGTGTTTTATCACAGAATTTGCATCAGCGGGGTAAGTTTAGTTTGCGAATACAAAAGCAGTGTCACTGAGGCAGGACTTTCATGCAGTTCCACCCACGAAAAACCCGTGAAAGATAAGTGTAGTGGAACAACGGCATAGTTCTGAGAATGTTCTTACGGACAAAAGGATTTGAAACATCAAAGAATATTCACATAAGTCCACATGACAATTACATAGCTGCCTATCACGATTAGTCTGGCTAGCTGCTACGCAGCTCAAGGAAAAATTTACTAGAAGAAATTACTCATTTTGTTAATATCATTGCATTAGATTTATTGTACATGTCGTTAAGGTGTTTCTTAGTTTATGGCCTTCTATAAAAGGCAGGCATGAATCCATCTACTTTTTTTTATCTCTCCTACGGGGTCTGACCTTCAGATGCTGGGTGGTGATGATATTTGCGCAAATAGTTATCATCAGTAACTAATAAATTTACTTGCATTTGAAGAGTATTGATCACCCCCCCTTGCCCCAACCACAACCTGCACATGACAAACTCTGCCAGTAAAAATTTTTAAACTTGAGCCCAACTGAGCCCTAAAACACAAATCCGAAAAACTCAAGTCGATGCATCTCGGCAACAACAAAGACCAGAAGTTGTCTACTGCCAGAAACGGTTATCTGGCCTTTACATTGTGAGGGTAAAGGTGTGTACATAAGAGCGAGATTAATCAATTGGCAGTTACTTTCAATATCAGTTTCAATATCACTTTCCTGACAAGCAGTGCATGACACAAAACAGTATAAGTGGCTTGCTCTGACATCACACAAAGAGCAGTGTTAGAGCACCAGAATAGGGGGTCGCGATGCTTCAGATGTCACATTAATGTTATCAAAACACCACATGCAGGTTCTTTGGTAACATACACACAGAAACATTTCCGCCATGTCGTTTTCACGTAAGTGCGACTTCTCTGTCATCGAAGCTTCCATCGCTGAGTCTCGGTTCCTTTCAGAAGACTCGTCCATGACGTCACATGCAAGCCATCTAGTATCGGGAATATACTAGGCTTGTACGAATATTACTGTATTCGAATTCGCTTCCATTTGAATTTCAATAGCTGAAAATTTTGAAGTAGTCGAAATTTTGAAATGAACAAATAGATGTCTGTTACTCCGCATATAACCCCTGTACATGCGGTTTCACTGCAGTAAAGAAGTGCTAAGCAGTGAAAGCACCTATGTAAATGTATTACTTTGCACGCAACCTCCTGTAAAGGTGGTTTCACTACAGTAAAGGGATGCTAGGCCATGGAAACACCTGTTCAAAAGAAATCTATGCTGCCGTGAAGCCTCACTTCAAGATTAAAGGGGCCCTGAAACACTTTTTTGAGTAACCATAGAATTAGTTCACTGAAAGAGCGTATTACCTCACAAATTGAACGCCGCAAAAATTTTAAGGGTCCCTCCAGTACGAGCAGAGTTGCAATGATTTGTCACACGCTGCAATCACATTCTCTCTTCTCTCGTCCCGACGAAATCGCTGGAAGCTGAGCAAGGAGGGACAAACAAAAAACGTCACTCGCGCCTCATGCATTTTTCATTTTTTTCTTTTTTTTCGTCGAATATGCGGCTTTTTCAGTGTGATCGCGAGCGCACACACGGACAAGTGACGGCCTCTCGCGGCGACCTCTGTAACAACCGAGCGCGCCATGTTCAAATCAGCCAATGGCTGATAGATAGGCTTACTAGGCTTATTTTCCGTGATTTGTCGAGAAAAGAGAAAGCTATTTTTAGCTGACTTTGATAACTTATTGTGAATTCCAGGCCGTGTGCTGCGCTGTAACATTTGACTCACGTGTTTTCAGGAGCCTCTACTACCGATCGGCAGCGTTTTTCGATCATGCTCACAAAGTGTTGCAGGGCCCCTTTAAAACAACACATTGCCTCACATCGATTCATCATTTTTTAAGTTTAAAAGCTAGTTACACTGGCTTTTATGCTTTAAGTATAGTAAATGTTAAAACGTAACATATTTTTACGGGTTGTCACGTGCATTCTATCGAAAGTCATCTCTTGCTACTACTTAAGTTGTTTTCATTTCTTTTGAATAAAAAGAAAGGAATTTGCACATATCTTGTTTCAATATAAAGAAAAGCATTATGCAGGTTGGTTGGGTCTTGAAAAATGTGCCCATTTTCTTTATATGTGATGTGTACTATTCGAATTCAATTTAAAATTTGACCAAAACCACTATTTGCACAAGCCTAGAATATACCACTCGTAACGTACCGTCAAAACAAAAAACTCAAACTAGAACGCAAGCTATGGTATCTACGCAAACTTACCAATTCTAATGCAAAATTAATTTCTTTCTTTGGTATATCTGTCGCTTCATTTCATTGCTTACGCGTCTGTTTCACTGGAATCGGTGGCATGGAAACCAAACATTAACGCGGAATTTGCAAACAGAAACAGGTGCATCTGAAGGACATGCTGACAAGAAGTTACAGAAAGTGTCCTCATTTGAGAAACGATAAATAGTATTTGCGCACAATGACTTGAAGTAAGGCTCCTTCATCTTTCATGAAATTCAGGAACCTACCACAGGGGCGAGAAAAAAACCGTCAAAGTGTCGATGCCTCCTCGGCACACAAACGAAATTTACATTTTGAACTTTCAAACTGTCATTTAGATTTTACCCTTTTAAAGACGTTTTTCTTACAATGTACGTTTCATTTAAAAAGTATTTTTCCTTTATCAAACATTCAGGCCATAGCCTCTTCTAGGCAGAGCACGGTTCTTAGCCGACGTCATCCTTCGCTCATCAAGCGTCTCGCGAAGGTTGAAGAAACCACAGCTGCCACGACTTGGCCCACGCGTAGATGATAGCGAGGGAACAGCTCACGGATGTCACCATAAGAGGCAAAAATGGCATCCGCCTCGCGAGAGGTGTGAAAGTGTGCAGCAGTTCCGCGTACACGACCACTGCCAGGCCCAAGACACAGAGTCCCGCTCGCTCGAACCAGGTCAGCAACGTCCCTGCGTGCCTGCGCAGATGTACAAAATATAATTAATTTTCTGCAAGAAAATGAACTGACAAACTGTAGTGGTGCACGCAATCAGCCAACACATCTAGACAACAACAGTTAACGGCCTCCTGTAGATTTTAGCATCACATATCTACACTGACGACATACCATTACTCGGAGACAAGGACTAGACACTTTAGTGGCCTCCAACATTGTAGGCAACATTAGAGGCCACTAAATGAACACAATGTTGTAGTATTAAAAGAGGAAAAGGGGGGTGTATGTCTGACAGACATGCATAGCAGAAAGAATATTCGTTTTTAAAAAGGTAACTAGTAACAATGTCGAAATTATGCAAACTTTAAGAGTTAGCGACAATTTGCAACTATGAAGGTTCTAAATGATTAACAGTGATCCAGGTACACATTGCAAGGCAATGCTTTATTATGGGGCTCAGTTTACCTGGTAACTTGTGTGAATGATGCATATCGCCGCTTCTGGTCAGCCTTGCTGCTGTGAAGTTTGCCGAGCGTGCACACGGCATACACTGTATGCAGCAGCACTAGAAGAACCTTTGCAGGCATCTCTGTAAAAAAAAGAGAGAGAGAAAACATTGGGTGCAAAACACTCCAATATGCAAAATTAAAGGAAATTAGCACGAGCAGAGATAATAAACTGCAATGATGCAAGAATAATCAAGCATCTGACATTAAAGAGCACACACCAAAAGCGAATAACTCATACAGAGCATGTACTCCTGAAATGACACATCATAACAATCGACAAAATTCACTCAGCAATGTGAAAAAGGGAAATTAAATGCAAATCAAGACATCATACTATGCATAATTAATATAATGGTATCTTGTCTGATTAACTGCCCCTCACAGCAAATCACACAGCCCACCATACCATGAGAAGCATATGTTGCACTGCATCAGTCACACAAAGCTCACGAAGCACGAATTTTACACATTATTATGCATCCGAAAATTAATCTTTTTTAAAATCTTTTTTAGAACTTTCAAGCAGTTTTTTTTTCATCTGCAGACTAACCCATGCTTCAACCATTCAATCTTCTAAATATAAAACTGTTTCAGTTCCTACTCAAAAATTTCAATTCAATCACTCGTGTGCCATCTTTACTCAAAGGAGCCATGAGACACTCTAGCGACAGCGTTATTTAGCACTGGAACGCATGTCGTAATAATTGCTGAGATGAATGAAACAAGAATGGTGCAAATCGGTGCACAAAAAGTGATGTTATGAGTCCTCAAAGTTGAAAACTCGAGCAAACGATGACGAGAAACGTTCCCTTTCACATTTCACTCGCCTGCTGACATCAAAGACCACTTCCAATCACAGCACGTGTCTCGTGAAGACATACCGGTAATGTGACCTCAGTGTGGCCTTCCCACAGTAACCCATCATTGCTCTTTTTGACAGTGTCATTAGCATGATTACCATGAACCACGTGCGTCAGGTAGTTGACACTTCCCCGGACACACTGTGTAAGATACATACATATAATTTCGGCGGGGACACTTCTCGACCTGCACGCGAGACGCATTCTACGGCAACGCCAGCGCCTGTCGCATGCTGCATTTTTGGCACGCTAAAAATGTGGCATGCGTTTCCACGTCTAATTGCTGGCGCACCATAGCCGCATTTACAGACCAAATTTCGTGTTCGCTGTTCTAAAAATACATCATTTAAAAACAGAAATAATTTCTTTCTGAGAAAGTATAAAAATTGTTTTTACTTTTTTTTACCATTACTCGTATAGCTTAGCTACCACCATGCCAATATTGTATACCGTTTGTCGTGTTAAGCCAATAAAAAACAATTGGTTTTTATCGTCCCATCACATGACATAACGTCACTTCCCATAACAAAAATAACCTATGTGTGACGCTGTAGTCCGAAATCAAGGTGGTTTATCCCGTGAATATAAAATTATACCAGCTTCGATTTCAGCGTTGCCACTTGCGCAACGATATCGGCACATTCCACAGCACCAGAAGAACCATGAAAAGGGCATTCTCAAACTGTGTTAGAGGGCCCCTTTAAAGAGCATCATCGCACAGGATGCACAAATGTTAGAGTTGCTAGAAATACGAAGTTAGCACAGGGAATGCATGTAATTTACTAGGCATGTGCGAATATTCGAGCACTTCAAATACTTGATCAAATATTGCATTATTCGAATTTGCTTCTACACGAATTTTAATTACTCAAAATGAACGAATAAGTATATAATAAAACACACATAACCCACCTGTGAAGTAGTAGCGTAGTAGTGATATGCCATGAAAGCACCAATCCGCACTGCCACAAAGCCCCACTTTCACGTTCACATCGATTAATCATAGCTTAAAAGCTGGTATGTAGGCTTGTATGCTATAAGTATAAAAAATTTCAAATTGCCAAGAATTTTACCGGTTACCTACTGCATGCTGAAATTAAAATCCAGCTACTACAGTAGACTCGCGATAATTTAAACTTACGGTTAATCCAAACAAAATTCAATTTTTTGGTTCACCCTCTGTACTTTCAATGTATGTAAGAGCCTCTTAATTCAAACTCATCATTTGGGTAATTCATACTTTTTGCAGTTCCATACCGGAAAATTTCTGCTGCCTTTCCCACTACTATTTAAATATTTGAGTGCTTGTATAATCCTAACAGACTAAAAATGACAAATAAGTGTCTTAGGCCTTGAGGAAAAAGGCTTTGCTAGTAAACAAATGTTCTAAATGAAGCACATGCACGGCAAACCGTGATGTTTCTCAACTGGTATAGAGAGGTTTGTGCTGAAGGCACATATAGCAAAGAAGAAGCCGGCAATTCACGATTTCTTTAAAAGGTCTGTTCATCAGTAAATGGCCAACAAACTTGTGAACCTTGCACCTCTGCTTTTTGTCCATTGGGTGCAGTTAGGGTTGAAAATGCTTAAAAAATTTTTTTAATGTGATAAAATGAATGCCTAATCATAGTGTGTGGTATCAACTAGCACAGATTCATATATCTGAGAACTTCTGATAATTCAAACAAAATTCAAAGGTCTCTCCGTGTTTGAATTACCGAGAGTCAACTGTATTCAAAGTTGCTTGCGATTCACTCTGAATAAAAAAAGAAATGACACATGCCTTGCTCCAGTTTTCGAAGAATATTGCACAGGTTAGTTAGGTCACGACAAACATGCTCATTTTTTAAATATCTATGCTATATAATACTACACAAACTATTTGATCCGAAATAATTCAACAATATCACTATTCACTTTGAACCTAAAATTTACTGTTCGTAGATCATTAACATTTACCAATAACATCTAACACTACACAGATTTTCAGGTTGTACCTGTTTGGCAGTAGGCAATGACTACACAATCTGCAGTAGGCAATCACTACAGATCGTGTTGGGCAAGGCATATAAAGAACTTGGCATCAGAACTTATCTTATCCGTTCCATCATGACCTTATTCAGTATGCGTTATCCATCATAAAAGCTGCAAGAATTTAAGGCAGTACTTCAAAAAAAAATTTTCACAAGTTTTTCTAGAACACTGTGAACATTAACATGCTGAACACTTCTCAACTGAAAATGAAAATAAACTATCAGTTACTACATTATTTCTACCCCATATCAACAAGGAATACAAGGTAATCACCCACCAGCTGATTGGAAAAGCAGGGGGAAGAGGGAGGCATGGCCAGCAGCTGAGAGAATCACGTACACAGCTGCATCAGAGGAGCTGCACAGGGCTAGCGGGCTGCGTATGTGAAAGTTCACCATGTCATTGCATGCACAACTTCACACATGCACAAAAAACACAGTTTTGCAAATGTAAGTGCGCCTCTCACTGAGAGTCCTGACATAAAAAACTGAACAGGGGCAAGACACGCCGTGTTTTTTTCCTTTTTTTTCTTGTACTTTTTCTTCCCTACATGCTCGGTTGTGGTTTCCTACAGCACGTGAAGATAAGTGTTTCAGCTCCGCCAAAATTTTCCGCAATTTGGTTTGTTGGTTCCTCGGTATCTTGGCACAACTACTCCAAGGGATAAACCATGAATCGAAGAGTGCCTTGCATAGGAAACTAATTCACTTCTAGACGAAAAGAGCTGAAAATGAATTGTTCAGCCATTACACATTATAGTCGGCCATTTGTTGGGCAAACTATTCCCTTCTTCATGTTTAGTGGACCAGTGTCGAGTAGAGGGATTCACCCAATTTTTGTGGCACATTCCCGTTTTTACTAGTGGACTGTGGCCCCATGACACATATTCTGTGGCACTGCTTGGCACGCCGTGACGACATGAGATGCCAACATTGCGAAGCCTCGTAGCATGAGTCTAGGGAGAAACTCATGCGATACGTGACGTTGCAAAGCCCCTTTCAGTGGCAATGTTCGTCTTCCCTATACGACGCAGCCATTTCTGTCGCCGTTTATGATGGACTGTGACGATATGGCATACTATGACTGCATGACGCACCGACAAGCCTAGACTCTAAGGTGCTTTGCCCCTAATGCCCACAGATTAACAGAATCTCCTGATGTGCACATGCACTAACATATACTTTCCGACACATGCAAGTATGCAAGCACACTCATGCTAAATATAGTGGCAGGAATTACTGACACCTATCTTTGAATTTGTAGAAACACATTCCCCCACTTATCACACGTTAGGTTCCCAAACTTCGCCAGTATGAAGGCTGCTGAATGCTTATACACTTTAACATCATACCGATGTTATCTTGCAATGCTACACACAGCATTATCAAGTTTTCTGTACTGTCGTGACAGATGAAAATGAGCTGACACAGCTAATTATTATTGTTCCAGTCAGCGGATGTTAAAACTATACCAAAGCGATGATGACATAACTAAAATAGCAGACAGATAGAGAAGACGTGGTTTGTAGCTTTGGCTGCTTTTGAAGTAAAATGTCACAAGCATCAAATAAAGCAAGGACAAACTGATGAACATGTAAAACATTTAGCATACATTACTTACGTGGCCAGCAGAACAGGCATCAATATGGCCTTCTCATGGACGTGCCAGCCAAACAAAAAAGCACTGAGGCTGCACAGCACCAGGGCACGAACCAGCAACCAGGGCTCCTGTGGTCTCTTCCAGAGTCCCCACAGAGCAGGCTGCAGTGCATGCAAGTTTGAAACTAATGACGGATACTTCAAACTAGCACACGTACAGCGAACTGGGTCAGTCGGTACTGGTTTACTATGTTACAGCGTGGCAAGAACCAGGAGAAAGCTAAGGCACACACACGACAGGATGCAGCACTAATGGAACCAGGGCTGTGTTTCGTTGTGTGTATGCTTCAGCTTTTTCATCATTCTTGCCACGCTGTAACCTAACGAACTAGAACACAAGAAAAACTACTAAAACAGACACACTATGTTAGGTACATATACAAAGTTCAGCTTTTTACCAGAGGCTATTTTTTTCACCAGCGTGAAAAAAATAGCCTTTAGTAAACAGCAGTACTACTCTGTTTCAGCTGTACTATCAGACTAGTACAGATGAACTGGGGAGCAGATCTTGTCCCTTACATGAAGTGTCTCTTATACACATAAGCTGAGTACCATGCTATCAATTTCAGTTCAACACCTATTTCAATGTTGGTACACTGGTGTCTCTCCTACTCCCAGCTTCTCTTACATCAATGTCTCTTATAAAGACGTTTAACTGTACTATAGTTATCATGCTACCGTTCACTGAATGGTGGATGTGCCGTATCCAAAATCTATTTCATTCTCTCGCCTAATAACATGAGCCTTGTCTTGATTGATTTGTGGGGTTTAACGTCCCAAAACCACTATTTGATTATGAGAGACGCCGTACTGGAGGGCTCCGGAAATTTCGGCCACCTGGGGTTCTTTAACGTGCACCCAAATCTGAGTACACGGGCCTACAACATTTCCGCCTCCATCGGAAATGCAGCCGCCACAGCTGGGATTTGATCCCGCGACCTGCGGGCCAGCAGCCGAGTACCTTAGCCAGTAGACCACCGCGGCGGGGCCATGAGCCTTGTCTGATCAGATACTTCACACAATGCGAGTAGCACTGCACAGAATCAAAATGTATGAGAGCATAAGCAATTATTCTAGAATGCGTGTTGATCTATTGTAAATAGCTGACAGCTTCAAAGAAGAGCCGGTATCTCGTTTCTGCCAGACACAGAGGAAGTGGCCATCGCAAGCAACGAAAAAGTGGAACAAGTTACAGAGGAACTGGTGGTGAGTACTTTGTTCTAAGCAGTTACTTTAGATTGAAGAATGACTGTTTTGGAATAGCTGGTTGCTACTCAATTTTGTAATTGGACGACAGCGAAATCAAGCAGCCAGCCAAGACAACGGTGACCATTTGCTAACAGCCCCTTTGTGATTTCTGTGTGTTAGAGCATCTGTGGCTGACTAGATCACACAACCTTTGAAAGTGGCAGGTGTGAATGGGTCCTATCTTTGGAGACTTTACAACCAAGGCAATTCCACTGACCAGTTGAAAGAGGGCAGTCAGTATGAATGTGCTGAGCGGTGGTACATTGGGCAGCAATGCGAAGTTGGTATCCTGCACCAACCCAGAGGTCGGTGATGCAATCGTCATTGCAGTCTTGCCAGACCCAATACCTGCATAAATGTAACATGCAAAGTTGGCACAGTCATCATACAATAAATTAAGACAGGTTTCATATATCGTGGCTAGACATGGCTCTATTAAATGTGGGAGAGGCTCCGGTCAAGTTTCTGACCACCTGGGATTTTTTAGCGGACACGGAAATTGTAGAGAACAGCTTTGGACAGCGTGACAGAGGAGGACCTGTTTTATATTCCTGTCTACACTTGCACTAGTGAAGCCACTTAACACGCACCAACACATAAGCGCTGCTGACATCAGCGTGTGATAAACATGCTTTTAACAAACTTTTATTATGACAATAACTTTGGTGATGGATGTAACATTGCTTTAACAAAAGTTGATGGTAGGTTATTTAACTGTTCAGAAGCAAAAAATAGTTCTAACCATGGGTTATCAAAACAACAATGCCAAAACACTACTCAGTGTGCTCTCAGTTTAGCCTAAAGTATCAACTGTGGGATTTGATCAGTGAGCTACTATGTTTTACAACATATATATACGACAGTGTGGCTAGCAGACCATTGCGAGTCTGTTGACAACAGACCCATAATGGTCTTTCCTCAACAGTGCAGATCAATATCACAAATTGTTACTTAGTCGATATCATTTGTGGAGATATCTACCACAACAAAATGTCATTTCAAGTGCATAGCATCAAAGTGATTTCAGGCAGCTTGAAAATAGCTCGCCACAGAAACCACAGAGCAACACTAAACGATTTTGTTATCATCAAGATTGTGAAACCACTCGGGACACCAGGCAACACTATGAGTTAAATGCCGAGGAGGCCTGCTTATTTTAACCAAAACTAAAATTAATTTTCTTTTTAGTATCCGTTTAAATCCACATATTTGCCAAATAAATACTCAGCATACATTAGTTCAGGAATTCACAATTCATTCCTTTGTACACTGTCAATTTGATCAAGGAAAACATGGGAGTGCGCGGCTTGCACTCTCGACGGCTGCTGGCAGCACCTTCAAGCAGGAGTGAAAGCAATCCACGATCGCTTTTCGCATCATCTTGAGGTGAGCAAAAGAAGCAGTTATTGGTGATATGAAACCAGAGGCAAGATTCCAACTCCTTCCCCTTCAAGGCGATTACCGGCCTCTTGCATAATCTTCTTGAAAGGGGAGGGTGTACAGTCTTGCCGCTTGTTTGATTTCAGTGCCACCAGTGACGGCTTGTTTTGGTTGCCTCGAGATGACGCGAATCGAGGCTGCATGTTTCCTCTCGCTCCCACATGAACGCGCTGCCTAGGAGAGCGCAGGACGACGCGCTCCCATGTTCCCTTTCATAAAAATTAGCACTGTATAATGCAATATCTATGCATGCAAGGCCCACATGGAAGTTTAGCTAAACAGGCACAAAAAGGCACTAAAACACACCGCTGACCTGTGAATGCCAGTACTCTGTCCACAGCTGCATACAGTGCCCACCAGTTGGGGGCCCAATAGGCATGGCAGAGTCCCCTTTTGAAAGGAAACAGCCGCTGAAGCATCTGCATTAGCTGAGCCTGCAACAGATTTTGTAGCCTACATGATTGATTTACTAATTGATTATCAGTTGTGTTGAAAAACTATTTGAGTGAACTTGTTTGAATAGGCTTTCTGATTGACTGCATACTATTTAAACCTTGAATGTTTGTATGCAGAGTAGGTTGGTAACTGAACATTTGACTGAATAAACAAATGACTGATTGAATGGATCATAAACGACATAAAGAATTGTAAAGAACATCATAAAGAACATCATAAAGGAATATTTACCCCAGATGATAGTATAAGCATTTGACTGTTCACTTGACTGTATGAATGAACGACTGACTGTATGATTTAGAGAAGGCTACACAAAAAAAAAAAAAAACACTCTCCATTTAGGTTTCCTTCTTTTCTTTACTTCTTGTGGTAGACATCAATATTTCGTTTTCCTCTCTTACTTGCATTATATTAGCGGAAGCCACAGACGTAGGTCTCCAATCAACTGCTATTCCAATCTGCCGACATCAACAAGCCAGGCAAAGTATAATACGGAAAAACAAAACTAAAAAGAAGATCGCAATGCTGCCTGTTCTTGCACACACTGATACATGTTTCCTCTCCACAAAGTTCAGCACACTACCAGAAAATTAATGGGCACGTTACTATTGGAGCATTGCTGAACAAATCATCTTTATTCAGTCCTTTGCACTAAAGCATTACCAACAGGCTATCTTGACACGAGTAAGAAGTTGGACGTGTTGGTAATTGACAACTGATCATGTAGCGCAAAAAATTTCCATACCCCCATTTGCCTCTTCCGCTGTCTTGGGTCAAATATTTGTTATGCTACGTGATCAGCTGTCAGTGTCCATTTTGTCTTTAAGTATATGCCTGTAAGCCATGACCAAAGCATACATCTAGGATCACAGTAACCACAATACAGTCAAACCCCTTTCTAAGAGACAAATGGGTATAAAAGACACAAGTGTGCCTACAGTAAAATACGAGCTGGAAAGAAAATGCTTACAAAGTACCATGTTTAAAAAGACATCTCACATAAAAGACAAGAATTACTGCTGGGAGCATGACTCTCATAAAGAGGTTTAACTGTAATGTCGTTCTGCAATTACCAACACTGCAAGGCAGCATCCAACGGCCTTAAACCTAGAACACCTTGACACACACAGTATACAGGAAAGTTTTGAAGCCAACCCACGAAAATGAACTGTGGCAAGTATGCACAGCCGTGATGAATGAAAGACTCTGTTCTTATTTCACCAGCACCAGACTCAAGTCTCCCATCTTCACTGGACGGCTCTCGCATTGCCTAACGTTCAAATTTCCCATGCGATATAAAAGCAATCAAGAAAGTCAGCATTGTAGATGCATAGCTCTGAAGAAAGACTTTACAACTGTGCCAGTGTAAGTAGCCTCTGGTAGTGTGGATAAAGCCATAAGATAAATTTCTCTCATAGTTTTTCTCAGTGTGCTTTGTATATAATTTGGGAAATTTCTTGCAAGGACAGGGCATTCACTTACTGCACACACTCGTTTATTAAATGTGGCAACAAGCAGTCACAGCCGATGTCACAGTACTGACAGCAAGACATAAGACTTACTGTAGTTTCCTATATTTACGTCTGGGAAAAGTCCGAACATTACCTTGCTTAAGAATGGCCACAGTGATACTGCAAAAACCAGCAGCACTGCTCCGGCCAACCTCAAGAAGTGCACCGGCTGAAACCGCTGCAGAAAGGACTGATGAGCTGAAAGCAGAAAGAAATATACACAATCGTATATTCGCTGCTGTATTTAGGAGCTGCACGATGGCTCACAATGACCACACTCAAGAGCTGAATTTCGCTAAGGATAACTTTAAGAAAGCTGCATCAAAACAGTTCAATACGGCAAAAGAGCCCCACTGTCACAAACGACTGCAATTTCCTCTCGCCCGCGCGCCCCATCGTTCAAAGGAAGGGTGCTTTTGTGTTGGGAGGACGATATCCGGCGACTAACGGACGCAGCAGCAGGCGGCGCCGCGTCTTCCCTACACTTGTACCGAAAGAAGGGACATGTGTTAGAGGAAAAATAAATGACCTCGAAGAGGAGACGAGACGCCCCGAAAGAGTTTTGACTGCTTTGAATTCGGTAGTTGACAGTGCAACGAGTGAAAAGCGTGGTCGCCGGTGTCGCGAGGCTCGCGTAGGCGGCAAGTATGGAGTAACCTGCGCAACGTATTGAGACGGACTGCAATTCCGGGCACCCTCGTCGTCTACTAGGCCGGCGAGATCTTCAGCGGCACCCGTCAACTCCCCTACCTGTACCAAGAGCTGGCCTGGTCCGTATGGAACTTTTTATTGTTTTTTTTTTTCAACTGTTATTTTATTATAACCAGCTTTTCAATAATTGTAGTTGTGTGCACTGTGTCGCAGCTAGAAATTCCGAAGCACGCACATGATCTTTTTCTCGTAAATTTTCTTTGTTTATCCTGTAGTTTCTATCATGTTATTTTATTAACACTTTGCGTATTTGTGTTTTATTTGTACCTGTTGTAGTGTTCTTTTAGAACATAGTTTATTTTATAGCTGTTCTCCTTTCATTGCATATTAGTGTTTTTCCTTTGTTATTTTTGTAATCTCTTGCCCATTGCCCTTGTTTTAATTAAATGCTTGTTTGATTCGTATGAAATCTCTGTGCCTGCTTCACGAGAGCGTCGGTCAGGCCCTATACATCACCCACATGCAACCCCGTACGGGTCGGCCGACCTGCAAATAAATTTGAGATGTGCCACTTCGAGGCCTTTCAGGCATCGCAGGCCAAAGCGTAAAGTGGAAGCCTGCGAGTCTGTCGCACGTCGATGTTAGATCGGCGGGACCTCACCCGAAGTGTGTGACACCCACGGACAAGTGACAGAGAACAAGTAAACATCTTGCTACTGTCATTATTATTCTTTAACTGTCTTCGGATGCTATAGAAATAAAAAAAAACAGTTGGAAGAGCAAGAGAACTTATTCTCGTGGTACAAACCAAACAAAACAGCATACAACTCTATGATTAAGAGTAATGGTGGTTAGGGATTTCAAAACACAAAACTGACTTTCATAAATAAAAAAATTGGAGGCATGACTTTCATGCTTAGTCAGGTTTATGTTAGAGTCAACACCAAAGTCCCATTTCAGATACCCCCCCCCTCCCTTCATTTAATGTCTTTCCTTAAATACCCATCATATTATTTCTCTATTAGAAATGCTGTTCCTCTTCTATTTCTTGAACACACAGCAGGTAGCGATACATGCATAACTGTGCTGAAAAACTTAAGCCAGCATCTAGCACATAAAAAATCTTTATCAATACTACATATCCAATCAGAAGGCACGTAAATAACTAACAGAAATATGCACTTTTAACAAACACAACCAGCACTATGAAAGATCTTTCAGTACTGGAACTTTTACCTAAACTAAAATAGCATCTCAAAGCTTAGTCTCAATTCCAGTTTGCCAATTTTAATTAAACTTTACTTCTGTGTATATGTATGTGCATGTGTAGGTGAGAGCATGACAGGCCACATCTTTTCTTGATATAATAATAATAATAATAATAATAATAATAATAATAATAATAATAATAATAATAATAATAATAATAATAATAATAATAATAATAATGTTTATTTTTCATCAAGAGTTTGGTGAAGGACAGCTCCAGGTAAAAGGTGCTCTCCAAAAGAGGCAGCTTGACAAAGGCCCACAGCTACATGCCGAATTCGAAGAAAAGGGAATAAATAGGTGCGGTTTCACAATTTGAAGCTGCAGCGTGAGCTGTGAAAGGCGGCATAAAATGTTGACTTTGAAATAACTTTGACCATGCGAGAGTTTTTAATACGTAAGCAAAGCACATAACACAAGCCTTTCTGGATTTCACCAAACCAGACTGCAAATAGTGTAAGGACAGTGTTGCATACAACAACACGAACATTAAGCCATTGCAGTTAACGTGTTCTGGGCCTACAGCTACAACAAATACACCGTGGACTTAAAAAGAAAAACCTACAAGAAAACACCTGAAGGTGATTTTGAGAAACACAGTAAAGCAGCCACCAGATGAATGAAACATGCAACAGCACCAACACAACACTGACCTTTCCCGGAAGGCTGTGCAAAACAGTAATTTCTTAAGAGGTACACGAAGAACACTGGAGCCACATACAAATAAATGTGCTTCAGGTTGAGCAGAACGGTGAACCATAACGTTGCTTCAACACAGCGTCCCTTAAAAAAAAAGGAAAAAAAAGCATATGTGGATGTTGGCCCCTAAAAGCCAGAAAGCACACGCTGCAATTTGTGATGTCGCAGTAAAAACTGAACCACCAGAGCAAATGTCAGCATATTGGTAATGCATAAGTATGTTTAAAAAGTGCGAGCTACACAGGAATAGGAAATCATAACAAACATACACATACAAATATATATATATATATATATATAGGTCCCTTGAGGTGACTTCTTCGCGAAGCCACCTCAAGTGGTGTACCGCCGGGATAAAAATCTGAAGGACATTCTTGTCAGAGCAAAAACAACCACCCCCAAATTTCAATCAGGGTGCCATCCCTGCGAAAAAGCTTGATGCAAGGTATGCCCACAGATGGTCACAACACGTGAATCCAAAGCGAACTTCTCGGATTTCAAAGTCTGCATAACTGAAAGCCTTAATTGTGACTCCAGTAACGTAATATGCATGCTACATTGCAACATCTGCGGGCAAGAATATATCGGCCAAACAGACACGCCATTTTGGCTGCGGTTCAATAATCACCGGTACCACGCCACTTCACTGCCGAAGCTACCTTTATCTAGACATCTGCGCCTGCCAAACCACAGTTTTGAAAATATCAGCGTAACTTTTTTGCAGTCCAGTTTCTCAAACAGACGCGAGCGCGAACAGCGCAAGGCATATTTTATTTTCAAATTTCGAACATTAGTAGCCGGCATTAACGAGGACCCCGGTAAACTCAACTGCCTCCGAGAAGTAAGCCAGGAGGAAATTGGTGACAAAGATTGATAGCTGGAGACCATGCTTTTTTCTGACTGACTCGTACGTGTACACTGTCCATTCTTGTTTTCGTTTTTTCTTCATTCATTTTTTCTTTTCTTCCTTTTTCCACATGCACATACAAAGTGTTTTCGTTCGCCTATTACTTGATGACCATTGAAGGGAAGCGGACGAAGATTAAAGGTAAAAAGAGCCGACCGACCCATTAACGGGAGACCCTTCCTTTACGCACGCCGCATGCCGACCGACCCATTACGGGGAAACTCTTTCTTTACGCACGTTGTCACGGACCCTCCCGGCACCGCGGCGACAATCTTGGGTGGCCCGACACACGTCGAGAACTGAACAGCACGTGATAAGAAACGTATGTGGACATACACGGACAGTTGGTTTCGTTCTCAGTGTTGACAGTGGTTCTTCCTCTTTTTTTTTTTACTTTCTTTCTTTTTCTTTTTTTTCTCCCCCCCTCTTTTTTTTTTTTAGTTTCCTCTCACTCTCGCAGACATGTTTCAAGGCGAGAGGGACGCAGCAGCAACGAAGTTTGGAAATTCATGTCAGTATAACTCATCCCCTGATGAAGGGAGTACCCCTCCCGAAACTGTTGGGAAATAAATATATTTATCCTTGTTGACAACGCTCCCGTCGTGCCATATCCCATACCTATATATATATATATTAATTTGTGGGGTTCAACGTCCCAAAACCACAATATAATTATGAGAGACGCCGCAGTGGAGGGCTCCAGAAATTTCGACCACCTGGGGTTCTTTAACGTGCACCCAAATCTGAGTACATGGGCCCACAACATTTCTGCCTTCATCGGAAATGCAGCCGCCACAGCCGGGATTTGATCCCGCGACCTGCGGACTAGCAACCGAGTACCTTAGCCACTAGACCATTATGAACGCTAGTAGCCCGTGGGCAGGAACCCTAGGTTTCTGCCCACAGCAAGTTATCTTTTCACCAACTTTTCTTTATCCACATTTACCTTACGATTTGGTCTAATAGCCTCCCCTATACTTTCCTTGGCATTATTGTCTGTTAGATTTCATATATATGCCTTACATGCCTTTTTGCCCATTTCTAACTCACTTTTTAAATGTTCTTAATCATCAAAGCCATTATAAATACATAGCACAGTGAAGAATGAGGCTTTTCTTTGAAATGATCAGTAGTTTATGCTGTTTAACATGAATAATTATTAAAACATTTCTTATTACAGATCTAAATGACACAAATTTTTAGGTTACACATTGAGGAACAATTAGCTTACATATAAACATTTTAAAAATCATTGCTAAAGGCATCAGCATTGGCAAAAGTCCAAGGAATCGTACTGCAGGGAACATGCTCATACCGGGAATGTGATATAAAGTGTGCTAATGTCCCATAGTCTTCCCATGAAGTTGATAATGAATATTTCCCCAGTGGGCCTTGCACTCACCTAGTTTCAACACACAGGAGGCCAGCACCACATTATAAATAGCAAATAAAATCGATAAATGCATTTACCTGTTCTGACTTAAATTTCTGGTAAGGGAAGTGCTGTAGGCTTTGGTGTGTTTTATTTAAACTGTGTTTGTTTAATTATTATTTTTTTGCTTCACAATTTATTCAGTTATGCCTTATACAGTTCTTTAACAACATACATTTACCCAAACCTAGTTTTAAGCAATGTGGTTTCGTTGGTAACCGATTCATAATTTTAATAATCCCTCTTTTGAAACATACCTGAAAGAGGCGAGCTGTGGCTAGCAAGAGGATTCCATGAAGAAAACCATTGTACTGGAAGTGGACATGATCGACGAGCAACAGTCCAGGGTTCCAAAGAAATAACATTGAAAGCACGGTAGTCTTGTCAAGCCAGGGATCATCATGCTTCGACGAGCGGTCTCTCTTTGTGGGTGAAATGAGCCCTTGCCACCTGAAATAATCAAACAAACACAGATATCAGAAACAATCAGCACTTTCCACTTTTGCAATGCCTTGAAAAGAATGAATGCCGCGATACAGCAAGAAACCATTGCACACGACGTGACTGGCTACTAGCGAACACTGGACTGAGGGTAACGTGCGGACAACCCTGAATTGTTGCTCACTCAACAACACACTTTCGTCTCTTTCCTAAGTATCTTAACCCCAATATCAAGTGGATCAAATAGGCTGATCTCAATACAACAAAGGAATCTGGAAGAAAAGAGAAATGCAATCACTGCATAATTCAGCATCTGAATTACCCATTTGTTAAATTATCATGCTGTACCCCGCCACAGTGGTCTAGCGGCTAAGACACTTGGCTGCTGACCCACAGGTCGCGGGATCAAATCCTAGCTGTGGTGGCTGCATTTTCAATGTAGGCGACAATTCTGTAGGCTAGTGTGCTTAGATTTGGGTGCACATTAAAAAAACCCAGGTGGTCAAAATTTCCAAAGTCCTCCACTACGGCGTCTCTCATTGTTATATGGTAGTTTTTGGTACGTTAAACCCCACATATTATTATTAAATTATTATAGTGTAATGGGCCATTATGGAAACATGTAAATTTTATCTGTATTTGTACCTTGAGATAGCTTTTTCGTCTTCATAAGTCCAGTAAAGTGGTTTTACTAGCACTCGCTGGTTGAACTTCGTCGCTTTCTTATTTTCTCAGGTGCGGTGCAAATGACTGACTCTACGCAAGATGAAACTCCGTAATTACAAGCGACACACAGGTCAAGAAAGAAGAGAAAGAAAAAACAGACATCCTAAGTGGGTTAAAAGCGCATCACCAGTCTCATCCCCTTCCATTGTCGGCATTTCAGACAGTGCTCTATTTCCTTACGGAATACGCACCAATGAGCTAATCTACAAGTACTCTTGTTGCAAATAAGTTATTATTGCACAAACATGTGGAACTATTCTATGAAACTCAGCCTGCAGATGCGCACAGAACAGGGGATCTTGATGCACAAGTACCAATAATCTTGCAACAAGCGAGATCCACTTCGTTGCTGAATGGTCACACTAAACATCGCTTGATTTTATGCTGCTATTATCTTTATTATGCCATGACACAGTAGGAATTAAATCCATATGTCATACATCTAAAATCTACTAAAGGCATCTCAACATTTTAAAACGATTCAATACCCATAACTGAAGAATCCTCTCAACAGCGAGATACGTAGAGTACTGACTTTGGTTGATACATGAGAAATTTTCGTCAAGCCTTTCATATGCAAGCTCATGTTAGAAGCTTAGAGATTTCGAACTTCAGATTGCAGAAAGCAGTTACATCACTTACACCCAAACAGCGTAAATAAGGACCAGGTCGGATAATATAACCGTGAGCCTCTGAAAATAGATGGTTGCAGGGCTGGCGTAGTTTAGGTTAGCTATTTCCAGCATTCCGGGATCCACGAACTGAGCGGCCAGGGACAACACGTATTCAAACCAGGCGAACAATGGCGGGTAATCTAGCGTCCACTCGGAAGTTTTCTGCACAAGAGAAAAAAAAAAAAGGTATTGTGAGACGATGGTATACTGCATGAACAGCTTGAAATGGAACAATGAAATTCAACTTGCTAGGAAACACACTACTGCATGTTGCTCGAGATGCTATTTGACAGCAATGACATGGTATAACGTTGTAAACGTCATAAAAATGTGTGTACCTCGAAGTACCATTTCGACGCTTGGCAGGGAGTGCGTGATCGCCAACCAGTTACGGTGTACCTCGAAGTCTGTGGATCGGCTGAAAGCGAAATGTTAGAAGAACTACAGTCAGACCAGCATCTCTTTCGGGTTTCAGATGTTCATGCACGGGAGATGATATATGCCGGGCAGCCCGTTACTAAGAGACCGGGCATTTCGATATATAAAGTAGGGCACGAATGCCCTTTGTGGTTCTTACTAGGCTGTTATGAAGAGCAACTTGATGCATGTGACTGACACGGCGATGCTTGGGAAACTGGACATCCTCGCCGGTGAATGCACACGTGTTTCCAACTCATGCACAACATGCACACGCCAGATTGAGTTTACGAAAGCAAGAGTTCCGTTCGCGCGGCGCCAGCAAAACAAGAAGTAAATAAACAACCGTAGTGAATCACACCGTTGACCATGCAAAACGCCGCCAAACTTTTGAGACGACCACCACACCAAAATTATAGCGCTGCAAACGTTAGCGTTTCTTTTTTAAAACTCACTGTATTTTTTATTATTTGCAAAACTGCTCGTTTTTATATAAAATAATTTTTTAGTATAATTGTAATAATTTTTGCAATAAGCACATGGTAGTGTTAGAAATAAGACTTATCTTATGATTTGCGCACAAGTGTACGCTTCTGTTTTCAGCGCTTATTGTATAATGCGGATTCTTAGTTGCTCGTGTCAGCTGCTTGAAATACTTGAATGCGCAGAGTGTACTACTAACTTCGTGTAATATATTTGATAGCCAGCTGGCGTAGCGCACATGTACCGCCGCTTGGGTGGTCATACGTAGCTGCGCTTGGAATTCTGACGTATTTTTGGAATCCGAGTCACCGCTTGCCGGCCTCACGGTAGCGAGCGTGCTCAAGTGTGCGTGAAACCTTGCCATGTCTGTGTACCACGACGAAGTTGAGATTGAAGACTTCGAGTACGACGAAGAGCTCGAGACGTACTTCTACCCGTGCCCATGTGGAGACAGGTTTGAGATCACTAAGGTACGCAGCATTTCAGCGCGTTCTTCGCATTTAACGACTGGGAACGCTTGTCACTGGCGCGAGAACGCGTGTCTGTTGAGCAATTTCGTGTGCCTCCTTTGTCGAACGCCGGATTGGTGAGGCGAATCGGTATGAATGAAACAATGAAGCAACCGATCTCGGCAACCTTTCTGCCTCCACCTTCATTTCTGTTTGTGTGTGTTTCCGATCTGTTAACCGGTTGTGTCGTTCGTACAGCCGGTGTCGTTGGGCAGTCATGTGCTTAAATTACCTCAAAAATAGGTGCCTATAATTGATATAGGAGGACCTGCTGAATGGTGAAGAGGTGGCCACATGTCCCAGCTGCTCCCTCCTAGTGAAAGTGATATACAATCAGGTAACCAATCGCGAACATTGACATGATTCGCGCGTTGTCACTGAAGCAGTTCTTAGGAGTTTGAAGTGTGGATATCGCATTGATAGTTACAGCTAGAAAGCAAAATACGTCGAGGTCAACAACACTGTTCAGAAAACAGTTTGCCCAACACTCAACTAGGCAATGCTTAACATTACAATCATTGTTTTTGGCAGTGTCTCTAATTCTTTATATTTGACTTATGGGCATATATGTGACATTTTTCCATTTATTTTTCGCATCTGGTTAGATATTTATATATGTTCTCACTACTGACTTTTATATTGCAGGAGGACTTTGTTCGAGAGAAAGATGCACTAGTCAAAGAAGAACCAGCCAAGCTTCAAGCAACCAATTAAGGAGATGCTTTGAAAGCTATCGCCACAGCTGGTGGCTTAAATTCAAGAATTCGTTGTTTAGCTGTTGTGACAAGTCTTCCAAATGGAGGGCTTGTTCAAAGTATAGACATGAAACTTGGGTGATTCATTGTCATTTTATTTATTTCATTCACAATTACAAATATAAAAGAAGATAAAATGTGTGGCCTCATTGAACTCTCCGAGAAGCACTAAATTTACATTAGAAAAAGAGTGGCGATGGTGGTTAGTAAGATAAAAGCTAACTCCTTGGTCACACCTCTACGTTTTCTGCCCAGCCAATATTCTATGCATAGATGATATTTGCTTAAAAATTTCGTTAGATGCTTAGATTTGTAGTGGTGCCGCTGTCTTTAGTGCCTGGGATGGTAAAACTGCGAATCTATGTGCCATTCTCAAAGAACGCCACTGAACACATTCGGCACCCATACGAAACAATTGTTTAGATGTCACTTTCACCTCAATGCCCAAGGTGCTTATCATGTCTTGGCACTGCTGAGAAGGCTCCCCTAGTGTGTGTTATATTTTCTTGAAAGAAGAAAGTAGAGTATGGTGAAAAATGTAATGCTTTTACGGCGCTACCACAGATGCACATATTAGAAGATTTTGCTTTTCCAGTCTACCACCTTGTAAAGGCTCATTGCAAGGCATAAATGTATAATGCACATCCCAATGTAATTACAGTGCAACTTTCTCCTATAAAAGTTTCAATAATACTTCATGTATTCTGCACATTGTCATTTTTAATAATTTCTGCTCCTTCTGTAAGAAAAGCGCTGTTACTCAATGCATCTCTGCCTTTCCCCTCCATATGTGACTTAAGGGACTGCCTCTTGTGGCATCTGAATAATTTTTGGACGTTTCTTTTGCTACTAAGAAATAAAACATGAAACCACACTTTGAGTAAACTTGGTGAGGCAACTTTCCAAGAAACCATAGTTGGTGTGACATGCCCTTCATATAATATTTTATCGAAGTTCTTTCAAGATGCTACCAGTAAGCAACTACTATCAACGAATGGCCCTCAATGCGAGCGACATTGTCACTGATGTAGGCTTTGCTACAACCTGGTATCATCAACAAAAACTCTAATAAACACACAATAAACTTTAGTGCTTAAGGCAAGCGATAAACACAAGAAAGACACACATCCCTTTGCATTTTTGTCTGCCCCTCATCTTCTCATCTTTTGCACATACATTACTGAAGAGTGAAGTGAAACGCATAGCACTAGCTGCATTCAGCTTTCCTTGCAGCTCGTAATAAACAGCATGTGAGCAGATGTGTGTATTCACCAGCAGCATATACGATGCAAACCTTCATAATGTGGCTGCACTATTTCAGCATGTGTAACAATTTCGTGTGTGGTCTGACGGTTAGACACACTACATGTACTGATTGTCATGGTTTGCATTAAAAAATTCTTTCTTTCAAAAAGGTGGCATTCATGGCTACCATTCCATTTCCACCATATGACATTGCCACCATTTACCATGGCAGATCTCTCATTTGTTTAGCAAGTTTGGACACCCCCCTACAAACAATGGAGTTTTGTGGCCGCTGCGCTTTGCTTAATTTGGAGAGTAACTGTGGATACTCTCAGAATGCCGTGGGTGCTGCATTACGAATGTATCTCGGCAATAGGAGCTCTGCGTTATATTTGATATGCAGCAATACTCTTTGTTTCAGTTCAACAGCTATTTAGCTCACTTTACAAGACATATATTTCTATTTTAAATCTAAAATTCTGCACAGTGGCTGCTTCATATTTGCACTACTATGCAAGATCAGACTTCTTTCAATGTCCTAAAGTCAGTTAGCCTTCAAGTGACAACACTACATGTCCAGACGAAATCAGATGTACGTTTATTGAGTGCCATCAGTAAATTGACTTTGTCGCACTTGCGCAGCAGTACGGGGGCGGGTGGCTAGCTTCCCTTGGGCTTCATCTGGTTGCTGCGGTCGCCCCGACACCGGGGACAGTACCATCTGCCCTTGGGCTTCGTGGTGAGCATGACACACGAGAAGTGGAACCACTCAATACTGCATTCCTCGTTGTCACAGCAGATCATTTCTCCAAAGGAGACCTGCTCGCAGAGGCAGTAAGTGGGCTCGTCGGGATCGATCGGCGGCTCAGCGGGCGACGGCACGCCGCCCCTCTGTTGGTGACCCTGCTGGTGTCCTTGTTGATGGCCTTGCTGGTGGCCGCCTGAATTTGAGCCTCCTCGCCGCCGCTTCTTCTTTGGCTGCCGCCGGCCGCAAGTGGGGTGTGGCGTGGGTGTCTGCTCGTCGTCGTGGCCTCGCTGGCGGCGCGACCGCTTGGCCTCTCGCGTCTCAGGTTCGTGGTCAAGGTTGCGGTAGTCCTGGTCGAGCTGGCGCACCTTGTTCTCGATCAGGTCCTGGATCTGCTGCAGCAACTGCAGCTTGTCGTCACCGAGCTCCTGCGACTTGATGAGTGAGTGCTGGATCTGTAGCATCACCTTCTTGCGTCCGACATCCAGGTCGCGCCTGCCCAACAAGCCTTTCTGCTGCTCCAGCTCCGCCAGCACTTCTGCACGCAAAAGTGAAAGTGTGAACTCGGGGCTGCTGATAAGTATGGTCGAACCTTGATATAATAGATGAGAATTGTTTTACATCTCAAATCCACAATATCTGAATAAGAAGTGCTGTAATGGAGGGCTCCGAAAATTTCGACCACCTAGGTTTCTTTCATGGCCAACTAGGTCCAGTGGGCCTCAAGCATATTCATCTGTATCCAAAGGCTACGATTCAATCTTGCAACCTTTGGGTGAGCTGTCACGCATCATTAACACTAAAACACTACAGCAAATCCTTGATATAATGAAAATAATCCAAATATTCCTTGCAGATATGAGCATGTAACGAGTGCATGCTTACAATGCATACTCAATATACTGATGCTGCTTTTGTTGCTACAACCTTTGATTTCGTATGACCTTAAATGGTGCAAGGGTCAGTTAAGGTCAAAGAAATTGAAGAGTGTCATTACAGCAACACCCCCGAAAGAAAAAGACTGGCCACATGCTGATTACTACAGCTCGGCTATTAATCCACCTGTAAAGTCTTGTCTGTCAAGGATAGCAGAAGGCATGTTACTATAAACGCAGCGTCAAATGCTACATGCGGTAGCTTTGTTGTTAAATACTGCATACATTTCGCAGGTGGTTTTACAGCGCACTGTTATTTTCTGCTCGAGTGAGCGAAAATGGTATATTACTTTTCCAGTCCTCACGGTTTACTTGCACTAGCACAAAACAGATATCTAGCACTGAATTGTGGTGGCTATGGTAAATGTGCCGACTGCTAAACAGTGCATATTAAAATGCGCAGAAGAAGACTTCAGTTTGACCACCACAGAAACGTTTAACACATGTTCACAATAGAACTTCTAACATGCTAACATTAGCCAAATGAGCATTGTACAATACATTGTGTAAAATGTCTGCTTTCTGTGCTGTGGCCAGCGCTAACAGAAAATTTCAGGCTGTTGTGGCAGTGAAATGTACAATTGGTGTATCTATTCCCTTGAGTGAAGAAAAAAAATGGGGGGGGGGGGGGGGCAAATAAACTGAAACCGTTGGAATAAGGCTTTAATGTCGTGTCTATTCTTAGGTAGCAATGCACTCGCTTCTACACGTAATGAGTGCGAAAGAAAAAGAAACGGATACTAACGGTGCACTGCTAACGGAACCACGAAATCGGTGGCGTACTGCCAAATGACAGATCCCGCCAATTCGACAAAATCCGACACACCGCACACACAACTTGCAAACGACCGGGCATCTGTCGACACATGAAAAATTTAAATTAGGATATGGCGTCTTCTGCACTGCACTCGTGACGGTACTAGAAAGACCTGCCTTCGTGCGATGTTTCATTGGCTATGTGCCAATAATGCACATCGCGAATTCGCAACGAAGCTGCTCTCTGTCACGTGAGTTGGGATAACATTATGTGCTAGTGTATTTGACAAAGCGAAGCTAAGCTGCACCGCTACTGCAAAATATTAAGGGAAAAAAATGTAACGTACCTTGGTACTTGACGTCCAGCTCCCTAAGCTGGCTGAGGTTTCTCTGTACATCATCGGGTAGGTTTTCCACACAGTCGAGGTAATCTTCGATGTAAGCAGCTGAATACAGGGCCTCTACAGCGGCCTGATTCAGTGCTACATCCCACGAGCTGCCTTCCTTGGACGTAATGTTGAATGCTTCGGGGAACCAGCTCTAAAAATGCACAGGCGCCGAGCCGTCGCTACGATCGAGCGCGCTTCATCTGTGAGGAGCTGCAGCGCGTAACGGCCCTTTTTCGTCGATGCCTCGGCTACCCACGATTACGTTGTTCGACAAAAAAACGAAAAAATCGACTACGTTATCGCAGCGCAAATATAAATCTGAAAGCACGTTCGCATTGGTAAGCGATCGCACGGCAACCGAACCGACCAAACCACGCCACTGACGAGCTCCGCTTGGCTTGTCTCGGTTCAATGTGTCCCTGCGAAACCACAAAACACCAAAATAAACCGAAACTTCGCAAACAAAAAAAAAATGGCGGCAAATCTTGAGCGAATCGCCAGAGGACGCACGGTCACAAACGATGGTTTGGGAGGAACGAAAACTTTAAGCAACAATAAGTACGAGCGCATTGATAATGTAGCTTTATAAACTTTATTAGGAGGTTTCAAAATTACTGAGTTACTTTGAAGAACTGATTACGTCTTGATTTAACGCATTATTGTTTTGCGCAAACGCAATTTGTAAACCCATTACCTGGTACATAAATCATCATATAAAACATGCAATAACAACAAATTATATAAAAAAGTTTAGTTTTGGCAAAACTAGCTCACTGAAATAATGTGTTGGCTGTTTCTTATTTCATAGAGTTTTCTAAAATTATATTAGGAAACTATATGCCTTATTTTACCCCTGTAAGACACGCCCACTTTTCATCTCATTCGACGAGGGCGCCAATGGCGTCTGTTACCCAACAAATACAACAAGAGATTTGTGCGGTCCCGCGGACCGAAAAACCGCGCAAACACCGTAAACACTCGGCTCAGGCGCTAAATAGTGTGGGATGAAAGGAAGTTCGTGAGATTGTCGAAGGGGCCTTCCCAGAACAAGCAAGGATCGCTCGTCCCCCGCGATTGTGCGCGATGCCCGTCACGTCGTTCGCCGAAGTGTCCACCGTGCGTGCGAAAGTGCAGCAGCGGAGTTGCGCGTCATGACCGTGTGTAGCAGCGTCCAGCATGTCCCGTAGCGATTAGTCGCCACCAGCGAGACGCGTAGGAGAGAGACTGGATAGGAAACCGGTGATCTAAAATGGCGCTGTGCGATGCTCGCGGCGTGCTTTGATACGGGCGGCGGGAGCTGATCAAGTTCCCCGGGGCCTCGGAGCGACTGATGTGCTGCCGCTGCTATGGCTGAACCGAGGCGCATCAAGCTCGAGACAGCAGCGGCCCACCAAGCCCCGACCAAGCAAAAACGTGCCGAGGTGTGCCCAACAAGGCGGTTTCAGCTCTCGCTAGTGTCGAGCGGCAAGGAAGCGGACTCGTGCCCCGAGTACTCCTACAGTGACCTGTTGAAATCCTCACGGGTAAGGCTCGTTTTGCTCGTGACATCGTGCTGTTACACGAGGCGAGGGCCACGGCTCTTTACTTTTTTTCCCGATTATTTATCGGAGCCGATTTACACCGTTGCCCTTTTAGGACGGGCCCACCGCTGTGCTGGGTATTACCGCCGGACAAAACAATATGTCGCGTGCTGTGGAGGACGTTACACACGGAGCTGTCGCGGAAATAGAACTGGGTTACGTCCTGCCAAATTGTCGTGACGGGTTATCTCTTGATTTGCCCCTCGTTCGAGGCTTCCTTTACC